GTCAACGAGATGTCTTCCGTCGATCGATATTTGATGTCTGCCACTCAGTCGTCGTCTCTTGAGATCGCCAGTCAGGAGAGGTCGAACACTAAGTGTAGAGCGTTAGCTTGTATCCAGTAGCAGAGTGTAAAGTAGGGCAGAAGGAGCCTACAGGACGTGGTCATCGTCTTTGAGAAGCTTGGACACAAGATGGTAGTGGACGCATTCGAAGGCGTCGCCGGAGGCATCCTTAAGCTCCACGGCGTAGTCCTCCAGGCCCCATTCGCCGCTCTCCAAGGGAACGACTTCGTTGATCTGGGCAAGGAGCTTCGAGATGGTGAGGTCCTCGTCGGCGGTTGTATTCCAGAGGAGCTTGACGTCGGGCACGCCATGGCGCCGCACCACGAGACGCAAACGCAGGTCCTTCTCCATCTTGGCCGGAGATGGTTCAATTCGTGGCGCGCGGGGTGTAATGCATGGAGGGTGACAAGGTCGCCAGCCGTGTGTCGCAACAAGGCAAGGTACAATCGGGGATTAAGAGGAAATATGGCAGCGGAATAGAGATGCAACGGGAGGTAGAAGAGAAGAGACGAAATTTTCCCGATTTGGGGGAAACTCTGGGATTAGACGCGGTAAGATGGGAGAAGAGAATGAATCAATTAGACGCGCGTGGGTAACCGTAGGCAGGGGAAAAGGTGAGGTGAAGCTCCAACCGCGACTGACTGACGCAAATTTCTGGAAAGTGGGGCCGGGCCGTTGCGGACGGCCGCCTAGCAGACGCCACCCTGAAGGCTCCCATACTGCGTGCGTCGTGGCTGGTGGAAGTGGCTACGCAGTGTCTCACCCCAACACACAGGGCAGAACGGAATCATATTCATACCGGTAATCATAATCATACAGCAGGGCCGAGAGAGAACACAAAGAAAGGGAATTCCAAGACGTGCGTGGTATCCGAAAACACCAAATCATATTCATCTCTGTCTCGGGCTTCCTCCAAGTCATCCTGCCTACTGTGATGTTCAGTTCCGAGGGGCTTCGATTCAATGACACACTATATCTTGTGCCGGCTTGTCTTGGCCGGCTGCGCACGTATATCTGACGGAAACCAGCCATCACCTCCATGATATTTTCGATCCATGAATTGCCATGAGTCCAGTATCCAACAGGGTCCCCATGAACAGTTCCCCGAGTTGTCGGGGGTTCCAGATGACAGAATATGCCACAATGCGCCAGTCCCAGGTATTCGTCTCAAAAATCAGAACGCCGTATCTACCCATATATTTTGATCACTCCGGCCGCCGCCCCGCCTCGTTTCGTCCCCTACCAGCGCTCACTCAGTCTCTGTCGTCAAGCATACTCATGACGGCATGCCGCCCATGTCGAGCATGTGTCCCATCTTTTCAATCTGTCACCGAGTTAGCGGCGGCACCGCACATACACACACACACACACACACACACAGCACCAGGGCAAACATACCTTTGTCTTCAGGTAGCCTTCGACCTCGTTGCTCCTGAACCCGCCCCTGCCCTTCCAGGACAGCGGCACCATGGCCACACGCTCCGTCACCCTGACTTCGCGGTTCGGGCCCTCCACGGCGCGGATCTTGTCGGGGTTGTTGGTGAGCAGACGCACCTCGTGCTGGCCCAGGTCCAGAAGCATCGAGGTCGCGAGACCGTAGCTGCGAGCGTCGGCGGGGTGGCGCAGCAGCAGATTGGCCTCGACAGTGTCGGAGCCGAGGTCCTGCAGGTTGTACGCCTTGAGCTTCTCGCCGAGGCCGATGCCGCGGCCCTCCTGGCGCAGGTAGATGATGATGCCGCCGCTGGTGTTGCCGGGCAGGCTCATCAGCCTGGCGGCCTCGTCTAGCTGCTCGCCGCAGTCGCACCGCGCCGACCAGGCGGTCTCGCCGGTATAGCACTCCGAGTGGATGCGCACAAGCGCAGGGCCGCGCTGGGCGGGGGGGTCCTCACCCACGGGGGTGGCGACGCCGCCGGGCATGCCGCTCGTCGAGCGTCCGGGGAACAGGCGCCCCGTGTAGGCGCCGCGGATCATGCGGTCCATCTCGGTCTCGCCAGGACGCGGCGCGTCGAGCGACTTGCTGCGGATGTGGGGGCCGAAGACGATGGCGAGGTGCTCCTTGTTGTCGACGTTGTTCTGGTACAGGTGCAGAAACATCTCGGTGCCATTGACGGTGGGGATGCGCGCACGCACGATGCACTGGACTTCGGGCAAGGTCTCAAGGAGGCGGGGTCGCTTGGTGCCGCAGCCGCCGGAGGGTACGGAACTGTCGACGGGAACGCCACGCGGGGCGTCCTCGCTGGTGAGCGGCGTAGATGTGCCGGGGGTGGCGGGGGGCGTGAAGGCGGGCGACAGCAGGGAGGGCGGCGGGATCTGGGTGGCTGAGGTCGTCGAGGCGGCATCGTCGTCAGTCCTCGCGGGGGCGGCGGGGTCGGACAGGTCCAACTGTTGGGGCTCGGGGTTCTCGGCATTGACAGCAGGACCGTCAACGGGCTTCGTTTTCGGTGAGTAGAAGGAGGGGAGTTGTGTGGTGTCTTGGCGCCAGTCCTTGGGCGCATCGGCGCCGTCTAGGCTGTCTTCGAATCCGGGCATGGCGGGGGGGGGTGCGAGATGTCGGGGAAGTGGGGGGTGGGTTGTTGATGCGTGGATTGAGTCGAGATGTGTGGGAGGGCGGCCAATTCTAGTAGGTAATGGTCGGTCGGTCGGGTATAGAGAAGAACAGACAGCAGAAGGAAAGTTGGAAGGAGGAGGAATCTAGCTGTCGCGAGCGGAGAGCGGAACAGAGGTAGACGGCGAGTTTAGTTGCATTGAGGGACCGGTTCCGCTCGGAGCGGCGAGAAGTGAGTGGTGCTAGATGCGGTAGCGGAAGCGATGTGGTAAAGAATAATCGATTAGTCAGACAGTATCCGTATGTAGTATGTACCGCCGCCTGCAATTTACCTTGGCTCGCGGGAGGTGGTACCGGTATTGAGGATTTGCGACCGCGCGCGCGGGGGACGTTCTTCGCCGAGGTTCCAGGGTCTTTCTCTCTCTCTAGTGGACCTATGGCGGGGTCAGCAGTGTCTTTCGTACTAAGCGTTTTGTGTGTACCGCACACCTAGGTACTCCATACAGGCATGTATTAGTGGGGATACCCTTGATTACATCATCATGAAGTGATTACATCATCTTATCCTGGAAGCGGCTAATCCAAGAAATCTGGATCTCGCGCCGCCCTGGTCTCCGGTCTTCGCAGCGCGCCCATATGATTGATTAGATGAACGGAATCAACTATTGCTCCCGTATACGGGGTACATGGCAAACCTCACAGATGTGTCGTCTCGTAATTCGATCCTCTTTGTTTGTTTACTCCTGGATAATTCCCACCACACTCGACATATCGATGACAGCCAACGAGGAGATGGACTCCCAAGACTGACTGGACCATGGGCAGCCACCACATACATGCACACATTATCGTAGGTATAATGTTGCTGTTGTGTATCCTCGAGGGCATCGCTAAAACCTAAATCTGGACCAATGAAAAACCTCGCCATGTCGAGTATCCAGGATTTCTTCAGTCAGCATTAAAAATCACCCGCGCGCTGCCAAAACCTTCGCCAGCCAACGACGGAAAAAAAAAAAAAAAAAAAAAAAAAGTCGCCGGGACTAGGAACTCTCGGCAGCCCCATTGCATCGCATCGCATCGCATCGCAGCAAATCCATTTGTGCCCTGCTCCTGGTCTATTGTGTTATCCCTTCTCCTGGAGGTATCGCGAAACATCCTCGTGTGCCGCAACATACTGGATCCAACTTCCTCAAGAGGTAATCGGCTTCCCGTCGTGCGGGTTCCTGCATCAGGTGTATCCGTTCTCCTTGGCTCATCCCGGCCTCCCGAAACCTTTTTTTATTTCCTTTCCTGGTTTCCCATTCTGAGAATCTGGACGTCGCACATGTACAGTAAGTGGTAAGTACTCCGTAGTCTACTGTGAACTTGAGGCCCTCCTCTCTCTCTATCCACTCCTCAGCCCGCGTCCCATGACAACCAACGCGCACACGCGCAGCGAACCAGGAGAGAGGCGGAAGGCGTTTGGCTGGCGTTCGTCGCGTTGCGTCTGGGGGAGGACCGGGGGTCATGGATGTGCTGTCAAGGTGAGTCACATCCGCATCGAACCTATGCCCTTTTCCTACTGGCCGCATACGCAGAACGCGGCTCTCGCCAGAATCCAAAATGCCAGGCCAACAGCCCGTACGGGTGGCGCAGAAATCATTGGCTATCGCGCTCCCGTCATGCCGCAGCCTGCAAGCACTCACTCGTCCCCTTGGACCCGTTTCACGCGCACCATGCTTGCTGCTTGCATGTTGGGCATCTTATGAGAGGTCCTCTCTCCCCGGCAGGCGGGACGGTTCGTCGTTGATTGTTTACCTTTTGTTTACGGTTCCGTGGCACCCACAATCCTAGTGGCTGTCGTCGTCTTGTTTCTTGTTTTGTGGCCAACAACACGCTGCGCCCGTCCAGTGGATAGGGCCCTCTTCTCATGCAGCCGGGCTACCAAAACGTCGCCAGCTGGCTCACACACACATACACTCACTCACACACTCACTCACTCGTGGTATAAGAAGATCAAGTGACTTCAATATCTTGTTCGTATCTTTCTTGATTTCTAAACATCAGACTCTGCAGTCATCAGACAATCATACGTCTACAATCATACCACACTTCACTCATTCGAGGGCCTCGATAATATCGACTATTCAGCAGGTCACCACCCCAAAGCGACTACACAACATCTTATCTCGCTCACCTTCACTTAAAAAAATTCTTCATATTTTCTTCAAGTTATCTTGCTGTATTGTTCACTTCATTTTCATTCGTATACTCTCGCTCACGCAAGCCAACTTTGCTTTCACTTCATCATATTCCCTCGTCAATACGGAAAACTCACCAGCTTTTCCATTCTCTCTCCCTTACCCTCGAGCACCTCGAACTTATACACACACATTCCGAAGAAGAAGAAGAAAAAATGGAAAACACAAACGTAATCGCCTGGCTGCTCCCTTCCAGCACCAACCAGCCCGCCATAGAGGCCGTCCGCATGCCCCAGAACGCCACCAGGAGGGTCAAAGCCGTACCCTCGTCCTACGACCCAGTCGTCCAGACCCCGAACCCTGGCGCCGCCCCCTCCACGCCCACCATCGATCCGTCCGTCCTCACCAAGAGCTCGTCTCCGTCCGGAACCCCCCGTCCGGCGCTCGAGCTGTCCTTCACCAGCCCCCCCCGGAACCACGTCGGCTTCGTCCTCGGCACCGACCCCGACGTCTGCGACGTCGTCCTCCCGTCCCTGTCCGGCATCAGCCCCGTCCACTGCCACATCACCTTCGACGCCGACAGGCGCCTCGCCCTCCGCGACACCTCCGAAGCAGGCACCGCCGTCTGGTACGACGGCGCCAGCTCCGGCGACCGCCGCCGCGAGTCTTGGGCCCTGAGCGCCGGCTGCACCTACGCCTTCCCCGCCATGGTCGACCGCGTCGTCGTCGACATCCAGACCGTGCGCTTCCAGGTCCTCGTCAACGAGTCCCACATGCTGCGGCCCGACGCCTACCGGGACAGCGTCGACGCCTTCATGGCCAGCCTCGCGAGCGGCTGCAGTGTCGTCGAGGAGGAGGGCGTCGTCGACGGCGTCGTCGAGAGCATCGTGGGGAAGCTGCCCGCCGTCACGCAGCGGGACGACGACATGTGCGACTTTTACTACAACTTCGACTTCGACCTCGGCTTCGGCCTGACCTACGGCGACCACTATGATTATGGCTACGACCTGGACTACGACATGTTGGAGGACGACGACGACGACGACGACGACGACGCAGTCGACGACGTCGACGACGGCGACAGGATGGACTTCCTCCCGTTCGTTCCGTCCGTCGTGCCGCCCATGTACGTCAAGTACCTCCTCGCCTCGGACGACGGCGCGCCGCCCGAGACCTACCTCTGGAACACGACGCGGCCCTGGGAGCCGATGATCAAGGTCGCCTGCTGACGCGGTCACGACGCAGCCGCGCGCGTTGCCCGAGGGTGACAAGTCTTACATACGTTAATTCTCTTTGTTCGATAACGGAGACGGGCGGGTTCGATAAGCGTGGGAGAGGAGCGTTGGAAAAGCACTCCATGTACCACCAAGTCCTACGGGGTTCAAGCAATACCCCCCTTTTTTTTTCTTCCTTTTGTTCGAGCGAGCATAGAACGGGCGTGTGTTCCGCATGTTTAGCCGGGATTATCAAATTGTAGTGTAGATGAGAACGGCGAAAAAGAGCCTCGTGTAGGAAAGTGAAGCCGCTTGAACACCAATACCCAATTTGAGCTCTAAAAATTAAAATCAAACAAAACGAACATACCACCTCGATGGAAAAAAAAAATAAGAAAAGATTATTAAAAGTCGTTCCCCTGATATCAGACTGCCAGGCCAGAATATTAAGGTGGACAACGTCAGCTCTAGCAATGAGAGACGTGACCAGAAGAAACTCGCCGAATATCCTTCCCACCCGCCTTTTTTTCCTTTTTTTTTTTTTTTTCCTAAGAGAGTTTCGACAAACCATGGAGACGAACACCCTCTAGTATGGAAGCAATCACTTGGAATATGTCCAGCTGTGGGTCCCCTCTCGCCCGATCTCCTTGATACTAGTCTCCGTCGTGACGACGATGTTGTGGCGGCCGACGCCCGCGGCCTGACCGCCGCCGTGGCCGCTTCCCTGCATTGGGTGGGCCACGGCGCGGGTGGACACCGACGGCCCGCCCACGGGATACCCGAGACCGCCGCCGGTGCCGCTGATGAGGCCTCCCAAGTCCTTGAGCACGAGCTCATCAGTGCTGGCCCCGGCGCCGGCGTCGGTATCGAACTCGTCGCCGCGCCTCGCGTTGCTCAACTCTCTGAACTTGCCGCCGACGCCGACGTGGGAGATGCCTGAGTGGTAGTCGCCCGATTCGTTGCGCGCCGACGAGAGCCCCGCGCGCGGTAGCCACTTGGCGAGGAGGGGCCGGATGGTCGGGAGCGAGGCGGCGATGATGGACGTGTTGAGCTCGATGACGGACCAGATGGCCGCGCCGATGTTCTCCCACGGCGGGTCGTCGCTGGTGACGGCGGTGCGGAGGGTGAACATGCGGTACAGGGATATGATGCAGACGCTGCAGCAGTGGGCCGTGTCAGCTTTCCTGGAACCACGACACGGGCTGACATGACGGCGGCCTCGGGCTGCGAGTGAGAGAACCCCCCCCGGATCGAAGAAATACATACCCGAAGCCCAGGCAGAAGATGCCAAACAGCATGACCTTTTGCTTCCTCGGGAGCTGGAGCTGCAGCACGGAGCGCAGCGGGATGCAGAAGATGGCCAGGTCGGTCGCCAGGCTCATGGACGACGAGAAGTACCAGATGGGCAGCGTGTCGAGGCAGAAGCCCGCCGTGCTGGGCACGATGAAGGAGATGGGCAGGCAGCCGAGGCCGAGCAGCGTCGCCTGGACGCACGCCCAGGCGGCGACGTAGACCATGGCCCAGGCGCAGACGCGCCTCACGACCCGGTCGACGAAGATGCGCCGGTACTGGAGCAGGAACGAGAGCTTGGCGACGTTCATGCCCACGTTGTAGTTGAGGATGGTGATGAGGAGGTGCTTCGTTGCTCGTAACCCGGCGCCGGTCAGCCCCCCGGTACGGGTTCACTGGTCGATGACGGGGGTGGTGGGAATAATGGACACACACACCTTGAGTTGTTCATGCGTCTCCGCCGCCGACACGTTCTCGGCATGTCTTCCCATGCCATATTTCACCTCTGTGCCGTTTGGAAGAAAACAGTTGTTAGTCTCATCTCAGACCCCTCCCTTTCCCAAGAAGAAGAAAAAGGAAAACGAAGAGCTCGCTCTTGCAGACGGCTATCCACCTACCCAAGCACGTTGACACTGTGACGACCACGGCGCAGGCCTTCTCGGCGCGCGGTCAGCATGATGCTCAGAGACCCGTCGTGGGAGAGAGAAGGGGGGGGGTGGGGAGAGGGCCTGCCTCACCATCGAGATGCAGATGGTCCAGTCATCTTTCCCGGCCGTCTTCAGGAGAAAGAGCCGCGTGTAGAGCCGGAGGGAGAAGATGGCGGCGGAGGCGATGGCGAAGCCGATGGCGATCCCGGTGACGTACGGCCCGTTGGTCTCGGTGCGTATTTTCGAGGCGGTCGCGTTAGCGGCCATTGTGTACGGACTTGCTCTTCTCGCCGAAGAGTGTGCATGGATCTGAGTAGACAGAGGAGATCCGCCCGCGGTTCAAGTCCTTTGGCTTTCTCGATTCTCTCTTCCGCCTTCTCGGTGTTGAGTATCTCGGGCAAAGCAAAACCAGGGGACGTTCGTAGAAATGCACGTAGCGGTCTTTATCTGGTGAGGTTGTTTCTTCTTTCTCGTCTCTCGCCATGCGGCTGGGCATCCGACGACGTCCTCCCTCAAGAAAAAAACACTGGTGCCGTGAGGAGAATGCGTCAAGTCAGGCAGCATCAGATTCAACCCTTTAGGCTGTTGCTGATTTACAAGGCAGCCGAGACGGAGCCGGATTACTCACAGGCAAGGAGCCAATGAAAGGCCATCTGCGGTCTTTTGTCTGATATATATACTTTCCAGCATTGGAGGGATGAGGATGAGACTGAGGTGGTGGGAGGAGGTGGGACGCTTGAAACGGCATAGGCTCTTGTCCGCCACGCTTCATAGAAACAAGACTTTCTCGCCAGGGCGGTCCAGGGTTGGTGGTGGCATGCCCCGAAGAAGTTTCCATTTGGCCGAAGCGGAGCTTGCAACGACGGACAGGGACGATGGGGACGATGGAAGGGGATTGTGCTCGAGCCGGGAAGGGGAGGTCCTCGCGTCGAGCATGTCTTTTGGTCCATGGTGTTCCGCAACAGGCTGCAAAAGTTTATATTCCCCGAGTTGGGGGGGGGGGGGCGTTTTGTCATGGCTCCTTCGTATTCATGCCCGAAGTTTGCGAGTATACGAACACTCGGAGAGGGGAGAGAGAGAGAGAGAGAGAGAGAGAGAGAGAGAGAGAGAAACGAAACACAGGCAGTCGGGCCCGATGACGGCGTCGATGATTCCCATGCGCTTATTTTATGAAGACAACACACTTGCGTGGCGAATTGGAGACGCGTGATGCCTTGGCCTTTTGTCTTGGTTGAATGCCTTCTGCGGCGAGATGGTCAACCGATCTCATTTCCAGTTCCGCGCCAGACGACGATCATCGAAAGCCATCTTGCTGTTTTCTCATTCAACCACTTGTTACGTACTAAGGTGTTAATACCAATGCCACCGCCGCCCGATGTATACCGCAACCCTCCCTCAAGGCGGCTAAGGGTCGCAGCGAGGACGTGCGAGGCCGCGCATGTGGCGTCTGCACCAGCACCAGCACCAGCACCAGTATCTTATCCGCAGTTCACCTATTTATATTCTCGTGCAATTCTTTGTCGGGGGCGGGGAGATGTACAGCTATGTCTTGTTCACGCTTACTGCACGGGCAGGGTAGGGTAGGTTTGGATAGCGAGAGATCGCCCGTCAACGGCACCCACTGCCAATAACACCAGACCAGAGATGCCAAAGCGGCAAAGCCAAGAAAAGGAGTTTAAACTGCGTGAGTGAGTTCGACTCGATCAAGGAGCCAAAACCTTCATCGTTGTCGCCGCACGAGATGGGACAGGGCCCGAGGTCCACCAAAAGAAGGGGAGGCACCATCAGGATGACAGGATGAGGGGACGAGGAGAAGAGTCTATGCGAACCTTGACCACTCCTAGATTGAAAAGCAGGTCACGCGATGGACTCTGGCAAGTCTTGAATAGACTATGCGTACTCCGTACTTGTCATGTGTGTGTGTGTGTGTGTGTGTGTGCTGTACTAACCACATACTGCGTACCACCTCGGTGTTGATGTTTGTGGTTTGAATAAGAATGTGGGCTGAAACAGATCCCCCCTATCCGTCCTTCGATTTCCCCATTGTATGGACCCTTGAAATGGGACTTGATCCCCGATGCATCGTATCCAGTGATCCGATCTGACTAGTGCACCAACCTGCCCAACAAGCCAAGTGCCTGATCGGTTAACAATCCTCGTTGCACAAACCTGTCCAGATCTAGGGGACGTGCCATGACTTACGCCCTAGATATGCGGTCAGCAACCAGGGCTGTCGGAGTGTTGCCAGCGGCCGGGCGTTGAGGAGGACCACGTTTCCATGCTGACAAGACGGGCGTTTCACGCGCCAATCACACCTGCATCCCTGCCGGGACGGATCGAAACAAACTCGCGGATGACGGCATTTAGACCTTTTTTCGCACGTCCCTATGCTATCAGCAGTACATCCTTCGCCTGGACTCGCCTCGCTAATGCGTTGCAAGGGAGACGGTTTGAAACCTCTGCGACTCGTTTGCGCTCCAGCACGGCGAATAAAGTAGCCGCGCTCTCTCGTTCTGTCGTGCCTTGCTTTGGGTGCATTTCCGTTACACGATTCGCAATCTTTGGGACCGCCTACGATTCCGAAGAACAGGGACAGGCGGAGAAGAACGAGCGAGACCGGACCCGAAGCCGCCCTCGTGAGCTTTCGGAGAGAGGTCTCAAACCCGACTTGAGTCAGACCGGATCTTTCCTCTTCCTCGCCCCGTGAAGGAGGGGAAGGGGGGGGGAGGGGGAGGTCATCTACCTAACCCGCGTACGGCCGAGTGCTCTCCAAGATCCCTTCTGGCCCGGACATGAGATATACCTTCGTTCGATCGGTTGCAATTGGCCCAGGGTGACTGAAAGTGACCGGCATCAGGCGGCATCAAACCTTCGGTGCACACGCGACCACGCCACTCCAATGATACTCCAACAAAGCGCCGGCGTAACAGGGTCGTCATCGTCGTCTCTGTCGTGGTCCGCTGCCGGGCTCAGGGTTCTCAACGCTGCCTTTTCGCTCGTGGCTTACGTCTAAACTGGTGGTTTTGATCCCGGCTGGGGAAACTCGTATTCCGCTTACAACCTCCCCCGCATCGGTTACGACACAATATCTTGGTAAACCCTCCCCCCCCCCCCGTCCCATCACCCGAGCAAAGCATAGCAGCTAGCGTTGCGTCAATGTACACGTAAAGCTTCAGGCAACTGCAGGTCGTTTGCACTGCGGGGGTGGCCAGTCCGGATTGCCTTGGCCTCCCGACCAACGGCTTTTCGTCCAGACTCTGAGGCGCGTTAAGACAACCATGTGCAGAGATGATGTGGCCCTTCTGGGCAACTGCACGACGTCCAGCTCGGGAATAGCCACGTTCGTCTGAGTGCCGCACGCGCGCGGGCCGGTTCCCGCGGAACAGTACGAGTTGCCGAAAGGGAGTGTCAGATGCGCGCGGAGAGCAAAGACCCGGGCGCGTACAAATTGAAACCCCGACCCATCAGACGACGACGACGACGACGACGACGACAACGACGAGGAGCGCGCGCTCTTCACCACCAAACCTAAAGCCTCTTTCTCTGCCAGCCTCGGGCGAAGCAACGGCTGTCTGCTCGCTCCCGCCCCCCCTCTCCGTCTAGATGGCTTCCCTCAAGCATTGGCTGGCCCTGCTCCTGGTGGGCACGGCTTGCGATGTCTCGGCCAAGTCCTACGACTACGTACGTCTGCCCCCAGTGCACCTTTTCCACCTATAGCGCTCCCTTCGTCGGGGAGATGGCTGGCCGAAGGGGAGAGGGGGGCGGGGGTCTTTGACTAACACGAAACGAAACGACCAGGTCATCGTCGGCGGCGGCACGTCCGGTTCCGCCCTGGCCGCGCGGCTGAGCCTCGGCCTGCCCGACGCGCAGATCCTCCTCCTCGAGGCGGGCCCGGCGGCGCCCGACGAGCTGCGGATCAACGTCCCCGGCCTGCGGGGCTCGCTCCTGGGCACCGGCTACGACTGGAACTTCACCACGGTCCGCCAGGGCGGCCTCGGCGGGCGCCGGATCGACGTCAACCGCGGCAAGGTGCTCGGGGGCTCGTCGGCCATCAACTACCTCTGCTACGACCGCGCCGCCGCCGTCGAGTACGACGCCTGGGCCGACCTCGGCAGCGAGGGGTGGACGTGGGCGGCCATGATCGACGCCATGACCCGCTCCGAGAACTTCACCGGGACGGACCGGGACCCCCGCGGCCGCGCCGGCCCCATCCGCAACACCTACAACCGCGTCGTCTACGACGTCGTGCGCCGGTGGCTGCCCGCCGCGCAGGAGCTCGGCCTCCCCGTCAACGAGCAGGGCTACATGCACGGCAGCCCCATCGGCCTCATGTTCCAGGGGACCAACGTCGACGACCGGAACTACAGGCGCTCCTACAGCGCCAACAGCTACCTGCCCCTGGCCGGGCGCAACCTCGAGGTGAGGACCGGCACCCGGGTCGCCAAGATCAACCTGGAGAGCCACTGCGGCCAGAGACACAAGGCGACGGGCGTCACGCTGGACGACGGCACCGTCATCGGCGCCGCCGCCGAGGTCATCCTGTCCGCCGGCTCCGTCCAGAGCCCCGGCCTGCTGGAGCTCTCCGGCATCGGGCAGCCCGGCGTGATCAAGGCGGCCGGCGTCGCCCCCGTCGTCATCGACCTCCCCGGCGTCGGCGAGAACTACCAGGACCACGTCCGGACGTCCAACATCTACCGGCTCAAGGACGGCGTCGACTCGTTCGACGCCTTCATCTACGACGGCGCCGGCGCCAACGCCACGGGCGAGCTCAAGAGGTGGGCCGACGGCGCGCCCTCGCTGTACGAATACACGACGGTCGCCTACGGCTTCCTCGACTGGGGCCAGGCCGGCGGCGCGACGCGGGACGTCATGGCGGCGCTCGCGCGGGCCGAGTTCGGCAACAGCACGCACCCCGTCGACCGCAAGAAGCTCGCCTTCCTCGCGGACCCGTCGGTGCCGGACTACGAGCTCCTCGTCGAGGCCAACTGGGTCGGCGCCGCCGGCTACCCCGGCTCCGGCAAGTACCTCACGGTCATCGCCGCCGTCATGCACCCCTTCGCCCGCGGCAGCGTGCACGTCGACCCGGCCGACCCGACGGGCGCGCCCGTCATCGACCCGGGCTACCTCGCCAGCGAGCACGACGTCCGCGCCCTCGCCGAGGCCGCCCGGTTCGCGCGCAGGATGGCCGGGACGGGCGCCATGCGCGACGCGTGGGACGTCGAGGTCGCGCCCGGCCCGGGCGTGCAGACGGTCGACGAGTTCCGCAAGTTCGCCGCCGACAACGCCCTGAGCTTCTACCACCCGGTCGGCACCTGCGCCCTCCTGCCGCGCGCCGACGGCGGCGTCGTCGACGCGGACCTGCGCGTCTACGGCACCGCCAACCTGCGCGTCGTCGACATGAGCGTCGTGCCCATCATCCCGTCGGGGCACATCCAGACGGCCGCGTACGGCATCGCCGAGGTGGCGGCCGACAAGATCATTGAAGACGCGGCCTATTAGGTGGTACGTGGCCGGAAGTTTGTGCTCGACCTGCCGATCCACCTTCCGTTTCTCATGCTGGTATATCTATCATATATCTTTAATCACGCCAAGGGCCCCCATGAGGCGGGCATTGAGAAGCCTAGGAGAACGCCTCTCTTGTGGATATAAGGTACCTAGGCTATAATGAATTGCCATCTACTTGCCGTGACGAAAGCTCACCGAGCTCCTGTCGTATCCTCGTGTCGAGATCTGGACAAGGCTAAAGCGCCTGTCACAGGCCCCGAGCTCCACAAGTATCAGTCGTCAAATACAACAGGTGTAATCAGCGAGGTCCGCAGTCAAGAGGTCACTTTATTACTACGTAATCAAATAGCCAAGGCTCCCCCCTTGCTACCGGGCGCAAATGCCACCTTGTCTCGGCTACCATACCAGGGTAGACAATCGGCCACCTTTTGTAGAGGTATATTGGGGGGCGTTGGCGGCTGGAGGTCAGATAGTAGCCTCTTATTGGCTTTACCCTCATTGGAGGTCAAAGGGTCCAACTGCAGTTGAAGCGTTAGCCAGCGGTTACACAAATGTGCACTGTATTAGAGGTGATAAGACCCACTCACATTTCTGCAGAACACCCACGTCGTCACTAGAGAACTTCCTTGTTGGCTATCTTGGATATGGAATCTCGTTGGAAGGGTCTGCAATGCATCGTTTGGGTATGCTATTATCATCCTTGTTCTCAGGAATGCAGCAACGATAAAAGGGGCCAAAGCCGCTCAAGTATGACAGCTCGTATGTCTTCCTGGATATGATATGGGTCCGGCCAACAAACGATCACGCTGCATTTCACAACATACTTTTCCATCAGTCGATTCCCCAAGAACCATCGTGAGTGCTGCTTCTAAGGCCTAGAAATCGCTGTTGTTAACTCTCTAGTAACATGTGTATCGAAAACTGGCTTCAATACAGATGCGGGCATCTCATCTTTGCCGGCTGGAACGACTGTGACGAACAAGGACGCAACGATTGTTCAAATTGGAGTAATAGGACCACTCCCCAACAAGTCGTATGTCCAGAGTGCGCATATGCTACACCACCAGACTCAGAATAGCATAGCCAATGCAAAACGAAAGCTCGGACTTGGGAGAGGGGTGACGACAATGCTGAGGATGATCAGTGGTAAAAAAGGGGTCCCATGTACGTAGCAAATGCCTCTAAACTAAGGCAGCAACTCTGCTACCCCAAAACTCGTATTATAAGTTTGACCTTCTCCCGCACCAATTGTTCTAGACATCAAATCCAGCCTGTTTTTCCAGCTATGGCACAACGCATTTTGGTCAGGTGTCAATCGGACCTAATCCCAGGCCCCCCGACGCAGAGAAACGAGACAATAGCCAACATCATCTGCTTGCATCACTGGGAACGAGATTTCGACAAGACGCAAGATGTGCTAAACTCGTTGGGTCAGTACGCTAGCAATAATGTAAAATGCTACTTTCTCTTGGACAACGGGACAGCTGGATCCAAGGAGCCTGAGATCTTTGTCTACCGATGGGATGGAAAGGGACTGTAGGTTTTGCAACATACTTCAGATGGTCACAGTGCTGAATCCAAAGTAGGCAACCTAGACCGGTTAATACTGGTATCGTAGACTACCTAAGTCACATCCCGTTCGGCGAACACTTGGGTCAGCAAGCGGGGCTATCCGATCAGGAATATATTGCTACATACGGTCAAACTGCATTCGCAAAGGTCGCCTCTTCCAGGGATGAACAGAGGCAAAGATGGCGGAACGCGTTACAACCAAGGGGAAAATCATTCCACACCAACCATCCAGAAGCCGGACCAAGCTGATGGCGTCAGCTAAAAAGCTCGGCAGCAGGCCAAGAGGGGCTGGACTGATTTTGGGTCTCAGGTCTCGGGTGCTTGACTACCGTGAAGGGAAAAAATGGACGTCCGGGTCGGTGCATGGGCCGATGAGAAACGAGAGTGTGGGAAGATGTGAGAATCCACCGACACGAGACCAGGCACGCCCGGCGGGAGTGAAAACGAGGTGACTGTCAAGTCGTGTCGCTGAGTTGGTTGTGCGCCGACCACCCGCAGAAACAACAGAACTGGAGCCATCCGACCCAGCGGCTGAGAGTGGTGGAACCTGACGTTCGGGGACATGGTTTAGTGGGCTGGCTTGTGTGGGGTACCCGTCCCAAGCCTGACTAGGGTGCAGCAGGCCAGGTATCCCATCAGGGGCGATAAGGCCCCATCTCCACTTATTTTTCTGCACTACACGCATATAATAAGAGGAAGTAAGAGGCAGTCGATAGGTATAGGTGTTAGAACTAAAGTTAACTTCCTACTTTTATGTAGGGAGAAGGAGTATATATATCTAAGCACTATTTACTCTAGTTAGTAGTGTTTAATACAGGAAGACAGAAGGATACTGTTTTAGTGTAGAATTACTTTACGCCACAAATTACGGCTAAAATAGGAGCTTTGTCTTCTGATGATGGAAGTGTTATACTTGAGAATTAGGAAGTTGAGGCTCTTATAGCTAAGCCTTCATGAGGGCCGGGTTAGTACCTGGTAGCCATCACTTCCGTGGTATTTTCTTATATAGTTCACTTAACATTAAGTATCTCCCACATACGACCATACCCATTGGAAAACTCGGGATCCCGTCCGCTCTCCCATAGATAAGCCAATGAGGGCCGGATTAGTAGTTGGGTCGGTGACGACCAGCGAATACCTGGTGTTGTATGTTTTATGGTCGAGTCATCCGCACTATTTTTGGGTGACAAGTCCCTGGACTCCTATGTAGCCACTTGGCGCGCTTAACACAAGGTGCCTAGAGTGAGGAGAGCACTCATGAAGGTCAATGAAGCAGTTAAGGGCCGACTAGGTGTGTTGCAGTTCGACCCCCTCGGGGCAGCGCAAGAAACACGAGAAGCAGTCGAAGGAGTCAGATATCTGGCTTTGCTTCGTGAAGCGAGCAATTGCATACATACTGGGCACAATGATCACCTCGCACCACCTCAGCCTCGACAGTCAGTCCCCTGCCACTTGGACTAGCTGCAGAAAAGGCCTGTTGCCATGCTGCCTGCTGCCATATGCAACATCGGTGCAGCTTCCCTAATCCAGCTGGTCCTCCTCAACAACAACCTCTTGGCTGCCCCCCCTCTTGCAGGGAGCTGGACTTGATAGAAGAGCACGAGAATGCCACGCTGCTATGCACGGGTATTCGCATTATCCCACCTTTTTACTCTTGGCTGCCCCATAGGAATGGATCTGACCAATCCTTTTCACGTCATGACCTGCCTGTCCTCTCACTCTTGTATGCGTACTTGTGCTTTCTTACAGGAGCTATCGTAGATCCGCTGGTTTGCACTTGACGACTCGCTTTCCAACTCTCTCTCCCCCGCACTTTGCCGACGAGGGTCACATCAGCCAAGCAAAAGATGGTCAGATCTTCCTCATGGCTCATGGCCGCCACCGCCCTTCTGGGCCCGGCCTCGGCCAATCTGGCTGCTGCTGCTGCTGCTGCCTCTCCCGCCAACCCGGGCTGCGCAGAGCTGCTGCAGTCGAGCCCGGACAAGACTTTTGTGCCTGGAGACGACGAGTACGAGCGGGAGAGGAACGCCTTTTGGTCCAACACCCAGATTCTCTCTCTCCGGCTTGCGTTTTCCGCCCCGCCGACGCCGAGGATGTCTCCCGCGCCATCTTGACCAGCCGTGAAACCGGCGCGAGGTTTGCCGTCCGCGGAGGCGGCCACATGGCCGTCGAGGGCGCCTCGAGCATCGAGGACGGCATCCTGATCGTCGCCTCTTCCCTCGGGGCTCTCTCCGTCTCGGAGGACCTCAAGACGGCCGACATCGGCCCCGGCCATACCTGGGGCGAAGTCTATGCCCGTCTCGCCGAGGACGACCTCGCAGTTGCCGGCGGTCGACTCTCGCCCGTCGGTGTCCCGGGGCTCTTGCTGGGCGGCGGTGTCAGCTTCTACGCCAACCAGGGCGGATGGTCTGCCGACACCGTCGTCGCCTACGAGGTCGTGCCTGCCGACGGCACCATCGCCAACGTGACGGCCGAGTCGGACCCCGAACTCTTCTGGGCCCTCAAGGGCGGCTCTTCCAACCTCGACCTCGTCACCCGCTTCACCATGCGCACCTTTCCGTCCAAGAAGGTCTTTGCTGGCGCCTACACCGTTGCCGGGGAGCACGTGCCCGCTTTCCTCGAGGCCGTCGCCGACTTTTCCACCGCCAACACCGACCCTCTGTCGCATGCTGTGCCCATGGTCGTCCCCACCGACAGCAACAACTCGGTCGCCTCGGCAGTCCTCTTCTACGACTCGGAGACGGAGAGCAACCCCGGCTGCTTCAAGCCCTTCTTCGACATTCCCAGCATTGCCAACACAATGTGCTTCAAGACTCTGGCCGACTTCTCCGCCGAGGTTGGCGGTCTTGTCGTCGAGGACATCAACGACGTGTTCATTGCCGGCTGCACTGTGGGCAAGGACCGCGAGACCATTCTCAAGGGCGTTCGGATCTCGCACGACGTCTTCGTCAACTCTCTCGACTCGCTGTTCGAGGCCGTGCCCAAGGGAGACTTCGTCCTGCTCTCCGTCAACTGGCAGCCCATCACCCAAACCTGGCAAGATGCCTCGCGTCGCTCGAACCCCGGCGGGAACGCCCTCGGCATCGACGTCGAGACGAAGGGCATCTACAACGCGTGGGCCTGGGCCGTCGAGTGGTCGTCTAGCCGGTACGACGAGGCGGTCTTGGCCTGGGTCAAGGAGACGACCGCCGAGGCCGAGCGCCAGACCAAGGAGGCGGGCATCTACGACGCCTTCAACTACATGGGCGACGCCTCTGGCTTCCAGGAAATTTATGCCGGATACGGCGAGGATAACAAGCGCAAGCTGCTCGACGTGTCCAGGACGGTCGACCCCGAGAGGACCTTCCAGAGCCTGATGCCCGGCGGCTTCAAGATTGGCGCCTAGGTGGCCCGTCTACTCGATGACCAATTGGGCTATTGTCGCCAAAAGATTTCTGACCGCCAAATGGGTCGCGGATGCCATCTCAACAGAGTCGGTGTACGATCTCTCCCAGCACCTCCTGGGCCACCCGTTCCTCGACGCGGAGCAGGCCTTCGAAGTCGTCCGTCACCGAGAGGCCACAGCCCGTGAGCTAGTCCCGCCAGCTACAACGATGGCGGAGATCACCCTTGGAGTGGGCAGGGAGTATCGAGTGCGGCGGGACGTGCTCGCGGAGAAGCTGCGGAAGCTGAAGCTGAAGGCCAGGGGGTTGATGGATGCGGGGCTCGTGCTGGTCAACGCTTCCGGCTTGCTTTTTGGCTACTTTCCCGAGATGGAGATCGAGTACGCGTTGCAGCTCGAGGACGAAGCCAACGGGATTGACGTGCGAGACGAGATCATGACGGAGCTGATTGACCGGACGCCGATCACCGTCAGCGCCGAAATGCCCATGGAGCACGTCCTCGAAGTGTTTGGGAAGCTCGGGCCGAGGTACATCATCGTTGTCGAGCCAGAGACCGTGAAGGTGATGGGTGTTGTTCTCAAGAAGCGACTGCTGGACTTTTTAGATCGAGCGAAGGAGCACTGATGAATCGGGCTGGGCTGGAGATGGTACACCTAGATGGTCTCGCCGTCATTTCGTATTTTGCGTTCTTGTACGTGTCTGGTTCCGTTCCTCGCTCGTAGTCGAGATGCAGCCCGTCTCGGGCTTCTTCTTGTTTTCGAAGTGGCCTTCCCGTATCGCGCGTTGACTTGCTGGTTGGAGCGTGCTGTAATGCCGTAGTAAAGCCCTTGGGATTCGGTGATTCATCCTGCCGCGCTTGTTGTTCTCGCCTGACGCCCGAGTGCTTTCTGGCTGTTGTCCTGTCACTGTCATCTTTGCCAACCCAGTTCCCTTGGTGACCGCCAAGGATAAAACGACATAGCAAAGGTCCAACGATCAATCGGTTGTAAATCGCAAAGACGTAGATTCGGCTCGATCTATGACCCACGTGGCAAGACCAGCTCCCCCCCCCCCTTGTGCTTTTTTTTCTAGTTTGCCCTAGTCCTCGCCCCGGTCCTCGAATAACGGGTTATGTACACAGACGTCGCGCCGCCTCCGGGCTCCCCTCGTCGTCGCATAAATGCTTCTTCCCTTCTTTAGTTGCTTCTCGTACCCTTCTCCGCGCGGAGCTCGTTCATCTTAGCGACACGCTTCTTGAACTCGTCGTACTGGCACTTCTCGTAGCTGTGGCGCTCGTCCTATTCCGAGAGGATTAGCGAACGTGGTCCCTCCGCGGCGACTGGGCCGGTAGATGGGGTCGGGGCGAGTTGGGCGCGAGCGGCGCAGGATAGGAGGCCTTCAAGGCGGGGGAGGGGAGGGGAACGAACGTTGCACTTCCACGGGAGGTACCAGGAGTCGACACGGCAGCGGTTAAGGGGGATGAGGAGGTGGGCGCAGCTGTCGCGGTAGGCGAGAGGGAGCTTCGCATCCCGCATCTCCTCGCGGGTCGCTTCTGTACGGATTGTCAGCCATTGCGTCAGCGGAGAGGGGTTCGCGACAAGGAATGGGAGTCAGGGGGATAACAGACCCCTTGGTGTCGAGTCTCCGGCCATTGTGACAGCAATTGGAGGGGGTCTGCGATGGGCGAATGAGGCTATCGTCGGTGGTCAATTGGATCTGGATCTTGAAATGTCGTCGGAGCTTTGGATTGGACTGTGGAGCCTTGCCGACGGTAATTCCATTGTGGCCTGGATTGTAAGGCCTGAACGTGGTGATGGTATTCTGGTGTCTCTGATTGGCTGAAATGAGTTTGGTGGTGCACGGCCGCCTGCATCTCCCTATCTTTGTTTTATTTTATTATTGATTTTCCCTTTCCTCTCTATCTTGTGTCTCTCTTTCACTCAATACACAATCAACAATCAACACATCTTGCCACGTCCAACCCGGTTCAGCAAGACGCCGCCACGCAGCGCACGAAACTCCTGACTCAACATTCGCTGCATTGAAACATTTCGTTTCGGCGTAGAAACAAAAAAACAAACGGGGTTTGTTTCGTTTCTAGAATGACTCGATACTGTCGTGGAAGGAATGCCCTCGGTGCTGTGCTTTGTTCACCCGCTGGGCCAAGTCAAGACCCAAACATTTGTGTACCTATTTACTTGTTCGTCTTATGACGGTGACAGTTGTTCAGTATCGGAATGACGCCCGCGGCTCGGGACGTAAGGAAGGTTATGGTGCCATCTAGACTTCTGTCAAATAAACCCAAAAGGCCCTGGGGTCGTATCCGGGGAACTCTCGTTCTTATTCAATTCATGTCACACCCTCGGCGTAAACCTCGCTCTGCTACTTGGAAAAGCAACTCGGTCAATGGGGCGCGTGACTCGAGTCGTTCATCTGAAGATTCGTTTCTCTCTTCCCTGCCTATACTATATCTTTCTTGCCCACTACATCCGTATACGTATGAACAAACGATTGATCCATGGGGGCTGAGCCGAGGATCATCGAGGGGGTTACGGATTATGGCCCAATATTCCACAATCAACTCCGCCACACACACACACCCCCCGCACTGATTCAAACTTTCTTCAAGTAGCCACCTTCCCATTACCGCAGGTCGTCTATTTGCATATTCATAAACCTGAAGGCAAAGCTTCCCAGTCGGAATGCCGATGCGGGATGACCCGTTCCTGACAACGGGGATGTGGACTGTTCCTAGCTACCTTCCGTTTCGGGCTAATACATCGCGGCCCACTATCCCTAATTGGCCGTCCACCCGTTTAACCATCCTTCTCTTCACCGGCCTTTCAACCAAAAGAGCTTTATCCAGCCCCTGCGTCGTCACCGGGGTCAGGGTTAAGCCAAGCGCCTCTATTGTCTCTTGGAAAGCTTGCTGCTATCGACGTCGTACGAATCACTATGAATCGTACGTGTCGTTGGTCATGGCTCAATGGCCGGCCGTCCATGGCCTTTGCATGTTGGTTTTGCGCTGATCAGATGTCACCCATCATTGCTCCATCTGCCGTCGGGAGGGGCGGCGAGGAGGGGGGGAGACAGCTCGACGCTCTAGACCCATCATCACCGAATCTCTTTTAAAGACGGCAGTATCCCCCGCCGTTGACGAGGCTCTTCTTGTCTGGTTGACGTAGTCGCGAAGCAGTCGTCGTCCTGTGTTGTGTAGTCTGACTCTTGGTCTCTCCCTCCCAAGCAGTGTCTCTGCCACCATGAAAGTCTCGCTCGCTCTGCTCACCTGCCTGACGGCGGCGGCTCGGGCCCATTTCGCCATCCGGCCCACCCCGCCTCCTCTCAAGGCCGACGATGTAGACGGGCTTCTCTCCAAGCGCGCGCTCGGCAGCTTCGAGCAGCTCATCGACCACAATCATCCGGAACTGGGCACCTTTCAACAGCGGTACTGGTGGAACAGCACTTTCTGGAAGGGACCTGGCTCTCCGGTAAGTACCGACGTCTCGCGCAGAAGTTGGAATAGACATACCAACTGACCGGCTGTAGATTGTCCTCTTTACCCCCGGTGAACAGGAGGCGGAGGCATACACCGGATACCTGACGGACCGCGCTATCTCGGGCGCCATTGCCAAGGAAATTGGCGGCGCCGTTGTCATGGTTGAGCGTATGGAAACAAAGGCCGCGCCCGTAATCCCCGGGATTCCAAAGACTGACGCTGCGCAGACCGCAACTGGGGCACCTCTCTGCCGTACGCCCTCCAGGACACCAAGAACCTCCAGCAACACACCGTGTCAAACGCCGTCCAGGATTTCGTCTACTTCGCTCGCAACGTCGAGCTGCCCTTCGACACCAACACCAGCAGCAACGCCCCCCAGGCCGTAAGTGCTTTCATCCCTCCCTGTGCTCCGATCCGAAACCCCCCGCCTGTGAAACTTGCTGACGCCAAACCTCCAGCCGTGGGTGTTTACCGGCGGTTCCTACGCCGGCTACTTGGCCGCCGCCATTGCCAAGCTGGCCCCGGGAACGTTCTGGGCCTACCACGCCAGCAGCGCTCCCGTCGAGGCCGTCTACCACTACTGGTCCTACTTCCTCCCGATGCAGGAGGGCATGCCCAAGAACTGCAGCCGCGACTTCGAACGCATCATTGACCACGTTGACACCGTCTTGAACAACGGCACCAAGGACGAGATTTACGCCCTCAAGGAGAAGTTCCTCATGCAGGACCTCGCCCACGACGATGACTTTGCCTCGTAAGTCGGACCGTTCCTAAACCTCAGTGCCTGCAACAAGATCTCTCCTGCTGACGCGGCGCCAGCGCCCTGTCTTCGCATCTGGGTTCTAATTGGCAATCCATCCAGCAGTACTCGGGCTACTCGGATTTCTACGAAATGTGCGACACGGTCGAGGGCGTCGCCGGCAACGTCACCGGTAACTCCACTGCCCCCGGCCCCGACGGTGTCGGCCTGTCCAAGGCCCTCGACAACTTCGCCGCGTGGTGGCGCGCCAATATGATTACAGATGGTGAGCAGATATCTTTCACCCCCTCCCCCTCCCCTTCCGGTTATATGAGGTTGGCTTTGAAGCTCACTGTGGCCCCCCCCCCCTAGTTTGCGCGTCCTACGGATATGAAGATTGGCAAGACCCCACGAGCTTGGCCTGCTGGGACACGTACAACGCGACGAGCCCCGCCTACACTGACTGGACCGCCGGAAACAACTTTGGCCGCGCTTGGTACTGGATGTTGTGCAACGAGCCCTTGTTCTACTGGCAGACGTGAGTTGACAAGTCCTTCCGCGTGACTTTCCACAGCCCGATCCTGATGGCTTTTATCATAGTGGTGCTCCCGAGGACCGCCCGACCATCGTCTCGCGCCTCACCACGCCCGAGTACTACCAGCGCCAGTGTGACCTCTTCTTCCCGAAGCAGGGAGAGTACACTTACGCCTCCAACCTCGGCAAGACCGCAGATGACGTGAACAAGCAAACCGGCGGATGGGATTTCACCAACACCACTCGCCTGATCTGGTCGAACGGGTAAGTTAAACTTCCGCCCCCCCTTTATCGTCACACACACACACACACGGATCTTGACCTCAATACTGACTATTGATCACCAGCGAGTTCGACCCTTGGCGCTCCGCCTCCGTGTCCAGCGAGCTCCGCCCCGGCGGTCCCCTCCAGTCACGCCCCGGCGCGCCAGTGAACCTCATCCCCGGCTCGCGCCACTGCAACGACCTTCTCATCAAGAACGCTGAGGTCAACGCGGACGTGAAAGCCGCGCTCACGTCCATGGTTGCCCAGCTCAAGACCTGGGTCGACGAGTTCTACAACGGCAAGGCGACGCAGAAGCGCCGTATCGCCGCGACGCCTAGCTAGGCTCGGAGCTTGATTTAGAGTTTATGATCGGTGGCTGTCAAGCATGGGGGACGTTCCCAGTGGCGGCCTTGCAAGGGGAAGTGCTCCCCAGCCTTCTACTGGCAGGTGGCGCGAAGCCAATAATGATAAAGTTTTATATCTTCTTGACATATATATTTTTTTACAAAACGTAGATAAAGTCATGATCATTTTTTCTTTCACGATCCGGTTCTGTTGTGGCGTATGTGGAATAGTATTAAACATATTAAGCTTGACAAGCCTATAGTGAGTCGATAACCCCCCAACACTCAACGACTTCCAGATCACCAAGGCAGATCAGTGCCGTCATAGTTCTTGAACGAGCCGGTAATCTCCTTGTTCGCCTTGTCGATGGTGGCCACCATGCCCTCCACGCTCTGCTTGACGGTGATGGAGCCGAAGGCCTTGATGTCGGCGTCGAACTTGCCCGCCATCTCGAACGCCATGTCCGTCTCCACCAGGCCCGGGTGGAACACGAAGGCCGTCAGCCACGGCTCCTCGAAGCTGAGCCTCCGCACGAACCAGCCCAGGGCCGCCTTGCTGGCGCCGTACGGGCTGACGCTCACGGGCATCCGCGCGATGGCCCCGGCCGCGCCGTTGCTCCCCATCAGCGAGGACATGCCGACGAAGACGGGGTTGCCGCTCGCGCTGGCCTTGAGCAGCGGCCCCGCCGCCTTGAAGAGCACCGCCGGCGCGACCGAGTTGACGGCGAAGTGGTCCAGCGCCGTCTTGAAGTCCACGTCCGCCACCCTGGCGGCGCCGTAGGAGATGCCGGCGTTGGCGATGACCACGTCGAGGGCGGTGATGCCGTGCTCCCTCTGGAGGGTCGCGATGGCCGACGCCGGGTCGGACTCGACCGAGATGTCCATCTTGACGACAACGACCCTGGAGCCCTCGCCCTTGGGGAGGTCGGCGAGGGCCTTGGAGGACGCGCTCGACGGGTCGCGGACGCCGGCGACAATGGTCGTGGCGGGGCGCTGGACCAAGAGGGACACGAGGCCGAGGCCGAGGCCGCGGTTTGCGCCGGTGATAAGGTAGGTGAGGCCGGAAGACATTGCGTAGGTTGTTTAGAGGCTGTGGTCAAGGAGCTCTTCGGTTGTTGAATGCGATTTCGTGATGGAGGATGGTGGTGAATGATGTTACTACTGATACTGGTTTGTTTCCCAGGAGCTATGTGGACGGACAATCATCACCTCTTAAATAATGACATGTTGGTGATGTGTCCAGAATCGATTTGCTAGAGTGACACTCTTACACGGGCGAAGCGGAACAGAATCAACAGGGATCTATAAGCAAGAGAGTGTCTTTTCGGCGCCGGGTATGCAGACTGACGCCGCAAGATTGTTAATCAACAACTTGCTTCTCTCAGCAAACATCAATCAAGGTATGGCATGTCAGTGCTGGCAGGGATGGTGGAGGAAGCGCCGTGCGAGGCATGGTGGCGGGCTATCGCGAGATCACTAATCGAAATGTACGCAGCGCCCACGATGCTAGGCGCGTGCAGCAGTGTTGCCGACACGGCTAGAATGAGTTTTTGCTGGCTTGAATACATCTTAGAGATGTTAGACACAAACAAAGACACATGGAGTTACGAATCCCTCAGGGGCGGCTATCATTAAGCTTCAGATGAAAGACACGAAGTATCAGGCACGGTGTGGAGAGCAGGCCAGAAACCCATATGGGCAAAAAGACCCGGTCATCGTTCTTTTCATTGGGAAGAAACCATCGACGGTCAACTGCATCGCACCGGACCTAGCCTGGCCGCGGGACGTCTAGAGTGAGCAGCCTACTGGAATTTGAGTGGCTACTATTGGTGTTCAGCCATGTCCGTCGGCTTCCGTGTTTACTGATCCCGAAGCCCTGCCGCGCATTGGGCGGACGGCTGTTCACTAATCGGCCCGGGAGCTTATTCAGCACTCATTTCTCAACATATGAGACGCTGCATCCAGTGATTATGATGAACCGCCAATCGAACCATATCATGCTGCGGTTTATCGAGTTTCGAGCAGCAATGGTCTCCACGGTCCAGCTTCTCACTTATGGAAACTTACCCCTTTTCATCGTCGAAGAAAACATAAAAAGTATACCCGGGTTTGCAGGCGGCGTTGCTGCTAGGGACTGAAATCTACAAGCGATGTCGTGACAGCTCCAGACTATTGGGTGATATGAAGGTTGGCGGGCTAAGTCGTCAGTCACACTCTGACTCGGCAGACTCGGAATTGGAATTGTTTACAGATGTGTAGAGCCTTAGGGAAAATCGGCTTACGTAGGTTATAAATCTTCTCGTTCATCATGTGTCACGAGGTGATATAAGGCGTTAGTTGTGCTGCCCGCAATTAACGGCGTCGTCTTTTGCGTGACATCATGTTTGTGCATGCAACGAACTCCAAGGCCGTCCGCTTTCCCGCGTACACGGTACATAAGATCCGCTGCTTTTCCAGTCCGAATTTCCTGCAATCCCTAAACCAGGACCAGGGTGCTCGAAGATAGTCTCAAAAGTCACCTTCTGCAAGTCGTAGAGCGTTGGGTCTGAGCAAATACTGTCATTAACAACGAATACACTAGTGTGGAATAGAAGTTCAAAGGGTTGCGTTGACATGCGCGGGAGACAAGTTGTATTGTTCAGATCCGGAAGATCCTCTGTGTAAGCCTCAGAGACAGAAGGGGCTTCAGGGTTCTTGCCTGATGTAGATGCTGAAGATTTATGTGGTGACGGAAACAAAATGGTCTGTCGACGGTCTTTGGCCTTAGCATTATGCTACTTGGACGATAATGGGTTGTGAAATGCCTTAACTGACATGCAACCTAGCAAGACACCGGCGTGTCCAATAGTACAATAACAGGGGGTTTGGTATACCGTATACATTAGCCTAGGTGACGAAGGAGGTAATACTGTTATTGTCCTATTTCTGCGTAAAGAAGGAAGTTATCTGGGGGCTGGCAGATTAAGTGAGGTCAATGAGCCCTGGTCCCCGGTTTCGTCCGTAGCTATTCCGGGCCCGAATTGAATTGATCGGCCAAACTGTGCTGGATAGCTGATAACCAGTAGTAGTATCCTATTCCGACAGTGCTAGGCACGCGGGTTCCCAACGACTTGCTGGTCAGTTCTGGCTCTGTTAGTGACTGCTACTGACAAACTTTTTGGCGAAGCTACATAGACCAGACTCTACATACTACTACTTAAGATGTTAAAACATTTACGAAGCCCGTTACGCTTTTTACTGTACAGCCTAGGTAGTTCGCGCAATTGGGGATCAACGTCATGCTGATGTGGGGAAAGCACAGACTATATAGGTAGCCTTGGAAGTCTGTTCCCCAACCAGCTATCACTGGATGAAAACATCCACCAATCCCCGATAGTCTAGTGGTGAGGATATCTGCTTGTCACTGCCTTAGCAGCAACTCGCAGGGGACCGGGGTTCAATTCCCCGTCGAGGAGATTCTTTTGCCCTTTTCTTATCTCATTCTCAGTTCAGCTTGCTTTGCATTTTTGTTTTGTTCTGCTTTTATTTTTCACAATAGCGGTACTTCGATCGGTACCAGCAGTTGAGACACAACGAATACGACTTTTTTTCTCTAAAAAATCGAGGTGTCAAGTGACATTGTGTTAGACACTCGTGGTTTGGGTCGTACAAACAGATTATGCCTCTTGGCTTCTGTACAGTCATGCTATGGTTGCTCTTCGAGTCGAGCTCCTATAGCCGATTTCATTCCCCGAAGCTAAGCATACGCGGAGTCTTAGGTCCGGAAACAGCTGCTTCAGATTCGTCGCTGTAGACATTGCAGTGAACCTTGATATCGGCGAGAAGTATGGAGGGATAATGGAGCTGGGAAGTATTGATCGCTCGTTTGGGCTGGCTTATTGGGGTGTCTCCTGCAAGGTCGCCTTTGAAGCTGTGGGTTTGCGAAAGATTTCATGTTGTATCAGGAGAGAATGACAAAGCTTTTGGCTTTGGGCTAGAGGCCTTGGCTTTTGAACGGGAATCTCGTGACTGGTGTTGGCATGTCCGTCCTGAGATACAGGCTCGCAGAGGATGGATCAGTTCAGAGAGTCACAGTGTTGACAGCCCGATGGAAAAATAGCGAGGCATAACAGTTGTCGGCTTGGCTAGTACATACAGAGCCTCCTGGACTTCGCGTTCTCCGATGTTCAGTCTCTTTTGCCATTTTCGTATGTGTAGTATTGTGATGTGCTAATCATGGGTTCTCTTTATGACTCTAAGTCCGGATAAGACACCTCGTCGCCAACCTACGGAATACGCTCCGATCTCGTCGCCCACCGGATCCGCCGCCCCGCCAAACTGGCCGGCCCATTCCCACCATGGATCAAAGAGCCCTGGAAAGCCCGGGCAACTTCGAAGATGAGCGGCGGACATAGCTCAGTTGGGAGAGCGTCAGACTGAAGCGGGTTCCACTCGGGACTTGGGAAACTTCATTCAATTAATCTGAAGGTCGTGTGTTCAATCCACACTGGCCGCATCTTCGCTTTTGCCAATTCGTTAGCTTTTTTCCATTCATTATGTATGTATGAATGACCTGGCGCGACCCGGTTTGTGTGCGTCTCACTCAATATGCGGCGAATAGGTGGTGTGTTTGCTTATTGTTGCATATAGTAAGCGAGACCTGTCGAGTTAGCTAGATATTCAGACGGAATAAGTGGCCAAGAGGGAGACGGACAAAATTGACCGGAAATAAAAAAGAAGATGAATGACAAATTCAATTAAACAGAAAGCATATCTATTGTTTTAACACCTTTGCTGCTGGGTTGGCAGATAATAAATACCAACACCCCCTTGTCGTCCATGCTAGACGAGAAGCGAGCCTAGACTCAGGGCGCACACATGCCGGCCGGAAGACCCTGGAATCAGCCTCTAGCGCCCAGTGGACCCACCCCCGATCCGCTGAGAGCAGCCCACGTCACACCAACGCGTCCCCGCGAACGCCGTTGACAACTTTCCCATCCCGCTTCAAGTCGATGAGCCCGTGAGCCATCCATCTCTCCCATCCCCGCCTGCCCGCCCACAACCGCCCACCATGTCGCGACGACCAGCGAAAGGAGACTACATCGAGACCGTACGTTGATTTGTTTGTCCCCCGCCCCTTGCATTTTGATGCGCACCGAAAAATCACACCCCCCCCCCCCCCCCCCCCCATGAGCGAGACCTCACCGCCCCGACTGACCCGAACCGCAAAACAGGACACGGGCAACAAGGTCGCCCGCAAGGCGACGCTCGTCGGCACCCAGAACATCATGCTCGGCGGCAAGACCGTCATCCAGCCCGAGGTCATGATCCGAGGCGACCTCTCCCGCACCGCCCAGCCCTCCGCCGGCGGCGCCCCCGCCAACAGCACCGCCGTCGCCATCGGCCGATACTGCTTCCTCTCGAGGGGCGCCGTGCTCCGGCCCCCGGGCCGCATGTACAAAGGGTGCGTTCTCACTCTCTCTATCTCTCCCTCCCTCTTCCTCTCCAACACTCCTCGTCTCTCTCTCTCTCTCTCTCTCTCTCTCTCTCTCTCTCTCTCTCTCTCTCTCTCTCTCTCTCTCTCTCTCTCTCGCATTCGCTAACGAGCGGGCAACGTCCCCGGCAGCGCCTTCACCTACATGCCCCTCCGCATGGGCGACCACGTCTTCGTCGGCCAGAACACCGTCATCCAGGCCGCCTCGCTCGGCTCCCACATCCACATCGGCCGCGACTGCGTCATCGGCGAGTTCGCCATCGTCAAGGACTACGTCCGCGTCCTCGAGGGCACCGTCGTCCCGCCCAACATGGTCATCCCCAGCTTCAGCGTCGTCGCCGGCCAGCCCGCCCGCGTCGTCGGCGAGGTGCCCGAGGGCGGCCACGAGGCCTTTGAGCTGCGCGAGCTGTACAAGACGGTCGGGAACAACCCGCAGCCGCTGACCGTCTAGGTGGTGAGCTGGGGGGGGAGGGGGAGACACCAGCTGCCACACGGAAGGGGGGGAAGACGAAGGGCGGGAGTCATGCGGATACTGAGTAAAAGCGGCGTTTAAGCGTGTGTAGGTCGAGCCATGTGCTCAAATGATACCCCTGTTTGTTTGTTTGTTTCTTTTCTTGCAGTAGCATTCTGAACTTCACGTGGAGTGACGTTCATTGGGCGACGGATGGTAGCTATCTAGCTATCTGCTTGTATCAAATGCGTCGAGGCATATATAACCGTGCCGAAACGTGAAGCGTTGGTGGTGGGAACAAGTCATATCCGATTCCTCTCATGTAACACGAACTTCTTTGAAAATGTTGCAAAACTTAGTAGGTTACCAAAAGTTGATTCGCAAAGGACCTTCTTTCCCCCTTTCTGGCAACCGTACGATCCCATAGTACCACCACCCTCTTCATGCACCTCACGCCGCAACACCCTCTGCTTCAAGTCCACTTGGCGCTCTTTTTCACGGCTCGCCCGGCCATATCGAATCTGCCAGCCGACGCACCAGCTTCAGCTTGTCCACCATGTCCTGGTGCGAGACCGAATTGCCCAAGTGATGGCTCGCGAACCCGCACTGCGGGCTGACGCCCATCCTCTTGAGCGCCTGCGCGCGTGTCTGACCCACGCCCTTGGCCACGAAGTCGGCTGCCTGAAGCACCCGCTCCTTCATCTCCTCCAGGTCCTCGAGTTCGGGGAACTTGGATGTGACAACGCCCAGAATCACGTTCTTGTGCGCCGGCAGCGCCCTGAGGGGCTCGAACCCGCCGGCGCGGTCCGTGTCGTACTCGAGGAAGTAGGTGTTGGCATCGATCTCGCCGAACAGCCGCGGCGCGATGCGGTCGTAGCCGCCCTCGGAGAAGTGTCGCGAGTAGGCAAAGTTGCCGCGGCAGAGGTGGATCCCGACGTGCATGTCGGCGGGGCGGGACGAGATGCAGTCGTTGTACAGCCTGATGTAGGACTGCAGCAGGGCGTCCGAGTCCTCGCCCGCGTCCTTGAAGCCTTGGAGCATCTTTTCCGAGCAGAAGTCTAGGCCGCATGGTTGTTAGTCAAGATGCTATTGACCGGTTGCTGGGGGGCAATGTTTGGGAGGGGCGCGGGTTTACTTACACGCCAAGTTGGGGTCATCTATTGTGATATTCCGAACGCCATGGTCGTACAGAATCTCCAGCTCTGTGCGGTATGCTTTGGCAATGTCCGCAAAGTACTCTTCGTCATTGGCATAGACGCCTTTGGGATACGCGTGCCCCTTCTGATACCGCAGGTGATACCACTCGGGCGCAGGCAGAGTCAACTTGGCCTCCTTGACGCGCTCAGGCGGGACGAGGCTCTTCAGGAAGTTCCACTCTCTCAGATACGTGCTGCCCTTGTGCTTGATCTTGCCTGTGCAGACGATGGACTCGCCGGGCTTGTGGTCGCTCTCGACTGGGGAACATGGCCGTCAGAAATCAGACATGGGCACGCAGGCACGCCTTCAGCAATCGGAGGAAGAAGACGAAGAAGAAGCTCACCAAAAGCCGCAATGTCTGGGACGTACATGCGGAAGATATCCCAGCTCGGCGCGTCGACCTCCTCGAAGCCCTCGAGACCGGGGAAGAAGTTGCCCCAGAATTGGTGGCGGCGGTACTCGCCGTCGGTCACGGCATGGAAACCGAGGTCCAGCTGAATCTTGACAATGTCGCGCACGCCTTGCTCCTCAAGCTGGTTCAGCTCCTCGTCCGCGGCAATCTCGACGGCTTTCTTGCCGTCCAGGGCTGTGCGCTTCTCGGTCAGGGCCTTGGGTCGCAGCAGCGAGCCCATGTGCTCGGCGCGGAAGGGCGGCCTCTGGTGATTCTTGGCAGCCATGATTTCTTTCTGGACAGACGGGGCGAGGAACTGCATTCTCAAAGATGTGTTGGAATGAATCCAAGCTCCAGCTACTATGTAGACGTCGATACTTGGGACGGCTGGGTAGCGTGGGTGGCCTGGTTTACATACGAAACTGCATTTCGATGATGCGGGTTTGGAAATTCGGCAGCAAGCCAATGATCCGGTCGGCAGGGTTCCTTGGAGAGAGCGTATGTGACCCAAGTGAGCATTTTTCGCCTTCCAGCCCTAGTCCCCGGTCTCGACGATGTCATCTCAGTCCATCATCGTCATATTCTACAGCAGCCTGCAGGGCGCACTGGTCCAAAAGTCAGAACTTGCCTAATTAGGTTGCTAATCAGTACTAAGGCCACCACTAGTGTACAGATAGCAGTAATATTACTTTATAGATAATAATTTATCTATATAGCATTTATAAGCCTTATCTATATAAAGATAAAATCTATATAGCTTATGCACACTTATATATAGACTTATACACCTATAATATATACTATTTAGTATAAGATAGTATTAAAGTGTCCTAAAAAAGACAGCCTTAACTATTTTATAGTAAAGTTACTCTATAAGTAGCACTTTTGCCCTTTTTATTCTCTTAATTTAACTATTCTCTAAGAACTACCTATAATTAACTTTACCTTAATTAATAAAAATATCTTTAAACTCCTAAAATCTTCTACTAGTATTTAATTATAACTACCTAAAAATAATATAAACCTAACTAAGTCTATACTATATATCCTAAATATAAAACCTTTAATAAGCTTCTTTATAGTAATTATTAAAGGCTTATAGAAGTATAAAGTAAGTATATAATAGATAAAAAACTAGCTAATTTAAGACCTAACTATCTATATTAATATTAGTCTTTAGGTTACCTTATATTATAAAGTAGATATTAATAGCCTTAGTTTTTATATATACACTTATATATAATACCTTAAGAAGTTTAATAAGAGGTTATAATTCTTATTAACTATAAAGTATACTTTATATATTAATATAATAAAGTACCTTATTATAAAGTTTACTTTAGATAAGGCCTTTCTTAGATATAAGTAAAAAGTAATTTTAATTAATATAAAAAACCTATTAGATATTATAAAGTTCTATAGTACTATATATAAAGCCTTTAATCTCTAAATATTTCTTTATAAGACTTTACTTTCTAGTAAGAAAGATAGCTTTACTATTATACTTATATCTAAAACATAAATTAAACTACTTATCTTTAAGCCTTAAGTTTTAAAAAAATAATAATTTAAGTACTACTAGCTAAAGCTACTTACTCCTGTATAGTAAAAGAAAGTCTAGCCTATACTTATATACCTTAGTACTATTTAGACTAAAATAAAATAAAAACTAATACTTAAAGCTCTAGAGGTAAGCTTATAAGTAAAATTATAAAAGTATATATACTTAAAGGTAAAGAATATAGGAAGTAAAAATTAAGAGGTAGCTATATAGAATAATATTAAAAATAAGGATTAGATAAAGGATATATAGGAGAATATATAGGTTAAACTAAAGGAGAGTTTACCTTCTAGTTTAAAATAAAGTTAACTACTTTATAAAGATTTACTATAAATTAATCCTAAGTGTAATAAATTATACTTTTACTTACTTAACTTTACTACTTTACTTCTCTAATAGAGAAACCTCTAGAGATACCTTTAAGATAATATATATCTCTAAATATTACTATAGGAAGTTATATACTTTAATATAAGGGTACTTTAAACTATAAAACTCTATAATAAGTAAAAAAGTCTCTCTAGAACTAAGAATATCTTTATAGACTTATGTTATCTATATAGGTAAATATAAATTAAGATTTATACTATCCTATTTAAGTACTATAAGTATTTTTTATACTTTTAAAAGATTAACCTTCTATATAAAATTAATTATAAAAGTCTAATTAGGCTAATAAAAGAGTAACTAAGGCTAGCTATAGACACTATAAGGCTAATTCTTTTATATATAGATATAATAATTATTCTAGAAGTATATAAAGTTAGAAAAGTCTTTATAAAGGAGTAGTATATAAATAAAAAGTAAAGTAATCTAATTAAAAAAAGAATTTAAAGAAAAAAGTTATAAGGACTATAGTTAATAAAAGAATCCCTATATAAAGTATAAGTATCTTAGAATATATATATAGACAAGTAAGTATTTACCTTTAATTATATAGATTAGGCCTAATATAATTAATTCTACTAACTCTTAATCTTAATATTATAAATACTTTTACTAAAGACTTAATAATTATAAAAGGTTATAAGAATATTTATATCTAGTTAAAATAGTGTATATTTTATATACTCTTATAAGAAATACTAATGCCTTCTTATAGTAAGGGCTACTTTTATACTATAGTCTAAATAAATAGTAAAAGGTATATACTTCTATTTAAGAATAATAGAGAGGTACTAGGTAAGTATAGATTAAGTAGTATATACAGAGAACTCTATATAAAACTATATAATATACTAAAAGTATATATTAATAGTAGTATATATCTTAAACCTAAACAGAAGTAGCTTATTATAAGTATTAATTAACTAAATAAAGTTAGGCCTTAGTATAGTCTAACCTTTCTATTAATACTAAAGCTCTTTTAAATATTCTTATATATTTTTAAGAAAAACTTAATAATAGGCTTTATAAAGGATATTTTAGCTAATAATATAGCTATATTAGTATATAAAAGTGTAAAAAAACTTATAGCCTAGGTCTTAGACTATATTTACTATACTGTCTTCTAATAAAAAGTACTAAACTATACTATAATATATAGCTTAAAGCTATTTAGGTGTTTAGTATTACTATAGTAAATAGTATCTTTAGATATCTTTAAGGCTATATTATAAGATTTAAAATCCTTTTATATATAAAATAGTAAGAATATTCTAATTAAAAAGACAGTAGTTAAAAAAGAGCTTAAAAATACATTAAAATAAAAGAACTAAGAATTATATATAGACTTTATAGTAATAGTTAATTAAAAGTAAGAATTATTTAAAAGTAGTAAAAGAAACTTAAAGTTAATAATTTTTTAATAAGTATATAATAATTACTATATAAGTCTATCTAGAATTTAACTTTTCTTAAATAAGTGTAAAATACTATATAAGGTTATATAATAGGCAACTAGTCTAAGGCATTTTAGAGAAAAAAATTTCAAGATATATAGGTTTATATAGAGGTATATAAAGGAAAAATCTTTATATATAGAACTATAAGATTAGGTATCTAAAAACCTAGAAACATAAAGACCTAAGTAGGCTAAAACTAATATATAAGAGTATATAAGGGTGCCTAGGTCTATAAAAAACTAACCTTATCTACTAAACTCTACACTTTACTATAAAAAACTAGCTGTAACAGGATTCATGGCAATAGCTGTGGGTCTTGGCGATGGATCGCCGAGCCTCTAGCGCCCTACCCCACCATCTAGTTTTCTAGTAGCAGAGCCCTTATTGTCTAGGCTCTGCAAGCTTAAGTCTTATAATACACTAATACCTACTATTGAGCCCTACCTGGTTAAGTGCCCATAGCTATTATTTTACACTAGCTAGGTATATACTATATTACCTAAATATATATATTTCTCTAAGACCTATAAACTTCTGTATCCTTTTATAAAGGCCTATATTCTTTTATAAACCCTTATATTCCTTATTATCCTCTTAACTACTACTATAAAAGTATATATAAAAGTATTAAATTAGCTAGGATATATATAGATATATATAGATTAGGTATAACTATTACTATTACTATTAAACTAAATTAAAAGGTTAATAAGATTATTAGCACTTATATAAAAGTTAGTAAATATATAAATAAAGACTAAGGTTATATAGATATATATAATAGCCTATAGACTTAAGCTTATTTACTATAGAAATAAGTGTATTACTAATACAGTATATATACTTAGGCTTAAGCCTATAGATCTATACAAGAAAGTCTATCTTTATATAGGTAGCCTTAATAGCCTTAGACTTATATAGAGTAAATAGCTTACTACTAGATTACTTATAATTACCTAGAACTATATATAAGTATAAGTATATATAAATACTAGCTAGAAATATATAGAACTTACTAAAGCTATAGGCACTTATACTAAAGTTATAGGTATAGTTAGTATAAGTAGTAGTATTTAAGATAACTATATAAGTTATATATAGACTATTACCCTTCTAGTAACTAGTATAAGCTTTTAAACTAAGGCGTATAGTTCTATACACCTATATTAGGATTAAGTTACTGTTCTATGTATATTTATACTTAAGTTTACGCTTAGTATAGATACTATTAGATACTTTTATATAGAGATTAAGTATATAAGGCTATATAGATGTTAGTACTTATAGAAAGAATATATATATAAACTTATAAAAGTGTCTTTTATATTAAAGAACTAGGTAATAACTTACTAAGAAGTATACTTAATAGTAACTATATAGATTAGTATAAAATAAAGTAGAAATATATAAGAATATATATATACACTTATAATAGTATATAGTAATTTCTATATTAGTAAAATTATTACTAAGCTATATAAGAATAGTGTTATCTACTAAAAGCTATATACCTCTAATCTCTTTTAGGATAAGCTTAGCTATAATATATAAGTCTATATAGATATATAGAAGTTATATAGTTAGTAATAGGCATAGACAAAAGTATAAGGACCTATAGGATTATATAGTAATATATAGTAATATATAGTAATATATAGTAATATATAAAAATATATAAGAATATATAAAAAAGTTATTAAATATATAAGGTAATACTAGGTACCTCTAAAAATATATAAATATATAAAAATCTATAAAAAAAACATTAGTTTAGTAATAATTAAAAAATAAAATAAATAAGTAAACAAGATAAATAAATTAAATAAAAGTTAATAGGAGTATATAGTTAGAGGTTACTTATATACTTTAAATTAGGCGTAAGAAAAAGAGGAAAAGTTTAGAAGTAGAAAGAAATATATTTATAGTTAAGGCAAAGTGCCTATAATTAGCCTTAGGTATATACTTCTATTAGGTATATACTCTAGGGCACACACTTCTCTATTTATAGACTAATTAAATAATTAAGGTATCTAAGTAAGTAGAACTATAATATTCTAGGCTATATAGAGTAATATAAATATATCTAAAAGGATAATTTATTTAAAAGACTAATTAGTTATATACAGGTTAGATTAATAATATACAGTGTTTCTAGAAACTAATGGGGTAGGTGTAGTAACTGTTTGACTTTTGGACCAGTGCGCCCTGCAGGCTGCCGTAATATTCCCCAAGCTTCACTAGCGCACCCGCCTTCGGTCCCCGCTTTCCCCGCCCTTTGTGATAGGTTAGTCGGCCGTACGGACTGTATGTGTTGTGTGTGTGCTCTTCTTGCCGGCAGCAAATGACGATGCAGTAGTGACTGCTTGACTGGATGGAGCTTTTCGCATTCGCTCCATCATCTTGCATGTCGAGCTTAATGGGTAGCAGCAGTTAAGAATTGGGCACCGGGAGAGAGAGAGATGGTTGCTATTTGGAAATGCATCTCTGGGAGCCCGATTGCATCAATGTACGGATAAGGAGGCATGGAGCTCTTATCGTCGTCTTATCGAAGCTTGAGTGGGGCTGGGCTGGCGGTGGCAAAGGCAGGCCTAGGCTTGCCTGTACTTAGCTCTCACAAAGGACCCCTATGGATAGACCCCGCGATGACATTGCGGACCTCCTCTCTGTTACACTACATCACCCACGTCTCTGCTGGGCTGCGGCGCAACATCACGAGCATCTATTTGCAGCCACTCAACCATTAAGTTTCTCATTTGAGAAACAACACTGTGTCGCCGCAAGCACCCATCACGGTGGCACCCTGTTCAAAGGCCAGAATTGCTATCATCCGAACTTGAAACTCGCCTCGGCCGCACCTCTTGCGTGAAACAGAGTGCCCCTCAGTCTAGATTGACGGCACGGCCTCCCAAGGCTCGTTGATAGAATCCACGTCTGTTCAGACTACCTGCTACCTACGCTTCCGACGACATTCTAACAGCTCTCAACATGGTCGTCTCCATCAATGATCTCCCGAACGAGATCCTCGCTCAAATCTTCTCCCACTTAGATCGCCCCGCGCCGTCGGACTCGAAGCTCCACGACCAGCCATCCTCGTTTATGCTGCAGAATCTCTTCTTTGATCGAGACCTCAAGACCACTTCCCTTGTATGCAAGCGATGGCGAGACGCTATACTGCCCGCTCTGTTCCGTCATGTCGTATGGACCTTCGACCGGTTCGAGCTGCCGCTGATTGAAGAGACGAGAGACCCAGCATCCGCAATCGACTTTCTTGCTTTCCTGAGGACTAACAATCTGACCAATCATGTTAAATCGCTTACACTCTTTGTTGAGGATGCCATGGGTGGCATCTCGGACGGCACCAGCAGCGCCACGCTCATGGAGACTGGTTTCGCCAACAAAGCCTCCTACAGCGAAGACTACAACTGGCTATGGAGGACCATCTTCGACCATGTCGATCCTATCCGGTTTACAATCATCGCATCGCCGCGAGTACTAGCACAATTGCTATCACGCATGCTCTTTCTCGGAGATGCGTGGAACTTCTCCATGCCCCAACATGTCCTGTCTCTCTCGCAGAAAGACAAGAAGATGCCCACGACAAGGTACAGTTCAAACGTCGCTACAGCCTCGTCGAGCCAGTCACCCCCGCCAGAGGCTTCGCACCAGAAACGTGTCCCCTGTGACCTCTTCACCATCCGCCCGTGGCAAGCTCTCCTGCTCAACGAGGGCTCCTCGACCCGCGTCTATAAGACATACGAGTTCTATCTCAAGCGCCCGCCGTCCATCCTCGGTGCCCTCCTCGGATCCGAAGAATTCCCCAATGACGAACCGATGGTGGCGCCGTCCATCCGCGAACTGTCCTACGTCGGCATCTTCCCCCTGTCGAGCCACTTCAACACCCTCGTCCAGAACATCCCCCGCCTCGACCGCCTCTTTGTGCAGCTCGTGCCCCGGAGCGACATTCTGCAGGACGTTGACGAGATGCGCAACGTGGAAATCGCCGACCTGTGGATGGAGCGCAACACAGCCTACTCGATGCTGTTCCGCGAGCTCTTCGACCCGGGCGTGGACAGCCCCTGGCTCGACCTACAGGTCTTCGAGAGCGGCGATGCAGCGGACAAGGAGGCATGGGATATGGCTGTGCAGTTCGTGCAGTTCAGCGGCGTTCACGGGTGGAAGGTCGAGAGTGAGGGCGTCTTCGTGCGTGATGGGGGGGAAGGCGCCAGCGCGATCCTCGGCATGTCTCAGTCAGTGGTGCCGGAATCACCATGATGAACTCGAAGAGGTACTAATTCAGGCCAAAGCCTCCCAGGTCGACTTAGACGCATGGCGTTCAATGGCATCACCGTGCTGCCTGTTTCCAGTGTATCGCTATATATGGGAGACGCAGCCGCTCCATAGACGGTGTTCGTAGGGCAATCAACGGCTCCGCATCAAAGCACATTCGGTGACACGGACCAAGTCAATATCAAGAGCTTTTGCTCGTCTTCCCCTGTTAAGATTCTGACTGCTCTATACCTAAGGAGGAGGATCTTCTAGACAGTGACTCGTCATACTGTGTTTATCATGGGTAAGAACTACCTGCTGATATAATAGACACTAGGTGGCGTACACACTTTACATCATCCATATCATTTTACAGCTCCTCTCTGACTGATTCCTGCAAAGTAACCTTACAGCCCGCAGGGCGTGTCAGGGCTGGAAGTTCTCTATTTTGCCATGGATCACACGTCCTTACGACGCTCCGATATTTCATCACGCCGAATATGGGTCCTGGGCAGATGTCCTTGACGCTTTCAACCGGAACCAGGCATCTCTGCGAGACCGCAACCCATCTGGATGGACACTTCTACATGTAAGCATACTTTTGCAACGCTCTGCATTGTGTCATATACTCCATCAGCCGTTTCCAGTCTTCTCCGGTCGATGGCATCGCTGATTTCTGGTCTCAGAAGGCGGCGTTGGGGGGAAATGTCGACGTCTTCATGAATTTGATCAAGCTGGGCCTCGGCACCCAGGAGACGACATTGTTTGGCCTCCCAGCGTTACAGGTGTTGTGGTTGATGGGACGCAGTGCAGAAGAGGTTGTCAGTGTAATGAGGCTACTCGCTCTCAGCGGCGACCTTGACGAGTATTTGCCGTCGCTTTTTCAGGAAAGAGGCAAATACATTGCAAGCGATTCCATTGATTTGGCGTGCAGGCTTTGACTTATGGGGCACACGAGGCTTCGGAACGAGACTTTGGGACGGAAAAGAAATTCGAAAGCTGGCGCAAACTTGCGCGACGGATCTTGCCTGCCGCGTCAATGGAAGCTTTGACTCAGACCAATGCTGTGCCGCTGCGTCGAGAGCACAATCTATCGCCGTTGTTCAGTGGCTTGTTTTTCTTGGATTTTTACTTTGGATGTTTCGACATGGAGAAGCGCGAATGGCAACGTCGTATGTCCAGAGTGGTGGTCATGTGGCTCGAAGATATTCGGTCTTCAGGCACAGACCTAGACGAATACGGTGCGGCAGTGCGAAAGCTATACCTCGACAACGCATGGTTACATGGCTGGCGGTGGCACTTGCTTGGAGGCAGGGGGCCGCGGTTGGTTGCGCTCACAAGTGGTCCCATGCCTGAGGACTGGAAGCTGCACTGGGACTGGGACTGGGACTTGGAGGACGACGAGTTTGCAGCTGAATTCTGGGAGATGTTGGAGAACTCGCCACTGCGCATTCCGGGACGAATGAAGTACTGATAGGGGTGATTGCTTCGGTGGCAGGGGGGTACGGATGAAGCTTGAATGACATAGCGTAAGAACTTCTACAACTTGACGAACTCTCGGCTGAAAAAGAATGCCCTTGGTGGAATGATTTGAAATATGAAAATGAGTGAAGTCTCGAGAGCATCAGCGTTTGCTTCCGTTCACCAAATGACGGCAGTAAGTCCGGCGAGATCAGGCCAATCAGGTGCTGCAGGTACGCGAGGTATGCAACACGGCCATGGACAGCTAGGTACATATACCTGAGCATATGACTGAATCAGCCGGTGCTTCCAGAGTAAAGTTTATAGCGAGACCTCGCCGTTCGACGCAATAGTCAACAGCCATGGTGCGTACCGCTTGGCAACATCGCGTTCGCACCATTCCAGCGATTCCCTGTCAAGTGCAGTCTCATCAGCGGTCTTCATGGAAAGCAATCTCACGCACATTTCCATCACTGCAGAAGTCCTTTGGTACGAACTCCTGCCGGGCTATGGCCATCAACGCTTCCCCGCACGGGCCAAACGGGGCGGTCTACATCCCTGAGGTCGATCTTGAAGACTTTGAAGAGTATAGGACTGGCGGCTACCACCCTACCACCATCGGGGACACTTTTGACAATCGCTACGAGGTTGTTCACAAGCTCGGCTTTGGCGGCTATTCAACAATATGGCTAGCCCGCGATAAACACCTGCAACAGTACGTCTCGTTGAAGATCATGATTGCCGATGAATCTTCAAAATCAACAGAAGCCTCTATTCTCCGGAAACTGCGCTGCGGTGGCTCTCACCCAGGGCGACGATTTGTTCCGCATCTACTGGACGACTTTTCATTCAGCGGCCCCAACGGACATCATGTTTGCCTTGTGCAGAAACCAATTGCTGCTTGTAATATTACTGCATCCAAGGAAGATTCAGTAAGCCTCATGTTCCCTGTCGAGACTGCCAGGTCTATTGCTGCTCAAATCATTATGGGAGTATCTTATCTGCACTCCCGTGGAGTATGTCACGGCGGTAGGTTAATCAATCTCGTATGCCTTCGGATCACGATCCTCGCCCAACTATCTTGTGGTTCTAATACTAGCCAGATCTTCACATGAGGAACTTTCTTCTCTACAGTCAGGATTTCAATCAGAATCTCAACAGCCTGGATCCTGAAGGGCTTTATAAGCGTTACCGCCTAGATAAGGCCCCTATCTCCAGGTTCGATGGCACACCAGTTGGACCTCACGCGCCGCCATATGCTGTTTACCCGATGCATGTAAAAACGCCTGCAGACAATGTTGTGGATCCCATGGTTGGCATATCTGACTACGGAACCTCTTTTGTGGTTGCGACTGTCAAGGAGGCATTGACCGAACCCCATACACCTGAGCTACACACACCTGCTCTCTATCTCCCACCGGAAGGCTTCTTCAACGATCTCATCACCCAAGCTGCAGATATATGGACACTCGGTGTTAGTCTTTATGAAGTGCTTGGAGAGAGACCTCTCTTTGAATCGTTCGGCTGGGACCGTGACGACATTATAGCCGAGATGGTGAGCACATTTGGGCCACTACCTGCTCGATGGTGGAATACATGGTCAAACCGCAAGGACTTCTTTGAGTCTGACGACTCTTGGACTTGTCATATAAATGAAAACAGGATCTACACCCCCGGGTCCCGTTCTCTGTATCAGCGTATGTGGGATATGGGGCGTGGCGAGACGCCTGATACATGCCAATGGGATACTCAGGGAGGTGAGATGCAGGCTTTGGAGGAGTTGCTGCGGGGCATGATGGCGTTCGAACCTACTGAAAGGTTGACAGCTGAGCAGCTGATGAGATCAGAGTACATGGAGAAGTGGGCAATGCCGGCTTGGGAGAGACAACAAGAGAGACAAAGAGAAAGCGGGAGCAGCAACTTAAGCCCGTCCCTTTCGAGATAGCAGGTCGTCAGGTAAGAGAGGCAAGGACCCAATCTAGCTAACCCCTCCAGGTGAGCCGCTAGTATCGAATATGGCTGGGTTGGAGAGAGTAAGGAATTGAGCATCTGTTGAATAGTGTAGGTGAGCCTGCGAGAAGATGAATTCAGGTGAGGATGCTTTGTTCTCATTGGTGCAAATTATGGCAAATTAGGCGTGTCAGCCAAATAATCCAGCGTAACGTCATAGTTGGACTACTGCTGTAAAATGAGCACATACGACCATACCCAGTGGAGAACTCGGGATTCCGTCCGCTCTCCTATATAAGCCAGTGAGTCTGTTGAGTCCATTCAGTTAGAGTCAACGGGCCAGAACGTATGACCGCCTTGGACCCGGGCCCGGCTTCCGGTTTCGGACGCACCCTGCCGGGAATGCCCCGGTTAACGACGAAGAAATGCCAGACGCTCCGATGGATACTTGGAACTGGATTGACAAGAACATCCAGCCCGACTGCGCAGCATACCAATTCTCTAGCTAGCCACTAGTACTCCCCTGTTACTACCTGACTTATAGTATCTTAGTAACACCAAGGAATATCTACTAGGCTTAGTAGACTACTAGAATAACAAGGCATTGTTAAGATTTTGAGTAGACAGTTAGGTGTGTCCTTGAGGAGGGGGTGATTAAGGGGATTTGTATCCTGAGCAGCACTGAGCACGGGTGACGGGAGCCTGAGCAAGAGTGGTGATGCTGTGTACGACTGCCTGAGTAGGTACGACCGTACGAGTGACAGCTCACCGGAGCTCTCGGTGAAGCTCGGTGTGCTCCACATCATGTGACTTCGCCACCGGGAAATGGCCCAAGCTCGCATGGGCAAAAAGCGGGGTGTTGCAGCATCGCCCGTCCAATCAGAGGCGTTGGCTCTGCCAGCAAAAGCCAATTGGCGCCGTCCCTCAGTGGCTGGCAGGTGCCGCTAGTGTGCAACGGAAGCAACGATTTGGTCGGGGTCGTGGTCGGGGAAGGGATGGATGGCTAGGCCAAAAAACAGTGTCGATCGTCGTCGCATTTCTCCCCCAAAATCAGTCGACCTATCGAACGACACACACACGAGCACGAGCACGAGCACTACATCATTAACTGCCACCTTCTCCTCACCTCTCCTCCTCCTCCTCCTCCTCCTCCTCCTCCTCTTTTACTTCCCATCTCTTCGTCATCACCATCCCCCTCTTTCCGCAGCGGCCGCTTTCTTCGTTTCTTCCTCTCCCTTGTTTGAACCTCTTTACCTTCACCACGACAGCAACTTGTATTATACCAATCCCAGCGACGCTGACAAAAACCGACGATTTGGTGCTCGAGCTTCCGGATATAGCTTCAAAATCTCCCCTCCCCCCCAAATTCCAAAACAACCCTGATACTTGCCTTGGGTCGCCCACAATAGGCTATTCAATGTCAACGCCTCTTTCATCCCGAAGAAAGTGAGCGCCGTTTCGCACACCAAGAACGGAAAGAAGGGCACGAGATACGAAGAACGATACCAACTGAAACCTTCATCCTACAAGTAACAACAACAACAACAACAACACCAGACCACTCGATCTTCAAGCCAACATGGTCCTCACACACACGACGAACCACACCTACTCCCACCCCTTCCCGACCGTGACGCTCGCCTACTTCCTCCGCTACTCCTCCCCCAAGCTCAACCCCTTCTCAACCCATGTCCTCAGCACCGACACCATCGACAGCCACCTCGACCCGGCCACGGGCAGGCTGCACACCACCCGCATCCACCTGAAGAAGTCGCGCATGCCCGCCCCCATTTTCAAGCTCCTCCCGGCCTCCATCACCGGCGGCGGCTCCGCCAGCGAGAAGGCGAGCTACGTCCTCGAGACCTCCGTCATCGACATGCGCGAAGGCTGGATGACCACCGAGAGCCGCAACCTCAACTTCATGAACGTCCTCTCCGTAGTCGAGAAACAGGACTTCCGCCTCCCCGCCGAGGCCCCCGCCGATGCGGCCACCGACGTCACCACCACCCTCGTCTACAAGTCACGCCTCGGCGACCGCCTCCGCGGCGGGAAGAAGGACCAGGCCCCTTCGGCCGTCGACCAGCCCGAGCAGAAGGACGGCCGCTGGATGCCCGGATGGATGAGCGGCATTGGCGCTCGCGGTGTTCAGCGCAGCATCGAGAGCATCGCCTCGAGCAAGACCCAGGACCAGATGGGCAAGAGCCGCGAGGGCATGCGCGTCGTCTTGGAGAGGCTCCGCAAAAACGGCGTCGTCGGCGTATTGGAGATGATGAGACGGGAGCGCCAATTGGCTTGAAGGCCTCTCTCGCCTCGATGGATGCGAACATTGGAGCGTGACCTGGACCGGGGGAGGGGAGAGAGCGCGAACACATGTACATCACTCGCGACGGACTCTTCCTCTGACGGCTAGGCAGTCCGCGGCTCACGCTCCGGTGTACTCCCTTGTACCCCTAACCCAACCCACTTGTTGTACATTACTATATATGACCATAGCGCGGCGTCTTTATGGCTTTCTTTACGGCGGTTGAGGACACACGGCACGAAAACGGACTGTGGACTGACGGGAAACAAAAAAAAACATTATTGGGCTTGCTCTGTCATGCCGTTTCTGTATGACATCCCCTCTCTTGTAGTTGACACTGATGTAGTCAAACATGTATTCAAATAAAACAAAATTTTTCAATGTTTCAATCTGCAAGCGCCACGAGCATCTCGTGGAAAACATGTCTTTTGTGCATGGGCAAACACCACACACACACACATACACATACACACACAAACAACACACCCCTGTGGCTGGCTGGTCAGACCAAGAACCGTTTACTCGGGCTGGTCGGCGGACGCCCACGGAGACTGGCTGAAAACCCGGTTGGTTTTAGCATACGGCCCCGGGTCTTGGCGGCCTGCACGACATCCGGAAGGTTTGGACGATTGCGTCTGTACCGGTACCCGATGTCGAAAGGTTTTTTTTCTTTCATTACTGGTCCCACCCGGTCGGCTCCAGCCGGTCTCGTGACGGAAACACATGGAGAAGCAGATGGGAAACAAATCCCATAGGCCAACATTGTCTGTCTTGTCCGGATCACTCGCCCGGATGTGCAGGTACGCAATGGGCTGGTTTCGGAACGGACCCTTTGCGGTCGTCGTCCGCGGGCATTTCTTTTGCTGCTATACATACATACATAGTCCTACAATATGATACATGACCCCTGCGTGCGCCGCCGCCGCCGCCGCCGCCGCTACCGCCATTAGACCATCCCGCCCTTCATTTCTGCACCTTCTTGGCCTTGGCCTCCTCGTCCGCCATCATGGCGGCGATGTCGGCCGAGACGAGCCAGTCGCGGACGGCGTCGACGATCTTGTCGAGCGACTCGCCGCCGTTGATGACGTCGTCGAGGTTGTAGACGTCGAGGCCGGCGCGGTGGTCGGTGACGCGGTCCTGGTTGTAGTTGTAGGTGCGGATCTTGTCGCTGCGCGAGATGCGGTGCTTGGAGAGCACCGAGTCGCGCAGCTGGGCGGCCGCCTCCTCGCGCGCCTCGCGCCGGATCAGCGCGAGGCGCGACCGCATCAGCTTCCACGCGTCCTCGCGGTTGCGCGACTGCGACCGCGAGTCCTGCATGCTCACCACCGTCCCCGTCGGCAGGTGCGTCATGCGGATGGCAGACTCGGTCTTGTTGACGTGCTGGCCGCCGGCGCCGCGCGCCCGCATCGTCTCGATCTTGACCTCGGCCGGGTCGATGTAGAAGTCGCTCTCCGGGTTGTCGACGTCCTGGGCGCCGCCGTCGCCGCCGCTCTCTTGGAAGGACGGGAGGACCCACACGGCCACGGCGCTCGTGTGCACGCGGCCGTTCTTCTCCGTTGCCGGGATGCGCTGCACGCGGTGCATGCCGGCCTCGCCGCGGAACAGGTCGTAGGCGCCCGGGTCGTGGATCTCGACGATGGCCTCCTGCAGCGGGCTCTCGCCGGCGGCGGTGGACTGGTCGCCGGCGGCGTCGGCCGTCTCGTACTTGATGACCTCGGCGCGGTACCCCTTGCGCGAGCAGTACTGCTTGTACATGCGGAACAGCGTGTCGGCGAAGAAGCGGCCCTCGAGGCCGCCGGGCCCCGGGCGGATCTCGAGCAGGCAGGGCATGTGGGCGTAGGGGTCCCTGGGCGTCAGCGAGGCCGAGAGCCTGCGACAGACGGCGGCGAGCTGGTCTCGTGTCGACTCGAGCTCCTCGGCGGCCATGTCGCGGAGCTCCTTGTCCTTGGAGCCGAGGAGGCCGTTGAGCTCGGCGACGGAGCCCGTCGCCCGTTCCCACTCGCGGAGGGCCGTGACGACGCTCGAGAGCTCGCCGAGGCGGCGCGCCGTCTTGGCGTCGTAGTCTAATTCGAGGGAGCGGGCGAGGGCGTCGTGTTCGGTGGCGATGGTGCGGGCTCGTTGGAGGAGGGCCGGTGGGAGGTGTGCGGTTGTGTCTGCGAAGGGGGGGGAAGGGAGACAGTGTTAGCTCATGGGCGCGTGGGTGTAGAGACGATGACGATGGAGGGGGGAGAGGAGCTTGCCTGAGCTAGCACGGCGGATGAATTGGGTGCTTCTGGGCTTCAGGAGCCCTCCCAGGCAACGCCGACACACCCATGGCGCCGCGAGCATAATCGAGTAGAAATCGGGGAGCTGGCGGGGGAGAATTGGTGGAATTCGGTCCAAATTGAGGTGCTCGTTCAAAGAAAAAAAAGAAAGAAAAAAAAAGTTTGGTTGCAAATGGTCTCGACCCTGCATGCAGGAGCTTCTCCGGTACGTTTTCCAGGTGCAGCGTCTTTGCTCAGAAAACGTATCTTATGTAATACGTATTTTTCATCCCATTGCCATACACAACCACCAACATCAAGGTCTTTCATTTCATTTCCCTTCGTCCAAACTCTTCTCACATACCTACAAATGATCCCGATCCTCCGTTTTGGCCGTTGAACGATACATTTTATCGATCCCTTGCCTTCAGCTTGACCCCAGCCAAACCACACAGGCCGCACCGGAGCGTTCGCCCCGGCTTGGTTGACCTCGACTTACACGACACGAACAAGGGCAGGTTCAATTCTAACGATTGCACAGTCCAAACCCGAAACACCCGAGAGCTGGAGCTTCTACCTCATCTCCGAGCGGCAGAGCTCCATAGCTAGCTCGCTGGGCCCACAACGTTCCCTTTTCGCAGCGCCCTTCCGTTGACATATGCTTCAGGCGACAGCAGCACGCGCTCCACAGATAACCGCACCCATGTGGACTGGCGCCGCCTCAGTCGCACACACCTCTGCAGTACCGGTAACCCGCAGTCGTTTTAAGCTCGACTCCTCGAGGCCCGTTACCAATAATTACCTAATTTGGGCCAGTGTCCGTTGTCGTCCAAAACCGGATGGCTCCGCCTGCGTGATTCTTCGCTGCTCGACCATTGGGGCGCGAATGAGGTATCCGGAGATGGAGACGGAGACGGGTATCGCCAGGTGAGTCAAGCCGCTAGCTGGTGCGCAATATATATATATATATACATCAAATTCCCTCTCACGCTTCGTACCATCGAACACCATACGACTTGCCCTTCATCTTTATTGTACCCCTTCCTTTTAAGCCAATCTCGGTTCAAGCATCTCAGACACCCTGAGACCCTTCCTAGTCAACCCACCGTGACTCACAATGAGCCTCGTCCTCTTCATCGCCAACAAGCGCTACTCTTCATGGTCCATGAGACCCTGGGTGCTCCTCAAAGCCCTCGACGTCCCCTTTGAGGAGCGCCTGCAGACCTTCGCCCCCGGCCACCGCCAGCCCGCGTTCCTATCCTTCTCGCCCAGCGGCAAGGTCCCGGCCCTGGTCGACGGCGACGTCACCGTCTGGGACTCCCTCGCCATCGTGGAGTACATCGCCGAGGCCCACCCGGCCGCCTGGCCCCGGGACAGGGCCGCCCGCGCCTTCGCCCGCTGCGCCGCCGCCGAGATGCACTCCGGCTTCGAGGCCATCCGCGACCAGTGCTCCATGAACGTGGCGCTGCGCATCGACCTCGGCGGGCCGCCCGACACGGCGCTGCAACGCGACCTCGACCGCCTCGACCAGCTGTGGACGGACGGCCTCAGGCGGTTCGGCGGGCCGTTTCTCGCCGGCGGGGAGTTCACTGCCGCCGACGCCTTCTTCGCGCCCGTGGCCACGCGCGTGCAGACTTTCGGGCTGCGGCTCTCGGGGCCCGCGATGGCGTACGTGGAGACGCTGCTGGGGCACCCTGCCGTCAAGCAATGGATCGAGGAGGGCATTGCCGAGACGATGCGGGAGCCGACCCACGAGGAGGACGTGCTGAGGGGACGTAAGGTCCTGCAGGACTTGACCCGATCCCAGTGAAGGTCATCGTGTGTCACATGATGAAGTACATATATTCAAGCGGACCTTTTATCATCTAGCGAGCGTCTATAGAAGTGATAGAATGGATTCTATGAAACCCGGTCTCGTAATGATGTGGAATGCGTAGCGTGCAAATGACAGACGGGAAGATGACACTGACCCTTGGGCAATGATACAATATAGATGTGACGGTGGGGTTGTTGCTCAGGATTCGGTTCTGTTTTGTGGGGAGAGGCCGGCGTTCCGTTCCCACAGAAAACATATTTTCATTTCCGGCCCTCTCAGTCATCCAGCAGCAAGCCTGCAATGAGCACAATAAGCCCTGATGGTCTAGCGGTATGATTCTCCCTTAGGGTTGTCTTCACGGCGATTCATTCTGGGAGAGGTCCCAGGTTCGATCCCTGGTTAGGGCCCAAATCTTTTTCCTGTTGGAGAGAAAAATAAATACCCTTTTCTTTTGCTGGCTGACTTGACCTCGTAGGTGAGAGAAGATGAAAGAGAGCGTGTGAGGGGCCGACCAAGATGGTGGTTGATGCGCGGGCCAACGCGAAAAGGCCATATGCATCCGGCTGCCTCTTGCTATAAGCGAATAAGAAAAGGCATATACATACGGAGGATGTGAACAGCAGGTTCATGAGGAGGTCAGCGGTTGTTGGTCGGGTCTTATCGAACTGAGGACATGTTGGTTGGCTAGGTTCAAAATCGGGCCAACAAGACGTGCATGCGAATGGCCCTCGACACTGGTCGGCGGCAAGAGCATCAACGCAAGGCAGATTTTAGTTTTGATGCGGGAGGCCTTCCACTCCAGTCCAGGCTTTCCCCGGGCCAGGCAAAACAGCACAACATCTCGGTATTTCAAGACATCAGCCCCAGCTTCTTCTTCACCTTCAGCAACCGGAAGAACCATACCAAGACTTGGAAATACTCTTTTTGCCAGCTTCTTGTTCAGATACCCGGTTCGGCAGCTCAAACATAAATCACACAAAGATGGACTGCAGCCGGTTCTTCGAGTGCTTCCCTCTCGGACAGCCCCCGCAGCCGCAACGGCAGCAGCCAACCGCTGCGGAGAAGCCGTCCGGTGTCATCGCCGACCAGCCCGTCCGGTCCGCTCAAGAAGCCGCCGGCGAGTTCGTCGACATCCTGCGCACCGCCGAGAAGGGCGGCAAGGACCTCGAGCGCCGCCTCAGGAACGTCGTCACCGCCAACTCCTGGACGGAGGAGATCGCGAAGCACATCCTCCGGGGCGTCGAGGCCCTCGTCCGGCACCGCGACACCATCGGCCAGGTCGTCAGGGGGGCCACGGACGCGGCCGCCGACGCCGCCGAGAGATTCTTCGACTTCGCCGCCGACCACCCGGTGTTCGTCACGCTCGTCGCCATCGGCGTCCTGGTCGCCGTCGCCCCCTGGGTTCTCGAGGCCCTCGGCTTCGGCGAGCTCGGCCCCGTCGCCAGTAAGTCCCCACGTCGCGCGCCGTTTTTTTCTGTCGTTGTTCCCCCCCGAGTTGAGCGCTGATTGTCCTGCCGCAGACACCTTTGCCTCTTTTTGGCAGGCCCGTTACGCGGGCTTCGTGCCCAAGGGGTCCCTCTTCTCCTTCTTTCAGCGCCTCGGAATGGTATGGAAATGACTTCTGGCTCCGATATGGAAGGTGGTGCGGGTGAGGTCTAGGTTGTAGTAGTATCTACGTAGTCGGTCTGCTGAGAGCAAGAAGAAGCCAGCATATATGGAATAAAGACAAGGAAATATACGCGGCTATTGGCCTCCTTTTGGCCTACTAACAAGGCTCACTCGGGACAAATGATCTCTCACACGCACTTTAAGCCGTCCAACTGGCGTGCCTACCTGTCTGCCCGCTCAAGAAAGAAAGATGAGTATATAACCTGACCTCTTTTCCCATCACCATCCTTATAATGCACTCCCAACTTCGCTATTTCCACTCTCAGGCATACTACCCAGTGTAAATTCACCACATATCACACCACAACTTACAACCCCGATCAGAAAACACCACCAAGATGTTCGCCTTCCTCGCTTGGCCCGTTGTTTTCGGCCTTAATCTCCTTGGCTTTGGACCCCTCGGTCCCATTGCGGGTCAGTCCTCGTCCAGGGTAAACTCCTCCGGTCGATCTGCTGCTAATCTGCTCCACACAGGATCATTCGCTGCCTTCTTTCAGAGCTTCGTGTACGGCGCAGCGGTTCCCGCCGGCTCGATCTTTGCGTGGTGTCAGCATGTTGCCATGACTTGGTTCATCTAGCCTCGACGTCAACTCAAACACCACGCCGCCTTCCGAACTATGAGATATCATGTGAAGGACAGGGAAAAGACAGAGCAAGGATAAAGTCATTGGGAACTCTGGAATGGAGCGTTTGGCGATACTTTCTTGTCCTCGGCGAACCACGATGCCAGAAAAGATAGCACGATAGCGCTACTTGACCATGCGACAGTACCAAAATATCAAACTTCCTACCCAAGATCTCATCTCGCGATTGTTCTCCTCATGACCTACCCATGATGTGATGGGTTCTCGGTAAGGTTCTAGCTGGGGAAGGCGAAGACGAAAGCATTGCCAATGTCTTGGGAACACCGAAAGGCTCTTTAGTGTCTCGTTTCTGATGTCGACGGCCTCCCGCGTTAGACCGAAGCTTCCCTTGCCAATTGCATTTTTTTGGCCTCTGTCCAGCATCGGCGGCTATTCATATGCGTGTCTCGTTGGCCCGATTGCGAACCTTGATAACCAGCTTTACTCTCGCTTCGTTAAGGCTAGGCCAACGCGAGTTGGCCTCGGTACCCTTCCGTCTTGTGATGCCTCTCTCCAACGTCTTTCAAGTATAAAAAGACCCCCTTTCGAGAGGCAAACGTAGAGTGTCCACGCCAAGCCGCTTCTTCCTCTGCCAAGGCACTTTGCTCCTCATCAAAACGCTACATACTACGTACGCCACACACGGCACTTTCCGTCACATATCGACAAGATGGGGTTTTTCGTTGCTAGTTTGTTGAGTTCGGTTTTGTGGTTCGTCTTGCCGGCTCTTTTCACGGTTGTAGCAAGGAAATATTCCTTCACTGGGTTGTGATACTTCGGTCTCCGCGCTGGTCAGTTTCTCCTGGTCCCAGCTAATCTCCTCTGGCTGACCTTATGACAACGTGTTGCACCTAGACTCCTCTGCTGCCTACCATCGGTCCACACATGGAGCAAATGTTATTGCTAGAGGATTCTTCGCGCGCCTCCAGGGCGTTGTCACAACTGGGATGATATTCAATCCCCAATTTCAACGCGAATTTCAACTGCTTCCTAACAGGTGCTATGCCTCTGAACAACTCCGAAAGCCGGTCTGAGGGTAGCCGTTATTGAAACGCTGGTGGCTGAAGGGTTGAATGTGTTATGAGTCTTGTCGTCTTGCGGACAGAGTGATGTTTCGAGAGGTAGCACGAGTGGTATTTGGCTCAAAGTGATTACGAAAAAATCAGACAGCTTCTTGTTACACTGTTGTATTACAACCTGTAATGAATCTGTAGTCGTGGCTCCCAACTCAACAATTCCACATTATATTCGTTCTGCCTTATTCCCAAGTCGTTCCTATCTGAGTGAAGCAAGTTAGTAAGATTCAACCACAACGATATTTGCTAAAGAGCGGAAGAAGAACGCTCTCCTTGCCATGTAGCCAGACGCTACTCGAATCACTTCTCTCTAGGCTTTACCATATTTCCTGATCCTCACCTGCAGCCGGCCGTAGTCCGAACCCTCCTCCTTGAAGGATATAAACCTGTGATAAAAGGAAGCAGATGCCGTGAACATTTCAAAGCCAGCCTTCGCGCATGATGATATTCACCACAAAAGGGGACGGAAGACCTAATAATGGATCGTTTCTGACTCCAATGCCTGTGATGAAAGGCACACTGCCGGGCCAAGACCACACTTCTCGGCTCTCTTCCCGATCAGCAGCACGAGGTTTTTCTTCCCTCTTTCTCCCATACTGCGAAACAGAAAAGACCGCAAAAAATAAAAAAAATAGAGACCTCTTCATGGGTAAGCCCCGAAACAGCTCGCGGGAAAAAAGTAAAAAAACCGAATCAAGTCGAGTCCTCCATCCTCCGCAAACACCCCAAAACGAAACACGCAAGGATGGTTCTCCTGGAGATGACGACCTACCTTACCCTCCTCATCCTCGACTTCTTCTGCTCCCTCTTCGACGCCGGCTGCCACTACACCCAGACGTTCGCCCACATCATCCTCGCCGTCTTCGCGTGGTTCACAGACATGACCGTCGGGATGATCATCAGACTGTTCATCACCCCGGTGCTCTCGTGGATGGGTTACGGCCCCAAGGGGTCCATTACCGGTAAGTTGGCAGACGAGGCATATCCGCGGAGCGCGCTCCGGGGAACCCCTCCCCCCCGGAAGAGTGAAAGAAAAAAAGAAAGAAACCCCCCCCCCCCGGGCAGAAGAAAAGGCTGACGGCTTCGGTTCGGAGCGATAGGATTCCTCGGCCCCGCCTCCTGGGTTCTCTACCGCGACCTCGTGCCCGCAGCCGAGTTCGTTGCTCATCTGCAGCGCATGGCCACCGCTTGGTACACTGACTGGTGAGGCGTTTGCGGCACGGGAAAGCACCGGCATACGACGGGTAAACGCCGTCCCGGTTGCGGGATTGAGGCGTATCGGGCTGGGAAACGAGATTTGGCTGCACGATTCAGCTTGGGTCCGGCCATGCCGTCGACAACGGCACTCCTTGAACGTCGTTTTCTTATTGTAGCTCCAAGAGGATACAGGAGCAGGGGGTCCATAATGCCAACGGCGGCAGAAGGGGGGCGTTCGTCTAGATGTCATGCTACAATAGCTCAAAGGCACGGCATGCTTGTGCACAAGCAGATCGTCAGATATAGTTTGGCTCCCATTTCGAGAGCTGCAACGGTGACATTACAAAGTACAGCCACCCTGCTTTTCGCGGTAGTCCGATTTCATCAGGACATGGGCGTGCAGGTATTGGTGTCGTGGTTCAAAAAACTTTCCCTAATCCTCAAAACGCCCGAAAAGCCGCCACCCAGCCAGGAATCACAGACGCATAGGCCAAGCCGCTCGACACGACGCTATGCAGCAGGCCGCCCGCCCCCCCGCTCCTACGCCTCCTCGGTCGAAATGCCCGCAAATGCCTCCTTCTCCCCGGCCTCGCTGTTCTCCGTCGCCGGCTCCGTCGTATCCCACACGTCCTTCCGCAGCGCCTTATCCTCCTCGTCCTCTACGGCGCCAAACTTGGTCACGCTGAACTCGGGCATGCGGCGCCGCTCCTTTGAGAGGACGCCGGCGCCGGCGCCAACGCCGCTCTTACCGGCCCGGCGCCTGCGCTCCTGCTCGGCGTCGCGCTGGGTCGCCGCCTTCTCGCCCGCGGCGTCGAGCATCGTGCCCTCGAGGCTGAGGTAGCCATGGTCGCCGCTGACGCCGACGTCGAAGGCCTTGACGCGGAAGCGGACGCGGCCCTTGACCTTGTCGCCGTTGCCGTCGACCCAGAAGCCCGTGGTGTGGATCTGGCGCACGGCGCCGTGCTCGTCCTCGGCCTCGGCGGCGGCGTCGTCGTCGTCGCCGCCGTCAAAGGGGTCGGCGACGTAGGACGCCGCCTCGGCGGAGCCGGCGTGCACCCATCGCCATTCGGGCGGCAGGCGCGACGACTCGATGCTGGCGTTGAACTTGCCCCAGCAGACGACGCCGATGTGGCCCTCGCTCTCGAGGTTGATGCTGCCCTCCATCCAGGCGCCGCGGCGGGGCACGAAGAGGTCGACGTCCGCCGTGACGTAGCCGAAGCCGACGGCGTACTCGTCCACGGACACGAGGTCGCAGTGCTCGCTGTCGTTGGTGGCGGCGTGGCGGCGGCCGGGCTGCTCCGAGAGGGAGACGTTGCGGAAGGCGAGGAGGACGCCCTTGAGCTCCGGGACGTAGCGGTTCACGAGGGGCTCGAGGTGCTGCGACGCCGCGGCCGTGCAGGGCGTGTCCCAGCCTACGGGGTAGATGGGGAGGTATAGGGAAACGGTCTGGGTGAAGAAGGGGAACTGGGGCTTGGGCGGCGCGTCGGGGGGCTGGTGGACTCGGGACGTCGATTTCGTCCTCGCGGGGGAGTCGACGTCCATTGCGTCGTCTTCGTCGTCGTCTCTGTCGTCGGCTGCAGGTTCGGGAGACGCCGCCTTGGCCTTCTTGCTCTTCTTTCCCTTCTTTTCGCTTGCCGGCTCGGCGGCGGCGGCGGCGGTTGTTTCGGCGGAGGGTTCCTCGAGGTCGTCCTCCGTCTCTTTTTGTGACTTGCGCTTCTTCTTCTTGTCCTTCTTCTCCTTGCGCTCGGCGTCCGACGCAGCACCTTCTTCTTCGGCTTCGCCTACTGACTCCTTGTGCTTCTTGTCCTTCTTCTTCTTTTTCTCGGGCGACGGCTCGCCATTGAGGGCTGCTGAAGGGGCCAGCGAAAGGTCCTGGGATCCCGAGGGAGACTCATCGTCGTCGGGCACCACGCCTATGCTCTTTGTGCGCTTGTGCTTGCGCTCCTCGCCGGCCTCGGCATCCTCCTCCTCGCGCAGGCGCTTCTTCTCCTTCTTGTCCTTCTTGCTCTTCTTGTCGGACTTGCGTCCATTGGTCACCGGGGAATCGATCGCCGCCATGGCTGCGGGTGCTGCTGTGCCGGGTTTCGTTATGTTGTGTTCGTCGATCTCGCCCGGCGGGTCGCGAGGTAGCTGCGTTCCCGATTTTTCGAAAAACAGTTCGCTCTTCTCTTTCGGTTTAAAAAAAATTTCGAGGGAAACTTCACCGATCGGTGGTGGGGTCGCCCGTCTCCCGCGCCCAGGTTGTCCAGCCTATCAGACAACACCGCGAATGCAGGGATGTCTCAGTGGAGCTGGTCAGTACGTACCCAGGCCGGGTCTTGGAGATTTACCATCTTCCTCCCCCGAACATTGAAGCAATTGACAAGTTTCGCTTGGCCCCAGAGGTGGGAGCCCGATGTAGCTCTTAATGTGGAGAAGAGCGGCTGGCGGCCGCCTACACGCGGGAATTTTGCCCTCATTGACTACCTCAAGTCAAGGTGACGACAGGCGAGACGAACGACGCGGGGTTGAACGGCCCTCGGATCTCACGGTCTACTTGCCCAAACAGAGTTCCCCTCCAACCTTTGAAGCACGTCTTAAAACCGGGGTCCGTTCCGAGAGATTGAAGCACAACGGACAAGCAAAATGAGCAAAGCGTCTTACAAATACAGCAGTACTTAAAAGATGAAAATTTGTGGGGTGACTTACAGATATATAGTCCCAGCGGGGTGATTCTGGCCTGCCGTTGTCGCTCTACGGAACAGACCCGATATCGTATGACTCTAGACGTACTCCCACCTGCCGTAGGAGTCGCAACTACATTCTCAAAATATTGCATCATTGCTTTGTGTCGCAAACCCCGCACCTCGAAGAATTATCGAAACTTGACAGCCCGTAACACTCTCTGATACTATCCGTCGACACGTAACCATGTCAACTTTCAGCCCTTCCAAGATCCTCGTATTTGGCGCGACGGGCAACATTGGCGTCTTCATTACCGACGCCTTGTTGGACGCCAGCCCCCCGTTCGGCCAAATCACCATCTTCACATCGCCCGCCACTGTCGAAAAGAAGGCATCCTTGCTTGACGGTTGGAGGAAGAAGGGCGCCAAGATTGTCAGCGGCGACATCGACGACGAAGAACAGGTCAAGACCGCCTACAAGGATGCCGACACTGTCATCTCGGCGCTAGGAAGGGACGTCATCGAGAAGCAGATCGACCTGATCAAGCTGGCAGAGGAGACCGACTCCGTCAAGTGGTTCTTCCCCTCCGAGTACGGCACGGACATCGAGTACAACTCGAAGAGCGCCCACGAGAAGCCCCACCAGAAGAAGCTCAAAGTGCGCAAGTACATCCGCGAGAACGTCCGGCGGCTCCAGTACACGTACCTGGTCACGGGTCCGTATGCTGATTTTTTCTTTAAACTCGCCGCCGCCGCCCCGGAAGCCGGTGGTTTCGATTCGGCAAACCACAAGGCCGTCCTGGTTGAAGACGGCGACGGCAAGATCGGATTGATCACTATGAAGGAGTGAGTGCCGGCCCTGTGTTGTTCATGTGTCGTCAAGTTCATACTGACTCCTTCCAGTGTCGGCACGACTCTGGTCGCCTCGCTCCGTCACCCCGAGGCGTCCTTCAACAAGGCCCTCAAGGTGCAGTCCTTTGTGGCGACGGGCAAGGAGATCTTGGCCGAGTTCGAGAAGCAAACAGGCGTCAAGTGGGATGTGACGTACTCGTCGCTGCAAAAGCTCAGGGAGGCCGAAGAGAAGGCATGGGCCGAGGGTGTGCCTTTTGCCACCATCTTCACTCTGCGACGCATTTGGGCCGAGGGCAGCACCTTGTACGAGAAGACGGACAACGAGACAATTGGACTTGGGCCTGACGACGTCGAGACGTTGGAGGTGGCCGTGAAGCGAGCATTAGGTAAGGTTCAATAGAGTTGTTCAATAGAGTTGTTCAAGAGAGGCATAATTGACGATCCATACGCCAATGACGGAAGATTCCAAAGCAAAGTTGTAAACTAAGCCGTTTGTGCACCATACCGAACGACTCCAACTTGAGATGTTCGTATTTAATAAATGAACAATTCGTCTACTCACGGTCTTTAATTTTCCCATTCACACTTGATTCATCTTGCAGCTATGGAACAATTGCAATTTCCAGTTGTACATATATATAACTAGTCAATGTTATAACGTTACCTTATTAAATGGTAATTTTATGCGATGGCTAATTAGGTGGTGCGGGGAGACGACAGCGCTGGCCATCCACGGGTCCGGGCCCGCTGGCGTAGGTAACCTGGAACATGCCCAGTGGGGGTGGTCAGGAACGCGCAACAGTGATGTAGGCGGTTACGGATGAGGAGCCGAAGCATGTGGACAGCTCCCTGTGCCCCAGATCCGTATTCGCTTGCTTCGTCGTCCCAGCTCCCCCTCTACCCTGAGCTACCCTTAATCCCTTCTCCGCCAAACCAAGAAATCCAAAGCTTCCTCCCTCATACACCAATACCTGAATTCGCTTTGGACGGCGCACTTAGTTCCCCAATACCGAGCGTTTTCAATATGGCTCCCTCGGGTCTTCGACAGTGCATGCGCGATGTCAGCCTCTACCTCATTGTCTTGATTCTTGTCTCGACCTTGGGCCCCCTGCAGTTCGGCTTCCACCTTGTACGTATAGCACCACTATCCTGTGGTCCCTGGTCTTCAACTGCTTCCCGCCCTTTTCGCGTTGGGAACGGGGTGCCAACTAACCGCGACCGTTTGCTAGGCCGAACTCAACGCACCTCAGGATGTTCTCACCTGCCGGAAGAAGTCCATTGCCTCCAAGGGCATCATGCTGAAATGGGTTCATGCCAAGTCCCCCGACACCAACAGCTGGCTTCCCGACTGTATTCCCATGACCGATGCCGTTTTCGCCACCGTCTCCTCCATTTTCACCGTCGGCGGCCTCGTTGGAGCTCTCTGCGCCGGCCCCTTCTCCTCGAAACGCGGCCGACGTCCTGCCATGCGGGTTACTGCCATCTTCTTCGTCGTCGGCGCCGTCATCGAGACGCTCGCCGGAGGGGCTCCCGCCTTGGCCATCGGCCGGTTCTTCACAGGCGCCGCGGGTGGCGCGTCGACTGTCATCGTCCCGCTGTACATTAGCGAGATTGCGCCGCCCAAGGAGCGCGGCCTGTTCGGGGCCATGACTCAGGTCTCGATCAACGTTGGCATTCTGATTGTGCAGACATTGGGCTTCTTCCTGAGCTACGGCAAGGCATGGCGGTGGATTCTGGCCGCGGGCGTCTTCGCTGCCTTGGGCCAGGCCTTTGGTCTTTTGCTGATTCCCGAGAGCCCCGCTTGGCTCGCCGCCAACGGTGACATTCCGAGAGCACGCCGCACCCTGCAGCGGATTCGCGGCAAGGACTTTGATATCCGCGAGGAAGTCAAGGGTTGGGATGGAGAGACCAACGCCGAGCAAGAGGGTCTTTTGGCCCAGGCTGACGACGTGCCGCCCGTGTCTCCTGCTCTCTCCAAGCATAGCTCGCCTGTTCATTTCGGCTTCTTTCAAGTCGTCAAGGACCCGGTAACCCGCCCTGCCATCGCTGCCGTCGTCGGCATCATGTTTGCGCAGCAGCTGTGTGGCATTAACTCGATCATCATGTACTCCGTGTCTTTGCTGACGGACCTTCTCCCCGTGAGCTCGGCCCTGCTGACGATCCTGATCTCCGTGGTCAACCTCATCACTACCGCCGCATGCTCTCCGCTACCAGACAAGCTTGGCCGCAAGAAGTGCATCCTGATCTCCATCATTGGACAGGGCGTCAGCTCCTTCATTTTGGCTCTTTCTATCCGGTTTGGGGCCAAGATCCTGTCGGCTGTGTCGGTCGTGACCTTTGTGGCCTTCTTTGCGGTCGGCCTGGGGCCAGTCCCCTTCATTCTCGCCTCGGAGCTGGTTGGACAGGAGGCCGTTGGCGCTACCCAGTCTTGGTCTCTGGGGTCCAACTACATCGCGACTTTCCTTGTCGCTCAGTTCTTCCCCATCACCAACAACGCGCTCAACCATTGGCTTGGGGGTGCCGGCTGGGTATACTTCCTCTTCGCCGGCTTTGCTCTGCTGTTTGCTATTTTTGTCTCAGTCAAGGTTCCCGAAACAAAGGGCAAAAAGGATGCCGACGAGGTTTGGGGCCGAGCTCGACGCCTTGATTAAGACATGCAAGTGATCGGCCGCCATACAAGTTACTTGTGTTGTTGTTATTTGGATAGGGAAAAGAAAATATTTGGCGTTGGATGATTTGCCGGTGATGGGTATTATTAATAGATGGTAGACGACCTAAATTTGGAAGAGTCGTCTGCTTCTGATCGTCTGTTCCAATTGCAAGATGCCGGCCCTCACGCCGTCGATAACGAAGACCTGCCTGCCCTTGCCCTCACCATACACGTCAATGGCCGAGCTGCGGATGATGTCCTCCAGCCCAGCCATGCCAGCGCATCCCATGACAACGCAGCGCACGTCGCCGCTGCCGAGGAGCTTCTTGGTTGCCTGCTCGAGCTTGCCCCTCACCTCGGCAGGGCTGACGTGGTGAAAATCCCCGGCCGTCAAGCCAGTCGACGTGACCCCGCCGAACTTGACGTTCTCCGACTCCTCTGCCTGGCCCAGGTAGCCCTTGACCCCCTTGCTCAGGTGCCTCTCCCAGAAATCGCCCGTGGTGACGATGCCCCATTTCGATGAGAGGTACGAGGCGGTCGAGCTGTGCGGCAGAAGGGCCGTCGCGGTGAGGGTGCTTGCCTCGAAGATACCGGTGACGGCGAGGGACGAGTGGAACTGGCGCGAGAGCTTCTCGACGAGAGAGTGGACGCTGTAGCACGCGATAAGCACGCCGTCGTACTGGTCAAGCTTGCCGCTGTTGACGAGATCCTTAACGACGACCTCGGTGCTCAACTGGATGTCGACGTCGTCGTTGATGCTCGCCGGGCTTTCCGACGGCGCCGTGTACATATGTATCTCAAGGGACTGACGCGGAAGTCAGCCTCTGCCGCCTTACGACCCCTTTCTTCTTCTTCTTCTCTTGTTTTCGCTTATGAGTTGTGGAATTCGCGACCCCGGCTTACGTCGTGCAAGGGCATTGCTTGTATGGCCCTCTCCATGCCCCTCGTCATGTCCTCTGACGAGTTGGGGTTGATCACGAGGATCTTGATATTCCGTCGAAGTACGCGGGTTGTCATGGTTGCTGCTGTGGACAAAACAGTTCCTCAGGTGTGAATCTCGGCCAACACCGAACCCGCGCAAATTCAGATGGAAAAAAGAGTGTGTGAAGTTGCCGTACTCCACGTCCTTCAAGCTCCTTCATCCATGTCCATCCAGTATTGTCCCGCCGTCAACAGGTGGGGATTTCTCCCGTCAGTGTGGGGCTGTACCGGTCCGTCAACGCTCTGCACACACACTTGCATGAGAGTCTGCGAGAGAGAGCAGCACTTTCTCTCAGTGACAGTGCACAGCCTGAGAAGATGCTCGCTGCGGGGTATCACGTGACACCATGTAGCTCAGCCACCTCTGGGCTTGACGATCCAGTTGCAGGACAGCAGGAGACTGGAAGGCAGCGAACCCAGCCCAACCCCACTATCGACGACACAGACGTAACAGCTTCCCGGGCGCTCTCCTCAACCACACCTCATCTCACTTCCCCCCCCCCCCCGCCCTTCCGCTAGAAGCTCTCAACTTGCTAGCTTATAGCTTCTGCTTTCACAATGGCAGCCGAGGCCCCCATCGGTAAGACACAATGCCTCTGATGCAGTAGAAGCAGCAGCAGCAGCAGCAGCTTGGCTTTGCTGCCGTCCCTTGATGCTTCGATTGGGGAGGTGGCTGACGCAAAGATCCACAGTCCTCGACGGAGGAACAGGTTTCCTCAAGGTCGGCTACGCAGCACAGAACTTCCCCGAATTCCAGTACCCTTCCATCGTCGGCCGACCGATCATCAGAACCGAAGAAAAGGGCGAGGACAACGATGTGACCATCAAGGACATCATGTGCGGTGACGAGGCCGCCGCCGCCCGGACGATGCTCCAGATCAGCTACCCGATGGAGAACGGCATTGTCAAGAAGTGGGATGACATGCAGCATCTCTGGGACTACACTTTCTTCGAGAAGATGAAGGTCGACCCGCGCGGCCGCAAGATCCTGTTGACCGAGCCGCCGATGAACCCGCTGCGCAACCGCGAGCAGATGTGCGAGGTCATGTTTGACCGCTACGGATTCGGCGGTGTCTATGTTGCGATCCAGGCCGTCTTGGCTCTTTACGCTCAAGGTACGTCACGCCCGCAAGCTTCTCGGCCCTTCAATTGGTGATGGTGCACAACGGGTCTGACATTGGTGACCTCCAGGTCTGAGTTCCGGTGTCGTCGTCGATTCCGGTGACGGCGTGACCCACATCGTCCCAGTGTACGAGTCGGTCGTCCTGAACCACCTCACCCGCAGACTGGATGTCGCGGGCCGCGACGTCACGCGCAACCTGATTGCGCTCCTCCTGCGCCGTGGATACGCGCTCAACCGAACGGCTGACTTCGAGACGGTCCGTCAGATCAAGGAGAAGCTCTGCTACGTCTCGTACGACCTGGAGCTGGACAAGCGCCTGAGCGAAGATACGACGGTGCTGGTAGAGAGTTACACGTTACCCGATGGCCGCGTCATCAGGGTGGGTAGCGAGCGTTTCGAGGCACCCGAGTGCCTGTTCCAGCCTCACCTCGTGGACTGCGAGCAGCCTGGTATTGCCGAGTTCTTGTTCAACACGATCCAGGCCGCCGACGTGGACGTGAGGTCGTCGCTGTACAAGGCCATCGTCTTGTCCGGTGGCAGCAGCATGTACCCCGGTCTCCCTTCACGTCTGGAGAAGGAGCTCAAGCAGCTGTGGCTGACGCGGGTTCTGGGCGGCAACCCGGAGAGATTAAACAAGTTCAAGGTTCGGATAGAGGACCCACCCCGCCGGAGACACATGGTGTTCCTCGGAGGTGCGGTGCTGGCCAACATCATGGCCGACAAGGAGGCTATGTGGGTGACCAAGGCGGAGTGGGATGAACAGGGACCGCGTGTGCTCGAGAAGCTCGGCCCACGATGAGCAGCTGCACACACACACACTCTCTCTCTCTCTTTCTCACACACACTTTCTCTCTCTCCGGGGTTGGGGTCCGTCTTAGTCTTGGTGGTAGACCTAGCATGCATGTGGCACGTTTTAGAGCCTCGTTTTTTTGTTTTTTCTAACGAAAAAAAGTCGATGAAGTCTTTTACCTGGCATTGCGTAACGCTTAACCGTGCATTGCTCACTTCAAGTTGCCCAAGCGTCGAGGCATTAGATTAGGTAAGGGGGAGGGAGCAAGGGATGGAACGTCACGATGGTTTGAGCCGCCGGTCTGTCGGCCAACACCGTGTGTCGCGCCAGGCCTTTTAGCACTGTACATCGAGACAGGCAGTGGTCTACCGCCACTCGAGATAGCGACGCCCTGGCGAAATGTCGCCCGTTGCTTCCTTGTGAAACGTCGTCACTTTAACCTACTCTTTTCTTCCCTCTCTCACATCACATACGAACACCCGTATCAGGGACTCTTCATCACCTCATTCGCTTTCGCCAGTCAGTTGCTCTACGACGGTCTTGCTCGCTCGCTTGCTTGCGCTTGCTTCTTCCTCCCGTCTTGACAATCTCGTGAACCGCCCTCCATCAGTCGTTCCTCTCGCGCGGGGATTTTTCTGTCCAGGCATTCTCCGCACCGAGGTCTTCAGTTCCCTCATCGCTATCGCATGCAGTAAACGGCGAGAACGCGCGACGCCGACCGTCGCATTGCAGGCATCAAGACGCAAAGCAGACCTTTTCAGTGGAATTGCCATTTTCCCCAGCCGCGCGGCCGCATCATAAACGGTGTTGGAGTGCTTGCAATCAAACCCGCCGAAGATCCTGTGCCCAGTCTGCCCGACGACCCCAGAAGTCTTCCCGTGGCATCCACGCGCGTTTCCTCCGATCTCCGAGACGCCTCGCAATTGAAGAGATAAAATCAGGGCACTCACACCTAGATCGGCGACTCCCGCGTGCGCGCGCGCGCACACACACACACACACACGCGTGCACAGAGATACAGCCCCGTCACAGACGCCTAGCCAAACAATTCGTTTTCTGGGCTTCGCATATCCCTTTTATTCTTTTTTTTTTAATTCTTTTCTTCTCTTTTTGGTCTTATCCGACGTGCAGAGCCGTTTAGATTGGGCATCACACCCTGGGCTTGCGACATAAGAAGGCTCAGAAACCCCCAAAGCGCGCACATCAGCAGCGCCTTGACGCCTTAGGAGAACACTGCGCCATTCTCCACCTTGTGCGGCGTACGAGGCTCTGGCTGGGTTCTGGCGTCTACGCTTATCCTTGAAGTTGATCCTGACGGACCGTTGAGTGAGAGGACCTTGATTTGTCTTCTCGTGGTACTGGTCCATTGACCCTGCTTTGCCAAGCCGCCGTTGGCCTTTTTGGAGACTCTGGCCGGAGTTGCGGTCTTTCTACCCCCATCTCAGACTCAGATTTGCCCAGAGTAATATCTATCGGGGAAATTGAGAGTCGTTATCGCCACGTTTCGGCGAAGTTTGTTAGAACAGACGAAAGCATCATCCGCCCAGGCTTCCCGGGACTGGGCAGTTGAAGCCTGATAGGATCTCGAACTCGACCCTAATACGGATATCGAAGCCAGCAGCGAACCCCCTGCGACGGATAATGAGTCTGACTAACCCGTCAACGTCAACCGTCGCCTCGGGCCCTAGCTCGGTGCGGACGGGTAACCACCTCAAGAGAAGTGTCCAGGCAGCGTTTGAAGGTGAGTTTTGACGTTTGCTTTCTGGTCCGGGTCCATCGTACATTTACTCTTCACAAACTCCACGCCGTCACTTCGGCCCTCCCTAATACCCCGGTTTTTTGCCCTCGACCTGACTCGAGTTTTGTCAATGATGTACCGTTCTGAAAGTCAACCGAAAGTCAAGTGACATGCCGAACGTGAGGGACACTAGCAATGTGCGGCAAAAAAAAAAAAAAAAAAAAAAAAAAAAGGACACCAAGTTCTGGTGGGCGGAGAAAAAGACACGAGTGAGATATACGTCGCGATTTATCCCGCCGCCGCCGCCGGCGCTCTCCGGGCTTTTTTTACCATCTACTATGTATCCGATGTTGTTGTATGATCTTATCCACACCTCTCTCCTCTTGTTGATCGACCACCACCACCACCCCGGGTGTTCCATCCACCCGCTTTGCGTGTCGAATCGCATCTCGTCAAATGCTCCCCTCCCCCTCCTAATACTGCATATCTTATGCTCTACTGCACACGCCCACATTCCCTCTTCCTCCCTCTCACAAGTAGACTGTTGGTTCTGGGAACTGCGAGGTGCTCGGGTATTGATCCTGGCTTCCGTTCTCGCTTGCCGTTCCTAGTCGACCTCATCATACTCTACATTTTCGCTTTGCCCCATTTTTTCGGCAAGGCAATTCTCGACGTGTACACATCCACACACATATACATCCCAACAGCAACCCCTACCCCCCATCCCAATCCTATTCCTTGCCCCCTCTTATCCCGTGCTGCCGGGTATACATACCATCCCGTCTTGGGGAGGATACACATTTCTTGAGGGGCCTTGCATCTGCAGCTGCGGACTCCTCCTTTTTTTCCCTCTCCACCGCTCCTTGCATCTCACACGATCGCTCTTCCCAAGAGGGAGAGGATTCCGGCGCAACTCCGCGAGCGTTGTGCTGTGAATTGTGTATCAGCGGGTGACAGTCTGCATTCTTCCGCCGGTGCCACTTTCTGTCATTGCTGTTTATAGCTTAGAGCATTTTCCCCGAATGCCCAAAGCCCGTCTGCCTCATCCGGTCCCCAAACCTCAGGCCTGTTTCCACCTCTGACCAGCGGTGAGCTTTGCCTCCTGCTTGTCTTACGGCCGGCTATCGTCAGCTGCGTGTCGCTTCTGAGGCATCGTCTGGTACCACCTGCTTACGGACGAAAATAGTCAAAGAGAGACATGTGTCGTTAGTACAGCGAGTGCATACCGTGTTTTCCTTCCTGAACAGTCTCATCCTCTCGCCAGCCCCGCCCATATACCTCATCTCGTTCTACCAGAACAAGTAAATATTTTGCATTCCTCTCAGACAACATGTGGAGGGGTATCGGCTACGGCGGCCTACACAGTCACAGCTCCTGTATTTGACATCCTCTCCCGATCTCACATCGGTATCCACTTCACCCGCTCTCGGCCTTGCTGACCGGACTTCTTGCAGACCCGACGGACCGTGGCCTTGGCCATATCAACTACCAGTCCAAAGTCCGCGTCATCGAGCGGTACAAGGTCGTGGGCTTCATTAGTTCCGGAACCTATGGCCGCGTCTACAAAGCCCTCGGCCGCCAGGGCCAGACGGGCGAGTTCGCCATCAAAAAGTTCAAGCCCGACAAGGAGGGTGAGCAAATCTCGTACACAGGTATCTCGCAGTCGGCCATCCGCGAAATGTCCCTGTGTAGTGAGCTGAGGCACGCCAACGTCATCAAGCTCATCGAGATCATTCTCGAGGACAAGTGCATCTTCATGGTCTTCGAGTACGCCGAGCACGACCTGCTGCAGATCATCCACCATCACACCCAGAACCCGCGCCACCCGATCCCGCCGCAAACGGTCAAGAGCATCATGTTCCAGCTTCTCAACGGGTGCCAGTACCTCCACGCCAACTGGATTTTGCACCGCGATCTGAAGCCCGCCAACATCATGGTCACCTCGGCCGGCGAGGTCAAGATTGGTGACCTGGGACTCGCGCGTCGCTTCGACAAGCCGCTGCATTCCCTTTTCAGCGGCGATAAAGTCGTTGTGACCATCTGGTACCGTGCGCCGGAGCTCATCCTGGGCAGCCGTCATTATACACCCGCCATCGACCTGTGGGCCATCGGCTGCATCTTTGCCGAGCTGTTGTCGCTGCGGCCCATCTTCAAGGGCGAGGAGGCCAAGATGGATAGTAAGAAGACGGTACCCTTCCAACGGAACCAGATGCAGAAGATTGTCGATATCATGGGCCTGCCATCCAAGGAGCGGTGGCCGCTTCTGACGTCCATGCCCGAGTACCCCCAGCTGTCGACCCTGCAGCCGCCCATGACGCCACACCATCACGGGCACCATGGACATCATCGCGGGCACGGGTACGGCCACCATCCGCCCGCGCCGAGCGGGTCGAACCTCGAGAAGTGGTACTACAGCACCATCTCGCAGGGGGCCTCGAGCAGCGCGACGTCGGCACCGCAGGGAAACGGGGCACCGCTCGCGAGCCTGGGGGCCGAGGGGTACAAGCTTCTGGCGAGCCTGCTGGAGTACGACCCCGTGGAGCGGCTGACGGCGGCCAAGGCGTTACAACACCCGTTCTTCTCGACGGGGGACCGGCTGAACGCGCACTGCTTCGAGGGGCTGAAGAACGAGTACCCGCACCGGAGGGTGAGCCAGGACGACAATGATATCCGGACGAGCAGTCTGCCCGGGACCAAGCGAAGCGGGCTACCGGACGACTCGCTGGCCAGGCCAGCGAAGAAGTTGAGGGAGGTGTAAGGCCGGTTTCATTCCATCCGGAGGACACCCAAGAGGAGTGGGGGATATAGAACGGCAGCATGATATGGCGTTTGAGTGGCATCAGATCATCGTACAGACACAACCACAGGGTCGGGCTTAGCGGATAATGGCGTTGGGGGTTCATTGATTACGGGACTGATTGGTGCACGGATACCATTGTATAAGGTTTGATAGAAGAGAATTCACAGGCATTGCAGACGTAAAAAGTAGATGGGGAAAGTTTCGAGGCGATGAATGAAACCGAGGGATCTGGGCTTCTCGGTTTGGACCCCCCTCCCCCCCTTCTCTCGAGCGAGACTGCGTAAGTTGAGCTCGTACCCAGGTACAACGGCCTCTCGTGAAGCTCGCTATTCAGTGTTTTATATGCCCTATTCGGTCGTCGCACTCCTCGAGTAGGACCTGGGGATGGTTTGACGTTCTGTCAAAGGGGGTACGGAGGAGAAGTCTGTAGTGCGCTGCTACTCGGTTTGTACGCGGTCTGCGTCGCGGGGGCAGTGATATGGCACAAGCTTCCCTCCCGTGTGTTCTTGGTGGTTGGGCAGATGGGAGACGGCACGAAGAGTGTGTGACGCCCCTGGTTGGCCAGCTGGTGGAAGATAACGAGCGGGGAGAGGGGGGGGGGGCCGTTCCTCGTCTACGTGGCTGCGGTACGGTGGTACGAGGTTGCTGGCTGCTTTGATGGCGTTAGGAGGGAGCGGGGGGGAATTTGACGACGGGCAGAGAGAATTGTCACTTGGGCCGGCTGGGATTTGATGTTTTCTAACCTACTCCCGGTATGATTAGGCTTTTATTCCTTTCTTTTCTTTTGGTATGTACCGACACGGGTCAGACATCAAGCCGCTTTAGCTGTTGGTATTCGGAGGAGAGGGAGTACAAATCCAGTAGGCTGTAAGGTTATCATGCGTACGGTGCCCACCGATGAAAGAGCAACCATGATTCGAGAGATGGCACGGCGTCCGCGTCGACAGGGGAGGAATGCCAAGGGCCACAGGCGTCAGTCAGTATCACGAGAATAATCCAGAGTTTATTTACATGGAGAGCATCCACCCCGTCTCCTGGAGAACAATGACTTTTGGGACATCACAATGTTGAGCGTTAAGATGTCATCACCCCTCGGCACATGTTATCGTCATGGACAACAGCAAGGGTTTGGGGGAACCGCCGGGCGTACTTGTTTTTTGATGCATTTCATATTTGAGAGAATCATGAACCCATTCCCCCCGTTTCACGCCGCGTTTGACTTCTAGTGTTGTGCGGCCGGCCATAAATAAAACCTCTCCGGACCGGCACAGGGACGATGCAAAAGGAATAATGCACACAAGGCCGCAGCCGAAATGGATAACCCCATGAGCGAGAGAGATAGAGAGGGCGAGGGAACGGTTTACCCCCCGGAGTGGAACAACAACACGAGAGCCCAAAGACGACATTTTGATTCGTATGTTCTTTTTTTTTGATGTTCCACCAACGCCGCCCACTGTTTTGCGGATGATCCGGGGGAAATCCCTCGCGTGCCTTAACCCTAGGCAACAAGGCGAGACGCTTATTCCTTCTTCTTCTTGGCACCCTTGACCTTCGCCGTACCGCGCAGAGTCTTCATGCGGTTCTTGCGCTGCTTGCCTGTGGAGCGCGGGTAATGTCAGTCATGCGGTCTCTTGGATGTGGCGATTTGCCACCGCGGCATGTGTCAAGGTACGTCCGGGTCTTCAAGACGGATGGATGTCCGACCCGACGACCCGTCACACCAGCGGCAGCAATCGGATGGGGAGAGGGGAAGGGGATTCGACGTACGCTGCTGTCTGCTGGCCTTCTCGATCTTGCTGGCCTGGCCGACGCGGACGAGTCTGTAGTGGGGCTCGAACTTCTTCATGGCCTCGGGGGAGTCGTAGACGAGGGCGAAACCAGTGGTCTTGCCGCCACCGAACTGGGTGCGGAGGCCGAAGACGTTGATCTGGTCCTTGGTGGCCTTGTAGAGGGAGCCAAGCTTCTCGCGGAGCTCATCCTTGGAGATGTTGGCACGGCCGGGGTGGAGGATGTCACTGTGCGTATCGGCCGTCAGCATTTCCGTACACAACACAATCAAATAGTAAAATTCTCATCGATCCCTCCCCCGGGAGAGCGCGCGCGCGCGCGCCTAGTCCCTCTTCCTCCTCCCGTCCGCGGCTGTCCGAATAGCTTGATTGGGGGCGTGTGTCGGTATGCCAATTGACGATGTGCTTCATCTTCTTCTCCCCCCCCTCCTTTTTCTCCTTTTTCGATGTTGCCTTCCGTGCGCGCTTCCGTCGTGGGAAATGATATCTGGAGGGGCAAACTCACACGACCATCTGCTTACGGCCAAGCAGGGGGTTACGGATGAACTTGCGAGTTCGCAGGGTGACGGGGGTGTCGACGTCCGCCATCTTTGCGGTCGGGGGGGGCTGATCTGTCTGTCGAGATGGGTTGGCGCTGGGACAGAAGAGTCGGAAAGGTGTGGTATCGTCAAAAGTTCGCAGAGTGATTGTGGTTGTGATGGGGTCCGAGAGTTTTCGCCCCAAACTGTGGGTGGAAGCCCTAATTTGGTGCCTGAGGCCTGGCGAGCCGCACCAAAAAACAGAAATCACGTGGGTCGCTTGCGGCACGGACCACACTTCTTTGGCAGTGCGAGAATCAGCTGACCTGTCCACGTCCGCAATGCCATTGCTTGATTTGGCAGTGCGGAAAAAGCGAAGAGCCAAGGGCGGCCCAGCAGCAAAACGACACGGTGTTTGCACGGTACACCTCTTTTTTTTTTTTTTTTTTTTCTCCTTCTGACTCAGCATTGGTTCATTGCCTCGCATTTGGTGAATATCGACTGAAGATGAGACTTCCACGATTTGTCGCCGCTTAATTACCTCGCTGTGTCCTTCAGACCTGGGGTTTTTCTTTGTCTCTTAGATTCAACACGGGAGAACGCTGGGCTTCTCTTTGTTGGTGAAGTCTGCGTTGCGTTGATTCGACCGGGGCAAATAAACACTACGAGGTATCTTGCAGGGGGGGCACTTGAAGAGCGCAGACTTGAAGCTTCATATCTCACCGAATCGGGCAGCACACGACGTTTTCACGAGTTAAACGCCCGCCGTGTTACAGCCATGACGAATTCCACTCCCACGCCAGATCCCGTCGAGCGGTTCTGCCACCAGTATCTTCAACTGGAACCGACCCTTGACTACCCTGCTGCCGAGGTCATACGGGAACAACCAGCGCAAGACACAATTTATAAGAATCTCTTCTCGGACGAGGGGCCCCGTTACAGCCCTCCTGCGAGGTACCGCGTAAAGGTCCTGAAAGAGCTCGTTGCACGCATCGAGTCGAGCATCGAGGATTGGGACCAGCACGTAAGCGCCCTCTACTGCAAGACGCCGTGGCAAGACGTCTCTGCCGTCAGATGCGTGTATTCCCCTCTGACGGTGGCCTAGGAAGTCTCGGAAGATCTCATGGCAGCCTTATCAGAATCTCTTGCAACCCCAATTCCCTCTGAGATATCCTCTGCTCAGCAGAAGGCCTACGTCACCTACCACATGAGCAGCCTTGCGCAGGACCCTTCCGAGACGCACTTACATAGGCCTGACATCACCCTGCTCGAGTCCCGTTCGCTGATCTCTGCTTCTGGTACCACGGGCCTCCGAACATGGGAGGCCGCATTGCATCTAGGGCAATATCTCTGCTCGAACCGGCAAGTCATCCAAGGGAAGCGGGTTCTCGAACTGGGAGCCGGCACCGGATACCTGGCCATCCTCTGTGCCAAGCACCTCGCCGCCACGCATGTCGTTGCATCGGACGGGTCGGATGACGTTATCAACAACCTCCCGGAGAGTTTCTTCCTTAATGATCTGCAAGAAAGCAGTCTGGTCAGACCGATGGAATTGAAATGGGGTCATGCCATGATCGGAACAGAAGACCAGCAGTGGAACAACGGCGAGACTGTCGACGTGGTCATCGGAGCAGACATCACCTATGATCAGAGCGTCATCCCGGCGCTCATCGCGACCATCCACGAGCTGTTTTCGTTGTTCCCGGACGTCGAGGTTTTGATATCCGCAACCCAGAGGAACGAGGCAACGTTTGAGGCGTTCTGCAGCCGTTGCCGTCAGCGCGGGATGGGCCTCGGCTACGTTGACTTCCCGATACCCGCGAGGGAGCGGCAAACGGGTCCGTTCTACAGCGACAGAGTGCCGATTCGAATCTGTCGAGTGTCGGCGCCATCAAGCACGGGCGTGAAGCGGTAAGATGGTTGGGTGGGTGGGCGGGCGATAATGTTCGGACGCGGTGTCATGTTGCAGCAGCTGACTTGATGACATCTACCTCCCGCGTGATACGCTACCAAGACTGAGGTACGGTTACAAGGCGGCCTCTCTTGAAGGTCGCACATGCAACTGGCGCAAGTCGAGACAAGATGAGATGCTAGTAACGATGCCCTTGCTCACCTGAATCATCACGAGTACCAGCTCTGGGCCTCCCAGACATTTCTGGCCCGCACGTCATTGGATAGCGAAGAGTAGGTACATTGACAGCAAAGTCAACCATTGACGATCGGCTCAACAAGTGCGGGCGGACAATTATGAAAGAAATCCAATTTGCAAAGTGAACTACCGTAGCAAAGTTGACTCGCCGATACTTCAGGCTTGCATTCCAGCGCAAAGGTTGTCTGGAGGTGCAACAAGGATCAGCAATGACATAGGTACATGCATGCAGGTTGTCAAAAGCCCAGGGTCCAAGCCGAGCTCCGGATAAGGTGATGCACCTCTACTGAGCTAGGCGGGCGCCTCCCGAAACGCAAGAAACTTTGATTCACGGGGGGGAGGGGATACTGTGATGAACTTGTTGATACGAACGAGGGTGGACGAGAGTCTCGAGCGGCAAATAGCGTCGTCATCCTGGGCCCAAAGGATAAAAAACTGGCAGTGAAGTCGGCACACGGTACCAACCGAAGCCCCGATCATGAAGGTGCATTATCAAAGTTTCAAGCCGTCATGCCATCCGAAACACAATTTTGGCGGAGGTCCCCGCGGAACAGTCAACTTGTCAGGTTTATCGTCTGTCAGACACGACGAGCTTCCCCGCATTTCCAGAGCTAAGCGGGTGTGGTCTGATGCTTTCGGCCGTCTCAGAACGCGGAGAAGGTTCGAAGTCGCTCGGTGGATGGTGTTGGTACCTTCTCCCCCCCCCTCCTCCCGGTCTGCACCCCATGAACTCAATTCATGGCAGAAGCCTTGCCGGGTAGGGAGGAAGGAACTATTGCGTAAGGTTGTGCTGGTAGCAGATACGGAGATGACGCTCCGGCTTAATGAACTGTGGAGGTGGCAACGACGACGAGGCAAACCATAGCGGTAAGAGAGGTTGGACGTCATATCTTTGATTTTCGAGATGTGGCTGGAATCATTGGAGGACGACGTGCTGTACGTTGGAGACGAACACGCAAGCTCGGTCAGAGTGACGTTGGAGGTCGTGTGGCTCACACGAAGGAGCTCACCCTTGCACATCATTCAGAAATGCGGGAAGAAAAAGAAACCAAAAAAAGGGTTGGGGAGCTCGATGATTGGGCGGATCGGGTGGTTTGGGGAAGCATCCCGGATCACAAGCGCATTGCCAATACATCGGGACTGCGGTCTAGCCATTCGGCGGGGGGCACATTCTCAGACTTTTTCTCTGGCGCATTGGGAAACGATAAGACGGCAGAAGCGCGGAAGCGCATAGGCGGCGACAAACAGGGCAGCGTCGAGCATGTTGAAACGAGGCCATGAAGTCATCGTATCCGCCCCCCTCCCCCCGTGGATGAGCATCGGGGGAAAAAGGTCGAGCTGGGCTCGAGGGCCGGTGCTGGGCTCCCCACCCCTCTATGGGAGTTCGGTTGAATGTGAATGGGTTGTCGATGAGGAAGAAGAGGGTGTGTGTATGTGTGTGTGTGTATATGTGTGTGTGTGGTTTCGCAGTAGGTATGGCAAAACATGCGAGAGGAATTCCCGTCAGTTCTCCCTACTCCCCGGCATCCCATTGCAACTGTTGGGCCCGAGAGGCATCTCTGCAAGGTACGCACGCAACGCCCAAATCCATGGTCTCGTGGCTTGCAGTTGCGTACGCCGGCCGTCGATCACTGAAGCCGGATCGTCAGGCGAGGCTAATGCTGCCCGATTATTTGACGATGCACGTCCCGACTTCCGGTCAAGTTTGCAGCCGCCAGCAGACCGAATGGAGAAGGTGAAGTTCTCTCCGGTCGTGTGTCCGCTTGCAAACCCACACCGGACGTGGTCGTGTTGAGGGTTTGGTCACCACACGCAGTGTAGTGTAGACTAAAGTAGCTGTCAAGCCCCCCAAAGTATCTGATCCCCTAGCCACGCGGTGAGGTACACTACCTAGTGAGAGGAGGTACACATAGGCGGCTGACCGCTGGCTCTCGGAATCCCAAGGCTATCCCCTCACGCCCGTCCTCAAGCCTAGGCTGTTGCGCAGCGTGCTTGAGAGCTCATAGAGGTGCGTCGATCTAGGCGTCTTTGCCCAGAGGATGTCCCGCACGACGAATGTGCGTTTTCGGACGGGGGCAGAAGGCAGGATAGGATACACTTTGCTTGTGGGAGGGCCATCCGACTCCTCTCTGTCTGGTGGGCAGCTCGGCAAGCTGGGCCGGACAGCGTTGCTTCTATTCAGAGCACAGCACAGGTTGGCGGGGCCTCATGCGAGTGGGCTCCTCGTCCGCCGTCCCCAGATTAAACAAGATTAAATCAAGGGAAGAAAACCATGCCCCGATGGGTGCATGCGTCGTAACTCATAGAAGCAGATCCAGGCAGGCAGAAAAACGTGGGATCGATGACTGAGACACGAGCTGTTCAAGGTGAGGGAGGCATGTACGCAGTACGTCACCTTGTGCTCACACTCTGCAAGTACAAAATGCCACCAGCCTCATCGGCATCAGGACCTAGTGTCTACAGAGACAATCTGACAACACACACCTCACACACACACACATACTCACACACTCACATACTCACATACACAAACTGTACGACAAGCCATCTCATCTCGCCAGACACGAACGAGACAAGTCTTGACATCGGCCGTCTTTCCTTGCATTGATATGTATCACTGTGATATAACGTGGAACACCCCCGATCCCTCGGAAAACCAGCATAAACCCGAACAAGGACCACAATATCGGGAGGAGCATCAACGTCAACAATCACGAGAACAAGCGGCCGTTCCCACCGAGCATAGCCATATGCCCCATCAGCAGCAGCAGCAGCAGCAGCAGCAACAACATCAGCATTACGACCTGCCCGGCTTCTTGAATCTTCTGGCACCCAACAGCCGCGGGCCAGTGCTCAGGTGAAGCCAAAGCCGGTTCCCATTCGCCAGACTTTTCTGCCATCGCATCATCATCAGGAACCCCTACGGTGGCTGCAGCCACGCCCAATCGCGCTAGTGGCCAGCTGAGGTCGATTTCGCCCTCAGAGACATTCGCACCTTATCAGGGAACTCTTGTTATCGCCTCCCCCCGACTGCATCGTCCGTCTCACAATCTCACCAAGTCGGCACTAGCAGCGCCACGCCGACCCGACCCTGCGTATCATCGTCACGTCGCCCCCCTTTGAGGAGACTGACGGGCGACCCATTCCTCGTACACTACCAGGGCACCAGCACACACCCACCAACTCAAACCCAACCGGGGGCCCTATCAGCCCAAGGTCAGACCAAAGAACGTTAGCGCTATCAAACGCTGCGGGCTGCGCTACGGGGCAGAACAAGGCCTGGCCACGAGCGCGGACCGACTTGGTACGGCTCTCTCCCATCCTGGGTTGCATAAACAGACGCACGCTGTGGCTGCGTTGAATGGCGCAACATTGAGCCGGTTTATTGCACCACCGATAACGAAGCGTCCCTCCACCAACTCGGTGACGCTCTTCGTATTTCCCGTCATCATCCCATCCGGCCTGGCCCCGGGTCTACATATTGATTCGAACCAGGGGTGGGGTTAAGGAGAGTGAGGAGCTTCCCCCCCCCCCCCTTCCACACCCATTTCTCAGACATCCATATCCCCGTCATATCCCGTCTTACACTACGTAGTACTCCTACACTGTACGCTATCAGGCTGCCCCCCTCATCCCTCGCTATCCCTAGAAGGAGAGGTAGATACACACACAATCTGAAGAAGAAGGAAGAAAAAAAGGTTTCTGGTTGCCTTCGTCACGGCTACAAGCACCATCAGCACACCATCAGCACACCACACCACGGCTCTTAGACCGGCAAGGTTTTTATTTTAGTCTCTTAGGTAGTGTCGAGGGGCTTTGACTCTGCGACGGCGACCAACCTGAACCGCTCCATCGAAAGCATCGTGGGCTCTCATAAAGCTTCCAAAACCTCGTCTCGGTTACCGAGCGGTTACCGGACCGGCGCCACTTCTCGTACTCCCCTTTTTTTTTGTTCCTTTTTTTGTTCCCCCCCCCCCCCCCCCCCTCAAACCAAGGTTTGGGGGCGCACATTTTCCTCTTCTTTTACTCCTGACTACCTACCGAACCCGCCGTTGCCCTGCTCTCCGTCTGCAACGCGGGTACCGGTACTAATATTCGGTCGTTGTCTTGATTAACAGTGGGACTCGCTCACACATAATAACACTCTACACACACAAGCATACCACACACCCCCTTAACTATCGGACATATCCCGGTCGGTGGTAAACGCCCTGTGGCTGAATGTTCCATTTCCACGAGGGGGGCGCCTAGGCATTTGTGATTGCCGTACCGGAATTTGGCCTTGATTTCCTCGGCGACATCCTGGAATACCTTATTTCACAGACCGGATAGAAGGGGGGGAAAAGTCTCGTCTTCCCCTCTTTTTTTTTTTTTTTTTGTCTCCCGCATCTCGCGCAGGCCATCTGTCACTTACCGGGCCACCCACAATTGCCTAATAATAATAAAATCAGAAGTCATTCACTGCTCGCAGGTGTGGAGGGGGGAGAAGTACTTAGCTGCGTTGTATCCTGCGTCCCCATCTGCATCGCGGCCGCATCGGACGTGCACACCGCAAACTGCAAACCCCAGCAGCAGCCGCAGAAGAAGAAGAAGAAGAACCAGAGCCACATACCAACCACACACACACACTCACACACACACACACCTCTTGGACTCTCTACCTATACTCCGTAGATATCACTTGTTTGGTTCCTACCCCTGCCCTCCATCCCCCTCCCCCCCCGGAAGACACAAGTGCCTCAGTCGTCAACCAAACATCTGTCCGACAGCGACCACGCGCTCCTCTTTTCTTCACAATTAGCACCGACGGTCGAGAGGGGCTGTCCAGACCGTCTACCAGCAACCCCCGCAAGCTTCTAACGCACGCCCGCGTGTTCCCCTCTCTCGTCTAGTACCTAGTAGGCATTGCACGCCCAACCGGGGGGGTACCAGTTCATTTTGAAAGGAGACAAAGGCCGCCGGGTCCACCTGGAGATCGACGCCGTCGACAGGGCCGGGGGCTCCAGACTGAGGTGCTGTTACAAGGTACCTACATCTATCTCATTTGGTCTCGTTTAGTATTAGTACTCGGCGCCGCCTCCTCTGCCTCTCGAACCACCAGCTCCAGACCACGAGTCAACTTTCTTCGTCAAACCAGCCACGCTCACCGACCTGGTGTTTACTCCTTGCCAACGCCTTTGTTTTGTCTTTTTTTGGGCTTTTACCTCTCCCGCCAACGAGGAAGACAAGAAACAGAAGCATTCGCCAAACGTTCACCAAGTCAACAGACGCATATATATATCTACCTTGTCAGGAACCGCCGTTTACTACTACTACTAGGCAGCATCATCACGCTGACGACATCGGCCGAAGCTAAACCCGCCCGCCGTACATCACATCACATCACATCACCTTTACACGGGAACCTTCATAGCGCAGATTCCATCGACAACAGCTTCGGGGCATCGTCGCCACCTGGCTCTACCATATAGCAACCAACCTGCAAGCCAAACCCACCCCTCTCCGTTAAATAGCCCTCGGTCAATTCCCAATGGGCTCGTCAATAGCCCAGAGACACATTACCTGCACATTACCAAGACCATATCCACCAACATCAGCAAAAATGGCAGCCCCGTCATCCCCACCCGTCTCTCCTCAGGAGCAGACGTCCAACTTCGCCCTCCAGCAATACTTCGTCCTGCACTCCCAACACGAGGAGCTCCGCCAGCACCTGGACCAGATCAGGCCCATGACGACATGCAACACGTCGCTCTCGTCGTCGCCCTCCGTGTCGCCGACCCGCAGCACCTGCTCGCCCTTCGGGCAGTACCCCAACGCCTCGTCCGGCGGCGGCGGCGGCGGCCGGAGGCACCACGGCCGCAGCAGGTGCCCGTCGCTCTCCGGGCCCAAGGCGCGCCGCAGCAGCTCGCTCGCGCCCATCGCGGACGAGACGACCATCTGGGCTGTGGCGGAAGAGGAGCGGCGCCTCTTTGACGTCAACGAGGGCATGAAGCGGGCCCTGATGGAGCTCCTCAACTGCGAACAAGTGCGGAGCGACAGCTCGTTCCGCATGTGGGTGCAGTGCCGCCTGATGGATACGGAAAAGGAGCTGCGTTCCGAGCGGCGACGCAAAAGCGCCCCGTGAGGACCATGTCCCTTTCGCCGTTAGATCATACCCAAAACACATACACACACACACACATACACACATATCCACACAAATCCCCACGGATCGACACAGAAAGAGCGGCATAGCGGCATCGTCATTTAACCAACGTAATCGCCCCGGAGACTCATCGTTTGGAGGCGTTGGACGGGCAGGATATTACCTTATCAAACGGCGTTATGGGAAGGGATGCGGGTTTCCGACATGTGCCGAGAAAGGCAATGGCATGGCATGGCATGGCATGGCATTATTTGGGCTTGATGGGAGCCACCCGCATCAGAAGGATCGGGGGGGAAAAGCTGGCGCAAACGGGCGGGCATTGTTTTATTCTATTTTATTTTCAATCTCGCCTCGCCCGTCGGATATTGGGTGTCATTTGGCGAGAGCGGCCTGACATACAACAGCCTACCAACCTTTTATTCTGTCTTCTACTTTTCTTTTCTTTTCCTTCTCACTCGCCGTGCTTTATCGGCATATACGTTTCTCAGTTGGAGGGTTGTCGGATACCACAGACACACACAAACTTACATAGTAGTAGAGCTTGTAGCTTGTAATGACTGATATGACACCGGATTACCAACACCTACTTACCATACTTGGCCAACCCTCTTCCATTAGTGAATCAATTGTTCGATCATTGTGCTTAGTGGCCCGGCCATGACGGAGAGGTTTTTGTAATGGCAAGACGCGTGCGAGCATAGAGATGCTGTGGTGGAGTGGTGTGAGACACTTGTGGTAGAGAATGCCAATCGGACAAGTTCCAAAGCTGCTAATGTACGGTTACACTGTAGAAAAGCGGAACGGCGGGGGGGACCCATCCCAGAAGCTCTCGTCACCGCCTGATTCGCCAATGATTTTTTTTGGTTTCTCTACAGTGCAAAGTATGGATAACCGAGTGGATTCGGACTATGTGACGAGGGCTTCTTTCTTTCTGTCCGACCGATTGTTGCTCCAACATCATCACACCGCCTTCACGGCAAACGCCATCGAACCCATACACACACATACCCTCCAACCCCTGTCTTCGGCCGAGCTGCCGATCTTGCTTGCGCATTCGACCAAGCGAAATATTCCAAGCGGCTGGTCTGTGTCGATCACCTCTCGCGGCGCAGAGGCCGAGGGGAGAGAACTAGCTCCGGAGAGCTCCGTCTTGGATAAGACAATCAAACCCACCGGCGACAACCGCGACGACTGCGGCCATTCCATTGCGACTACCTTCGTTCAGCCGCCGAGGCCAAGAAACACAGGGCGCATACGAGACCCCGGCGCCATGTCGGTCCTCTTGGAGACCAGCTCGGGCGACATCGTGATTGACCTTCTGGTCGACTACGCGCCGAAGCTGTGCGAAAAGTAAGTCGCCGGCTCTAACCCCCCGCCCGGTCGCCGCGTCACAGCTCTTGCTCAGCTAACCAAAAGCTCGCCAGTTTCCTGAAGCTCTGCAAAGTCAAATACTACAACTTCTCGCCCGTCCACTCCGTCCAGAAGAACTTCTCCTTTCAGACCGGCGACCCCCTGGGGCCCCTGTCCAAAGAGTCCGATGGAGGCACATCCATCTGGGGCCTCTTGTCCGGCGACAGCTCCAAGAAGATGTTCCCCGCCTTCTTCCACCCGAAGCTGAAGCACCTCGAGCGGGGCACCGTCAGCATGGCCACGGCGCCCTTGGATTCGGACCCAGACACCCGCGTCGCTGCCTCGCAGTTCATCGTCACCCTGGGCGACGACACCGACTACCTCGACGGCAAGGCCGCCGTCTTCGGCAAGGTCGTCGAGGGCTTCGACGTCCTCGAGAAGATCAACGACGCCATTGTCGACGACAAGGGGCACCCGCTCGTCGACATCCGGATCAAGCACACCATCATCCTCGACGACCCGTACCCCGACCCTCCCGAGCTGCGCGAGCCCAGCGCCTCGCCGCCTCCGACCAAGGCACAACTCGACACCGTCCGCATCGCCGACGAGGCCGCGCTGCACGAAGACGACGACCTGGACGAGGAGGCCATCGAGAAGCGGCGGAGGGACAGGGAGGCACGCGCGCAGGCACTCACTCTGGAAATGATGGGCGACCTGCCCTTCGCCGAAGTCGCCCCACCCGAGAACGTCCTCTTCGTCTGCAAGCTCAACCCGGTCACCACGGATGCCGACTTGGAACTCATCTTTGGCCGGTTCGGCAGGATTCTCAGTTGCGAGGTGATCCGCGACGCCAAGACCGGCGACAGTCTCCAGTACGCCTTCATCGAGTACGCCGACAAGGCCTCCTGCGAAGCGGCCTACGCCAAGATGCAGGACGTCCTCATCGACGACCGCCGCATCCACGTCGACTTCTCGCAGAGCGTGAGCAAGCTGAGCCAGGTCTGGCGAGACGACACAAACCAGAAGCGGAGGAAGCACGCCTCCAGAGGCGGCTGGGGAGGAGTCGACGAACTCGAGAAGAGGCGGCAGTACCGCGACGAGTACGAACGGACCGAAGACGGATACAACCTCGTATACGGCGACGAGGAGATGAAGGGGCGCCACGAGCGCGCCAAAGATGGTCGTCCGGAGCCGTCGGAGCGGAGGGCAGAGCAGGAGGACAGAGACCGGCGGGACAGGGACCGCCCCAGAGCAGAGCGGGAACGGAGGCGAAGTCGAAGCCCCGGACGTCCGAGGGCCAGGGACAGGGACAGGGACAGGGACGGCAGGGGAGATGGCGATCGATTTCGACCCGACGACCGGGGTGCCGGGCGGCGGTACGATCACCAAGACCGACGGCGAGACGATCGGGACCCGGGTCGCAGGGACCGCAGAGATTGGGACAATCGAAATCGAGGTAGGGATCGAGACTCGGAGAGACGAAGATAGCAGGATTTGGCAATCATTGGGCAGCAGAAAGCATCGGCGGCGGCGCAAGCCCAACGCTTTTCTCGTCCCCCTCTTTTTTTTCTTCCTTTTTCGTCCGCGGCGCAAGCAGCATACCCACAGCAGCCGTTGAACCCCATCTCGCGGCGGCGGCGGCGCGCGGTCGGTCGGTCGGTCGGTCACAGATGTAGACCCCCTTCGAAGAAAATACATACAAAATCGACCGCCAAATACCGGCCACTTGACCCCCGCGTAAGGCTAGTGTTTCATGGACAGGAACGAAAAACAAGTTGAACCTGTCGAGATGCGGGCCACGGCAACCTGCACGCGAGCCCCATCCCTCGCTCTCTCTCCTACTGTCATATTCTCTCTCTCTCTCTCTCTCTCTGTCTCCTCCCCTTAGGGCCATGGAAGTCCGAGGGTGGGGGTGCAGCGGAGGGGGAAGGGGGAAATCGCCAGAAGGTAAAGAAGCCGTGGGGCGGCTCGCCGTGTGCGACGCGGCGAGTGACCTATTCGAAGCCAGCAAAGTTCCTGTGTCGTTATTTCCCGCCGTTGCAAACACGCTACCGAGGCCATTTCACTTGCAGAGCCATATGCAAGCAAGCGTCCTTCCGAAAGCCCCGCGGTGCTGGGGGGAGGGGGGGAGGTTGATGCACCCTCTTGGTGACGCGAAGGGTGGGGAGGTTACATCAGCCCGCTGGCGTTTGATGAAGCTGTCATCTGTCAGTTGTCACATCTTCAAGGTAAAAATTCCTGTGTTCTTGGGAGGGGGAGGGGGGAGGGAAAGACAGCACCTTGGCGGCATCTAGACGGGCGATGGGCAATGCAACAAGCCATCCCATATGCAAGTCCGCAGCCGCCCCTCGTGCAGAACACCCAGGATTCGGTGCAACGACGCCTTTTTGGGGGGGGCCTGTCAAGGTCTACCAAGTTTCCCCCCCCATCCTCACCGTCCAGCTTTTGCCACATGGGGGTTTGCAGGGTGCTTTTTCGGAATGGAGAGCTGGAAAAGCTCACGCCGGCGGCGTTCTCAACCTGCGTCCGACAATGGCCGACTCTTAATCGTTTTAGGAATTCCGGTCCCTGCTGCTGCTGCTGCCGACGCGGACCCCGATGTGACCTCCGAAATGGGCCTCCATAAACCCTTCTTTCGTAAGGTCTGCCACTGTTGGAAATAAGCCCTTCCCCTCTCCCCCCCCTCCAGCTGCTGATGTCGCACAGGATCACGAGAAAGTGACAACGTGTCGAGTCTCTCTGCAGAGAGCGAGGGAGGTAGTTGTATGCAGTTTATTTCTGGTCAACGGGCATTACGTCTTTTTAGGTCCTGTGTAACGGGCCGTCCTTCTTCAGTGAGAGACATTCGAGGGCCAGAATCTCGACCCCCTAGCCGTGTCACTCTTTTACTGCTCTCTCTCTCTCTCACTCTCACCCTCTCTCTCTCTCTCTCTCTCTCTCTCTCTCACTCTCACTCACTCTCACTCTCACTCTCACTCTCACTCTCACTCTCTCTCACTCTCACTCTCTCTCACTCTCACTCTCTCTCACTCTCACTCTCTCTCACTCTCTCTCACTCTCACTCTCTCTCACTCTCACTCTCGTGGCCTCAGGTGCTGGTCAGGGGCGCAACGATGGCCGGGACCCCAAGAGACGGAGGACGCCGGTCGTCCCCCCAATGCAAGCGCAAGCGGCGTCTCTGTTCGAGCCAAACCACGGCATATTCGTTGGCACGGTACCTGGAAAGCCGGCACCGACACAGCCTCGCAAGGGGCCCCAAAAAGGCTCAAGGCCTAGACCCTGGGCCTGACATGACGTCCATTATCGGCCAACGCGTGAGAGTGGGGGGGGGCGCAGCCGGATCGGCTCGTCTCTCGCGCTTCCCATCCGCCCTCTCCTTTCGCGACTGGCCAGGCGGTCGCCTCTTCTCCTGGACGATCTCAATTGAAAATGGAGGAGGGAAAAAAAGACCTTCTCCCGGACTGCTCCGGGACATGGCCGCGCCCTGCTGTATGGCCTTGTCAGATGGCATTGTGTCTGTCCCCCCCTGAAAGCCCGATCCAATCGCTTACGGGCTCGCGCGTCGTGTCGCCAAACGGCTGCCCGCATAGAGACACCGGCTCTGGCAGCCCATAAAGAAAAGGGTACATGCAGCAACCCCCGGAGGCGATGGCCGCAAAAAATTTCCGTTGTCGACGAAGACGAAAGAGAAAAAAAAAAAAAAGAAGAGCCTGTCGGGGGCCATGTGCGTGATGCTTTGGGGGGACCTCCTGTTCAGAAGCTCCCTCCCCTCTCCCGCTGGCCAGGCACACGCACAAGAAAATGCCCGGTGAAGAGGCAGGAAAAAAGAGGGGTGGGGTGGCCGGGATCTGCATCATCACAGCAGTAGCCTGATCGTCGTCGAGACGTCGTTGTCGTCGTCGTCGTCGTCGACTTCGGGGGCCAGCGGGAGCCCATCCATCATCTTTTTTTGCTGGCATGATGTCAGTGCTAGGATGTTGTGCTACGCCGCCAACGACTCCTCAGTCGACTCTCGATACGAACTGCCCATTCTTGGGAGGGAAAAAACTATGTTCCCTGGCGAGGCTATTGCTGTTGTCTTTGAGGGGGGGGGGTGGTAGAAGGGGAGGGGGTGGTTCAGGTTTATCCGTAAGACCTGCTTTTTCGGCCCAGATATGGCCGCGAACGAAGCGAGGGTATGTCTCAGTGTGCCCGCTGCGCTGCCGGGGTGAAGGAAGAAAGTGTTTTTTTTTTCCCTTTCCCTCTAAGCAATAAGCATATACGGCGCACGAGTCTTGGTTCTGGAAAACGCATCGTTACGGACGTTAGAAATCGCGATTGTCGACACGATCTCCTCGTCGGCTTCAAGCATAGGCGAGACTCCCCCCCTCCTCCTCTATCCCTCTCTCTCGGTTTCTGGAGGCCTGAAGGACTAGCCCATTCATGATGACGCCATCGCCGGGCGAGTAAACTCACTTAAAGCTCATGCATGGCATCTGCCCCTGATTCAAATGCACGGCATTGGGGGAAGGGGGAGGGGGAGGGGGGGGGAGGTAGATATCGGACGAGGTAGCATCGCAGCCTCCTCTCATATCTCTCTCGCTTTTCATCCCATCGATCTCATCATCGCTAAATGTCAAGGGATGGTGACCGGCCTCTCCCCCCGGTGTGGAGACCACCTCTCACCCCCCTCCATCCCCTTTCCCCTCGCGGAAGCAGGTCGGAGGTTGCATTCGGGTTTTGATATATGTAAGGGTGAGGGAGAGAACAAGATATAGAGAAATGAAACATTAATTAAAAAATTAAGAGAAACGGCTAACGCCAACGGACATGCATATCGCCCTGCGTGCCGCACGTGTGTGCGCGCGTGTGTGTGTGTGGAGGACGGCAACGCAGAAGCGGGGAGGGAGCCATACCAAGCATTTTTTTCGCCTCGGGATACAACCACCACGCCGTCCCCTCGGCGGCCCCGTTTGCTATTTCGGAGTGCCGCTGTTGTTGTTGTTGTCGTTGTTGTTGTCGTCGTCGCCGCCGTCGTCGTCGTCCAACCTCTTGTGCGGCGGTGTCGAAGAGCGTGTGCTGCCCGTCCCCCCCCCCCGTCCTCGCCCCAGAGACAGGCTGTCAGCTGCGGTTTCGGAATTGCAAGCTCGAGGAAGACGGAGCAAAACGAAAGGGAAAAAAGAAGCATAAAAAAATCCAGTAGCCAAGGTCGATCGCTTATCAGAGAGCAAGGCAGACGAATGAGGAAACGAGGCCGTTGCGGATATGGCCTCTAGAAGCACGGCAAGGGGGGGAGCAAGAGAGCGGGAAGCATGGAGAAAAGCGCTGCGCGGCCGGTCTAAGCCAGAAAGAGCAAAAAAAAAAAAAAAAAAAAAAAAGAGAACGGTGCAACAGAATACGGCTTTGTTTGGCAGCTCTCGTTCTAGAGAGACCCTGAGTGGCCATCTGACGAAGGGGGGGGTGGCTCGGCGGCCGTTCCATGGTGGCCCATTCATGTAGCCCCGATTGCCCTCCCAACAGTAGCATACGCACGTATGTACATATAGATGCATATATATGTACATACATACACTCACTAGAGCAAACAACGCACTGCCGCGGCCGTCTCGGAGCGTGGGGGGGGAGATGTTGTGAAGAAAAAGAAAAAGAAGAAGAAGAAGAAGAAGAAGAAAAGGGCCCGGCCGGCGAACCCGCCAGCGTCCTGACATGTCATGTTGCTCTCCCTCGCCAGCCATGGGTCGGTTTGTTCGACAGAGGATCTTCGCGGAAGCTGCCGCAGCCGCCGCCGGGCCTGGCAGATGCAGGGCGAGGTTTGCTGTCGATGCAGGTGGCGGGCGGGCTTTATCCGGCCAGGACCAACACGGCCGACACGGCCAACCTCCGACACCGCCACTATATGTGCACATATACATACGTACATATATACATACACACATACAAATATACATACACACATGCATACACACATACACACATGCATACACACATACACACACACACACACACCTAAGATGCTCATTTCTTACAAAACAGTACAAGCTTCTTCCCACCCTTGGCCGCTCATGGGAATGTTTGGCGAACAAAATCCTGACGCACGCAACGCAAGCACGCGCCAGCTGCAGCAGCGAGCTTTTATGATTTGCTTTCCTTTCTTATGGGGGGTTTCTTTTGCCTTTTTTTTTAAAAAAAAAAAAACTCTTTTCTCCAACCCACCGCTCTTTTCTCTCTTGTCTTCTTCTTCAGCAATTGGCGGTGTTACTCTGACCGGGAGAACCCGCGCGCGTGAGAAAAAGACTGAGAGACTCTGATACTGAGAGAGAGAGAGACAGAATGCAAGAGGAGCGCCTACCGTTTGATAGACGGGCCTCTGCGACCGTTTCCGTTCGTTCGCTCGTCCCGCCGGTTGCTTGGATTGGAACGGACGGTCGATCACCATTGCCTTGATCGGTTCTGCATCATCCTGACTGACCTCACGTAGTGTACAGCGAAGGGAGGGGAGGGGAGGGGTGTGTGGCCGCTCCGGCAGCGTAACACGGGGGAGACAGCGACACCCACACAAGCGTATTCCACTGACGATGGCTTGCGTCACGTAGCTTTCTGCAGTCCTGACTTTCTTCCTTTCTTTTACTTTGTGTGTGTGCTCTGTCAGGGTTTTCTCTCATTGCTTTTTGCTGTTTTTCATGTTTCCCCCTTCTGTCGTTGAATGAAATACTCTCTCCGTCCGGGTTCTGATTAGATTCTGCCCCCCCCCCCTTCGGCATGTACATGAACCGGGGGAAAAAGACTGCGGACTCAGCCTGTCCTGTCCCTTCTGCGCGTCCACCACGGCCGTAAATGATGGCCCCGATTCATGCCTTCACGGTCAATGTACCGTGGCAGCGTCGGACAATCGAACCGAGTGCCATGGTTTGCCTCCTCCCCCACCCTTCTCCCGCCCTCCAAGTGGGACCGAGATGGCCGTCTCACCAGACGCCGGACGACACTGGCCCAGTGTTTGCCTCGTGGTGGCCCTTTCGGTGTCATTCGGGGGGAGCATGGGCGCTTTTACCGTTTGAGAAGCGCCCTTCTTCTCAAAGCAGATGCCGCCCTCTTCCTTCTTCTTCCTTTTTGGGTCCTTGTGTGACCTCGCTGTTCTTCCACAGCTGGCCCGTAATCGGCAAATGTTGAGCATCCTGGGCCTGTGGAAGTGGTTGAGAACCGAGGGGGAAATAGAGAGATGGAGAGGCGCAGAAGGCTTCGCAGACTGGCGGAGCTCCCATGGCAACGATACATGTGCCTTGCTCGTCGTGGAGCCCAGCCGTCCAATGCATTGTATTGCCATTTGTCTAGTTCTCCGTCATTGGTCTACTCTCACCGAGTAGTCTACGACATTCTCGGCTCCGACAAAAGTCTGGCCTCTGTTCTTCAGCAATACAAGCGCGCGTGAGTGGGGATAGGGGGGGAGGCGTCGACCAAGGAGAAGGCAAGGCTCGCCGTGTCCGGGATGCGTCTCGATATTGAGCTTGTTGTCTCGCCTCTCCGAGAGGTAGCCATTCAATGCGGGCAGGGGTGGATTCGGTGGGATGGTGACGGTTAACCAAGGCCGAAAAAGACTTTCTGGTCTCTCTCCTCTACCAGTTGAGGGGGGGGGGGGGGGGGGATACGACATACCGCCATCTCATTGGGGCCTGCAGCGGGAGTGAGGCGTCTTGGTGAGAAACAAGCAGTCTCAGAGAAAAGGTCTCAGACCGCTCGCTCACGCTCCTCATCTCCGGTTCCCAAGAGCTGCAGAAAGCGAGTCTCCTGGGCCCAGATTGGCCCGCAACCCTAGACCCCCCGTCAGCCCAAGATACCCAGATACACTCATCCCAAGATTCAGATCGCCCGCCGCCCACTGGGCCCTACAGATCTGCCAGGATCCCTGCTCTTCTCAGCCGTCCGCCATCCGCCGTCTCCTCGTCTTCCTCCCACGCCGTGGCCTGCCAACTAACCACGTTTGGTATCCCCCCTTCCCCTTCTCTGTTTGCTCTTGTCTCGTTCCCTTCAAGTCCGTCTACCACCCCCCTACCACCCCCCCCCCCCCCCCCCAAGACCCTTCCCCAAATCTACAGCACACTCCCGATAGAAGCTACAGAGAAAAGCAAGAAAAACAAGGGGACTTGCGGATCCTGGCTCTTCCAGCCACTCACACCACTTCCCACCCATAGCCATGCGTGTTTGTCATTGCTAGAGCGGACGTGGGGACCGCATCCACCCCCCTTTCCTCCCTCTACACCTGTCCTCTGCAAGCTCCCGCGCCGGTGTGACGTGATACAGACGCATGGGTCTTTGCCAGTCGAGAAGCTCTACACCACATCTTGCACCATGTCTGCTCCGTCTGCTGGCTTCCCTCTGGGTATCTGCCATGAACTGGTCGGCCCTGTCCTGTCTACTTACAAGGGGTCTGCCAATGGTTGCAGCAGCCTCTCCCTCGCTGGGTTCCATGACACATGTCGTGTATTGTGCCCTCAAGCCTTCATGGGGGAGGGGCGCATACAGCGAAGGAGGGGAGTGTGTAGATGTGTGTTGTCGTAATTTCCAAAGCCTAGTCGTTCGTTGCGCCCTATCCCGTTCTCGCTCTACGCAAAGTGGAGGTATCAAGAGAATAGGGCAGAACCAGATCTTGATGGAGTGGAAAGGAGGTGACATCTGAGAGGCATGAGAGAGAGAGAGAGAGAGAGAGAAAAGAGACTTACAAACACAGGCGCAGCGGCCAACCTCTCTGCACGGATCTATTCAAAGTCTGGACTCCAGGATTGTGATAGTATAACACTGCACCGGCTGCAGCTGCTTCTTCATCCTTCTCTGTCTATCAATCTTCTCTTCCACCAACATCTCTGTCTGGTCTTCGTTTCCTCCTTTCCCCGTGTGGAACACCGACCAAGTCCCCGACTTGCTCGCTTTTTTTTGCTCTTCTTCATTTTCCCTCGCACCCGGAAGACGGAGCAACATATCCTCTTCCTCTCTCTCTCTCTTTCTTTCAGACATCAAACGTCTGACAAGGAGAGACGCGGGGAGGCCAACAAGCCTACTCCTTTCAGATCTTGTCCGCCTCCTGTCCACCACGACTTCCGGATCATCTGTCATTCTCCGGTCCTCGACGGCATCGAAGTCACAAGCGCAGGGAGACAAGGCGGTAGAAAGAGACGGAGAGGGAGTGGTCCGCTCGGGCTGAAACGAGACAGGCAGGTAGACGCTGGTCACGACAGCATCAGCATCGAGGCCCATCGTCCCATCGCGATCGCGAAGAAACGCAGGCACACGCAGCCTTGAGGCGACCCAACCCACCTCACCGGCACCCAACATCACCCGCTGCGGCGCTTACATGCCCCTCTCAGAGACAACAGGCCATTTCAACTACCCAAGGGCCGGACCCAGCCCTCGCTTCCTGTAACAGCACGCGCGCCAAATCCTTCCCAACACCGGTCCCTGTTAGTCACCAACGACCCCGTATCTTCCCCGGCCGCGGGAAAGCAAGATCATCCGAGGAGGAGGTGTTTTTTTTTTTCTCTTCTATTTTTCTTCCTCTGTTTCTTTTCTTATCGTCAACCATGGTCAGCCCGAGTTACTACTCGGACGGACGACGATATAGCCGTCTGGACCCGACGTACAGCTACCCCGAACGCCAGCAGCGACGCTCACACTCCTCCGAAGCGCGCAAGTCGTCGACCATGACTGAACGAGAGTCCGAGACCGACACACCTCCTCGCAAGCGCATTGCCGTTGCTGTAAGTTTCTTCTTGTTTCGTTGTTGCTATCTTCTTTTCTGTCTTGCCGTCTTTCATCTTCACTACTTGCGTGCTTCGCTTTCTATATCTCATCTTCCATGTAACCTGCTCCGTGTCTTTTTAATGTTCCATGGAGTCCTTGTCAAGGGGTTTCCGTTGAAGACGCCGGAAGGGAAACCTGGATAGCCATACTCGGCGCGGGAAAACGAAAAATAGGGAGACACCTAACAAGACGGACAGTGTGGTCGTTGTCGGAAGCGAAAAATACGCTGCAGCGGAGACACTGGCAACGGACATCCGTGCCAAAACTGCAAGGCCGCCGGCGCCGAGTCCTGCATGTTCTTACGAGTAAGTCTAAAACCCCGCGCGCCCCCCCTATTCTTGAATCACGAAGACTAACACGCGTCATCCAAGGTCGCCTCGACCGAAGCTCCCTGGGTTCAGACCCCGGAGTTCGCGTACGAGCTCAAGGCGGCGAGGGCATACCAAGCCCAGCAGGCCATGGTATCGCCCCTGACTGCCTCCCCGCCGCACTACGCCTCCGAGATGCACGACAGCCTGTCCCGCTACCCCCCGGCTTCGGCAAGCTACTCGTCCTACGGGGGCGGAGGAAAGTACTACTCCTCGGCGGCGACCATGCCGAGCTGGTCCTCCCACCCGGGCTACTCTGACGACGGCACCGGCGCCGTGGATTACAGCGCCGCGGCGATGGGCTACCCGTACCCCTACCAGAACCACGACCCGGGCTACTACTACCGCATGTCCGCCAAGGCCGCCGCCACGAGCGCGGCGGACCTGTATGTCAATGCGGACGCCGCAACAGGCTACGGTTACGGTGGCGCTGGGGCCGCGTCCCTGGTTCACCGGCCCGCCGCGACGGCATCGGTGCAGCAGAGCGAGGGATCAAACTTCTCCCTCTCCACCGTCGCGGCGTCCCTTCCGCACGCCGGCGGCGGCGGTGGCGACCGCCTCCTCCCGAACCCGGCGCCCCGTCTCCCCAACACCAACGTACTTGCCTACCGCACAGACGGCGGCGGCGCCCCGTCGTCCACAAAGTCCTCCGGCAGCCCCGTGTCGCAGACTTCCCCCGCGAGCGCCGCGTCCGAGGCGACGGCGGGCTACAGCGCCTCGTCGGTCGCCGGCCCGGGGAGCTACGACTCCTCGCCCGTGACGGCGTACCCGCCGCCCGCGCACACCCTCCCCTCGATGGCGCCGCAGAAGCACCACCACCAGCACCACCGGGCCGCCAACGTCGCGGACATGATGGGCTACCCGCCGCCCTCGACGGCCGGCGGCGCGGACTCCATCTTCAGCGTCTCGGACGCGAGCCTCCGCACGCACGGCTCCGCGTCCGACCTCAGCTACAAGTACACCGACGGGTCCTCGGGGGCGTCCTCCGCGGGCCGCCGCGGCAGCGGCGAGACAGCGAGCTCGGCCGGCTCGCTGTCCAACGGCCAGCAGTACACCGTCACGACCCCGTCCGTGGGCATGTACGCCGCCGTGGCGGGCCACGGGCGGCACCACGTCTCGCAGTACATGATATCCGAGGACGCCGCAGCCGAGCATCACGCGAGCCGGAGATCCGCCGGCGGATTATCCGTATCCTAAGGAGGGGAGGGGGGGGGGGGGGGGGTAGGCATACGGCCGGATGGGTGTATCCCTCTAGTGTGCCGGGCAGGAAATAGGGGAAAGGAGCCCCCTCTTCCTCCCACCCTGTCAGCGCCGCCTGCCTCAACGCTGCTTCTCGTGGTTCTATTTTTGTTTTCTCTCTCTCTTTTCTTGTTTTCTTTGCATTTTCTACGCCCGTTGCTTTTAGGCACGATACCAACACGTAGCGCCCGTTCACGCATCGCTTCCAGCATCCGAGGGGGGGGGGGGAGGTGGGGAGAGGGGGGGAAGAGACGACAAGAAAGCGAGGTCCTCATCCGACCCTCCATGGGAGGGAGAATACGGGAGGGGGCCTGGGCCTGGTGGCGTTTCTCAATTTTTTCCAGATGCACTTCGGCAGCCATGCTCACAAGCAGCCAACCATCACGTTCCATAATTCCAGATTCAAGGCGACGATATCCTCTCAGTTCTAATTTGGGGACCTCTTCAGCTAAGCTAGTCTGCACGTATCAGCATCCCTCAAAGAATGTTCCCGGTCCCGCCCCCCTATTCGTCCGAGGACTGTGACTGTAGGGCTCACATACGAAGCCCCCCCTCCTCAACCCGAAACTCAACGTCTCTTGAGATGACGGCCTGCAGGTTGTTTTCGAGGGCGCCGTGTGCCTTGTTCTCCTTCATGGCTCGCCTCGTATACCGCCTAAAGGGAAGACGCCACACACATACACACACACACACATACTCCGTACATGCTCGTACGTCGTCGAAGCAAAACGCAGGGCCTGTTGTCCATGGGAGCGAGGTGGCTTGCCTTGGCATGAGACCGGGGCCAGGACTGGGCACTGGATTGGGTTGCCAGGGGGGAGGGGGGGGGGGGGGGGGGCGAGTGGGAGCAGCTGGGACGGCGTACTGCGCGGCTGCGGCCCGGTATGCACTTTTCTGACCACCGCCGCCGCCAGCTGTCGGAGATATCACGGTTGGTTCGGCTGCGAGGCGTCCGAATGCAAGGGGTTTGACGTCTTGTCCCCCCCCTCCCCCGGCCTCAACCACAAGGCCAGGCTGACCGTTGGGCTTCTTGGCTTGATGCGGGCTGTCACCGGTCGAATAGCGTCTTGGGATGTGTGTGGATGGTCCCCTGTCCGCAAAGGGGTCAACGTGTGGATGTCGGGAGTCCAACGGTCCAAATCGGACTTGACCCCGGGCGGCGTCATGCGGCCACCCGACCCGATGGCCCAACCCCAAATTCCCGCCTCGTTCCCTCCCACCATCCCGCTCGCTTCAGACCTAATGCCGGGCCACCAATGGACGGGTCCAGCCCGGGCTCCAGCCCCTCCTTTCGTGTCCCCAGAGGCCGCCGCCTCTTGTTCCGAAGGTGGCTTTCCTTTCTGTTCAATGGCAGATGAAGAGAAGGTGGGGGGGGAGGGCGAGGTTTCTAGGAATATGACGTGCCTCGAGGCTGCATAGAGTGCGGGAGCTTTCACCACACATTCTTTCACCTCTCCTTCGGGCCCCCCCATTTACAAAACCAATCCTGGTCGTTCCTTTCACCACACATGAGAAGACGTCGTTTCTTCGCCAATCGCTTTCATTGTTCGCATTCACTCTCATATTCCACTTTCTTACTCTCATTTTGCAACAAAAGAAAAAGCCTTGGGTCTTGCGTGGAGCGCCATGGGGATGGAATGGCATGGGAGGGGGGGGGGAAGCACGAATACCCGACTGATTGGGCGTGACCCGAAGCGAAAAAGTACTTTTCCTTGGTTTCTCTCTCTGTCTGCTGCCTTCTTCTACGTCAGAACCGCTCCGGCCTCTGGCTTGTTATGCATGCAGGGCATGGTGTGTCATACTCAACCCGCTGTTGTTCTGCTTGTCCGGCCTGTGTTGGCACCTTGCTCACCATTGTTTTCTTGCGTGTGCTTTTCTTCTTTTCTTTTCTTTGCTTTCCTTTTCCTGTTGCTTCCGTTGATTTTCGTCGGGATTCTCTCTGAGTCCGTCCGCTCGCCTTTTAGGGTTCGGAGCTTCTCTATTTGGGAACGCTCACGGAGGACAGGTGTAATGCATAACGGGCGGATAGGGGGGTTAATAGGCATAGAGACTGGGTGGGCTGGGTGCGTCTCCCTTGGCCGGCGGGATGATGCGGTGCCCAAAGGCTTGGGTTGGTCCTAAGAGTACGGTGATACATAAAATTAGCGCGAGTTTTGGGGCGTCCATAACCTTCTCATCCTATGGATTGGAGGAAACGAGGTCGTGATCAAGTTGGGATGTGGAGAGAGGACATGACGGGATGTGAGGTGCCTAAATATCGCGACAATCGGGGGGGCGCTATCGGGTTTCGCTTTTCTGCTTCTCTTACACGACGACGGCGTTGGGCCGTTTGCTTGTCCACCAGATTGCTGTTCGACTTTCATCTTCCCGCGATGCGCAGACCCAATCCAAAAAACGTTTATGCCAATCCATCAAAGCTATCATCACTCTTTGAACCACGACACGAAGACGGCACGCCCAAAAAGAGCCGTTGGGCCCGGGCCGGATACGGTCCACACAGAGAGCAGGCGCCCGCACCAACCTGGTATATATCTCGTGATATTCTCTTCCTGTTCTTCGTGATTGCTTGATATTATAATATACTGGGTATGAACTAATTTCGCGCCTCATCAGCGGATGAGCGTGCGCATGTGTACGTGGAATCCATGTGTGCTCTTTACAATTTCCCCTCGGCCTTTTCCTCGACCTCGCAAAACGCCTTGAACGTTACAAACTCATCATCCTCGTCGACATCGGACTGCAGCACCACCTCGGCCGTGGAACCGACGAAAAAGACATTTCCCTCGCTCATCTTGTGCACGGTCGGGCCAACCGCTATGGTGCCCTTGCCTGACGTGCAGAGGACGATGCTGGGACCCTCGATCGGTTCGAAAGTGACCTTGGAGCCGTGCCCCCTCAGCAGCGAGCGAACGACGCTGAACTCTTCGATGGGAGGGTCGTACAGCATCACGGCGGAGCCGGAGCTGTAGGCGGCGCGGTTGAGGGTGGCGTAGGGGTACTCGGTGGGAGTCATCTTCTGCTCATCAATGGGGGCGTAGTTATAGGTGAGCATGTCGACAAGGGTGGTCACGTCCTTGAACTTGGGCGTGAAGCCGGCGCGGACGACGTTGTCCGAGGCGGCCATGCATTCGATGATGTCACCCGAGAGATAAGCATGAATGTCGTCGGCGCGGAGGAACATGGCCTCGCCGGGTTCCATCTTGACCAAGTTGAGGAAGAAGAGGACAAACAGGCCAATGTCTGCGCCAAAGGAGCCGTGGTTGCGGAGTACTAGCTCCGAGAGGGTTTCGCCGTCGGTCGTGCTGATGCCGCCGGCGGCAAAGCCGCTGCCCTCCGACTTGGCGAGGGCGACGAGCTTCTCCGTCTGCTTCTCGATCTCGTCTGGCGTGGCGGACAGCAGCGACGCAAAGATATGCTGCAGGGCCTTCTTGTTCCGGTCCTTGGTTTCGGGGTCTTCGCTTTCCTCCTCTCCCTTGACCGTGTTGATGAACTCGTCAGCCTTGCTGTCGACGACCAGGCTCTTGAGGGGCGGGACGGTGGCCAGGAAGTGGGAGATCTCGGCGAGCGGGCGGAAGCCGCAGAGCCCCTCGAATGAGGTGATGGCAATCGCCATTTCGGGCTTGTGGTTGTCATCGGGGTAGTTCTCGGGGTCGCGGGCGTGAAGCTGTTCGGCGAGCTTCTTGTTGGGATGGGCCTGTATAGAGAGGGCCTTGTTGATGGAGAGGACCTTGAAGAGAAAGGGAAGTTTGGAGCCGTATTTGGAAGCGACGGGGGAGGAGAGGAGCTGTTGGTTGTCCTGGACAAGGTCGAGGAGGGTTCGGCCGGACTGCACCTCTTTGGAGGGATTCGAGGGGTGGGTACCCATCCAGAGCTGGCGGTGTTAGCGCATGTCAGAGAAGGGCGGGAGAAGCAAGGAATCCAGGAGCTCACCTCTGCGTACGGCTTCTCCGACTGGATGCTGAAGCCGTCCGAGGGCGTCGTGGCAGCAAAGCGCGCAGCTGCTGATTCTTCTCCCTTCTTGCCCCATTCATACGAGTTCACTCCGCATTGGAGCTTGAACAGAGGGACTTGCAGAACCATGTTGTCAGTGCAGAGGTGTTAAACGCTCAATGTATTCGAAGAAAAAGTAAAGAGCAAGACTCAAAAAGAAGAGAAGAAGACGGCGACGACGACGACGACGACGACGACGACGACAACAACAACAGCTGTGTCGTGGTATTAGAGTTGGCAGGCAGTACGTACGTACGCTCACCCCACCATTGAATTTGACGTCAGGGAGAGCTTCACTCTGGAAGACCCCGCAAACTGGAGCCAAGGGGGTTAATCGTCGAATTTACTACCTGCTCCAGATTCCCCTCCAATGCGATGGATGATTAGAGCACGGGCCGGGCAAGTGGTCGGGCCGCTCTGCGGAAGGTGTACTGCCAAGACCTGATTGGCTTACTTAGCATTCCGAGTTTCCACCTTTCCACTTTGGGAATGCGCGGCGGCCGCACTTCCTGAGGTACGGGTACCTCAGCTGCCACTGCTTACCGCCTGTATTCTGCTACCTGCAACCCCACCCAAGGTAGACCGTCGTCTGTAGCTTCAACGTATCGTGGTCCCCTGTCTACGACCTCGCCCGCTTCAAAGTACCTGTATAATCGTGGACTGTGTCTTTTTCGATCGCATCATGACCTAGCCCCTTTTTACGCGACTCTGAATTTTTCTTTCATAGCTTCTTTTTTGCCCAGAGATACCCAACAGCCCTAGAGCGCAAGGCAAGCTCCATCTATCTGTCTAACGCGACTCGATCTGACCTCGGACCTGCGGCAGCTGGCAGAGTAGTGCCCAAGTGAACGTCGCTCCTCCCCTATCCTGTGAGTAGCTGCGGACTAGATCTTTCCGACCCAGATCAGATCCAGGCTTCACCTCTTTGGATTGCTCCTCCTCAACACCCACTGCTCTATTCCAACCCAACATCAGACGCGACCCCGGGGCTGACATAAACATGCCAGAGAAACCGACGCCCAAGGCAAACAGGCTGCTTCCCGCTGGTCGCAAGAGAAAGCTCGCCGCCACCGAATTCCTTCCTGCGACGACGACGACGACGACGACGACGACGGCGAGTGGCTTGGGTGTACCCGTCACAGGTGTCTAGAAGAAACGTGATTCGCCCAACAACCAGCCCAGCCCTCTGGGCTCACTCCAGGCCAAGATGTCTCAACGCAACCGTAGCGGTCGCGGCTCGAATCGCAACAACGGCAGTGGCCACGGCGAGGAGGTACAACTATGGGAGTCGGCAAAGGAAAAGTTTCACGAGATAGTAAGCGGCGTCAACCAGGAGAACGACAACCTGGCCGAGCTGTTGAAACTAGACAAAAAGGCCGCCATCGCGAGCATGGACGGCGGCAAGCCCACCGGCTCCGACCTTAACAAGATGGAGCAGAACTGTCGCTCGGGAGTCAAACTGTCCGAGAACAACTCGAACAACATTAAAAACCTTATCGAGCAGCTCAAGATCCTCAAGGCCGTACAGCAAGCCAAGGAAGCCACCGAGGCTCCTGTGGCGACTAGCACATCATCAAGGACCGGCAGCTCGACGCGCAACCGAGATGCTGCGGCGGCGGCATTATACGATTTTGACGGCGCCGGCGACTCTCCCGTACCCAGCCCTATCGGCGGCAACTCGCGCAAGTTTGGCGATAGAGGCAGTAACCGAGACAGCATGCCGCCCAAGGCCGATAGCGTCGAGCCGCAGGGGTCCACGGGGTCCAACACTGCGGGGTCGTCCTCGGGCGCTCTGGGGTCGAGCGCTGCATCGGCAGCGCGCAGCAAGGTGTCGTTCTCAAAGGGCGACAAGGTTGCGTTCAAGCGGAAGAAGGACGAACCGCAGCAGGGCGAGGCCCCCTACGACTGGATACTAGGTGAAGTTGTCGGCGTGATCGGCGAAGGCAAGAGCCGACGGTACAAGTGCCTGGACGTGGAGCCGGAAGACAACGTCAAGCCGAAGGAATACAAGACGTTCGCGTCGGGCATGATACCAATCCCGCCCGAGAACCAGACGCACAATCTCGCCAAGCTGGAGGCCGGCAAGATGGTACTCGGTCTGTACCCACAGACGACGGCGTTTTACGCGGCAGACGTTGTCGGCACGGAAGCGGACGGCAAGACGGTCAATCTCAAATTCCACGGCGAGAACGACTCCTCAACTACACATCAGGTGGAGCGTCGCTACGTGCTGGAATTTCGGCCTTAGGTGACCAGCAGCCCCGTGCGGCGTTTCCGGCCGGGGGGGGGTTGGGGGTTCACGAGACGCAAAGAAGGGAGAGCGAGCGAAAAGCGGAGGGAAGAGGGGGGTTCCTCTGGATTGTGCTAGCGACAGCCATCAGCGGGCGTTCGCTTAAAGTATTGAGTTGGGTGCGGCGTATTGGCCGAAGGATCACCGGCCTGGACATGGGAGAGGATCTCATATCGTTAAGCCTCATTAAACAAAACAAAAAGGGGACAATGACGAGGCGGGTCGAAACGGAGTTTTTACCACGAGCATTATGACGCAAGGGTCGGCTCGGCGAATAGCGGCAACCATGGCAACAATAGAAAGGGTCGCTCGTGGCGGTACGGATATGAAGGGCTTAGTATTGTGTGTCTTGTCGACACGCTCATCGAGACCTTGGCACGACCACAGCTCCTTGGCTGCCTTAGTATATCTCTTTCCCTCTCTTTCTCTCTTGTTCGCAGTACGCGGACAAGGCGACGGTGCAATCAAACTTTCTTGTCAGTTGGCTTGGAAAGTGTCAAATGTCAGATTTGGCCCCCCCCCCCCCCCCTGACTCCGGCATGGCACGTGCACTCGTGGAATGCCGCGCCGGCTACGTTGCCTGCAGGTCGCTAAATATGCCCATTGGCCGGAGGAGCAGATGCCATGGCAGCAAAGGCTGAAGGGGGGGATAGGCTACCAAGAGCGAAGTGCATCGGGGGAACTGGTGGAGGGGAGGGGGCCTCGGATCAAGGTCGACGAGTTGCGAGTCGTAAGCGCGGAGAAGCCAAAAGGAGAAATTGGAGAGGGGACGTGCAGGAGATGAGCAGAGCAGTTTTTGGCTCCAACGGGCAGCCCGTTGGAGAGAAAGACAGAGAAAGGGAGAGACATCAGCAGCACGGCGGATGAAGCTACTCCCAAACGAGAGCAGGACCCTTTGGAGGTATCCCACTTTTTCTTTTTTGGAGATGCCTTGGGTCCCTAAATCCACCTCCAAAAAAGGTACACGGGACAGCTCATTGGTCCGGTGCAGTTTCCTCGTCCCCGTGCGGAATGGAAAGGTGCCGGCGGGTTTGCGTTTGTGTGTGTGTGTGGTTCCCAGTACGTACCTCCTACCCGCAACGAATCTCCGGGCCAAGAGTCAAGATGGACCAGTTAGTTGGTCGGGCGCAGCCAAGGGGGGTGACAAACGTGGGTGAAGGGAGAGAAACAACTGTGAAGCGAGAGAGAGAGAGAGAGAGAGAGAGAGAGAGAGAGAGAGAGAGAGAGAGAGAAACGGACGGATCGGGGGAAGGGGGGGGGAGGAGGGTGAGAGGACAGAAGGATGGAAGGAAAGGAAGGTCCCATAATTACGGATACTCTTTACGAAGTAGGTTTCCGTACAAGTACGGTGTGTACCTTTACGAATTCCTTGCCTCTTCGCAGGAGAGAGAGAGAGAGAGAGAGAGAGAGAGAGAGTCTCCATCCGTACTTAGCTTCCGTGCATGCTTTGGCAAAGCATGCATTGCATGGCCTCCTGCCACTCATTGTGCATGTACACACACACACACACACATGTATGTGCCTTGCATTGCTGCATGGTCTAATAATTCAATGGTCCAATCTCTCCTCTCCGTTCTCCGTGATTAGCCATCACAGTTGGACGCGGGGCCCCAGGAGAGAGAAAAGAAAAAGAAGAAGAGAAAAAAAAAAAAAAAAAACCACAAGCGGTCATCCGAGGCAAGGCATCTGATCATTGATGTAACCGTGCCCATGGTTGATGATTACAAAGTACGAGCGCTCGCTCACTCGCTTACTTGCCTGACCCTACCTTGCCTACCCACCTACCTTAGGTAGGACTGAATGAAGTGGAAGGGAGCCTCCATCCCTCTCGCCCCCCCCCACCTTCCAGCAAACGTTGAAACGCATGAGTGAGGCAAGACGGGGTTCCTCATTCCTAACGGCAGCGCTAGACGAGCACAGCGTTTCTAATCGACCGAGTAGGTAAGCTAAGGTAAGCTAAGGTAAAAGGAGGTAGGTACCTTGGGATAAGGCATGGGCACACGTCTCCACGAATATACACGTTCGGTACACTCTCGTGCTGAGCTTTTGTTTCGGACGACGGTTAGCATTAATCTCGCTCCAAATATACTTGTCAATTGGCCTGTTATGATACTTGTAGTGTGCTGACCTGTTCCTGTTCCTGTCCTCCCCAAGCCCCATCCCCCATGTCCAACACGTCTCGGCCCACGTCCCCAGTCCTAGTACCACCACCAATTCCCCGTTCCAGCTCCCTCCCAAGAGAGGGGGGCCAATCGTCCACTAGGTCCCATGCCTGAGCAAAAGAAAAGAGCCCAACTGCATTTGACCCCCTCCCCCAACCTCCGATCCTCGACAGCCATCGGGGCGCGCCAGTGTCAAATCGCAAGGCTGCTTCCTTTTTTTTCTTTTTCTTTTTTTCTTTTCCTCCCTCTTCTCTCTCCTCTGCGACATCTTCTTCAACCACAACACTTGCACCTCTCACATACATACTCTCTCTCTCTCTCTCTCTCTCTCTCTCTCTCTCTCTCCCTCTTGTCTACCGCCCAATTACAATCCTCTCACCCCGACAACCGCGCAGCGCCTTTGCGGTTCAATCATTCATACGCGCAGCATCCGCCCGAACCCTTGATAGGCCTGCCGTCACCGCATTTTAACACAAGTCATCAGAGGGAGCGACCCACCCTACCACGTTGCGACATCCCCTTTAAGTCCGACACCGCGTCACGACACGCCCGCCCACGACCGACACCTTCGACATACATCCACATTCTGACTTCTGTACGCAACACGCCATACCCATTACCCACCCTCGACCGTCGCAATGGGTGGTCAACTCTCCAAGATGATGGGCAAGATCTTCGGATCAAAGGAGATGCGCCTGCTGATGCTGGGTCTCGACGCCGCCGGCAAGACCACCATCCTGTACAAACTCAAGCTCGGCCAAGACGTCACCACTATCCCCACCGTCGGCTTCAACGTCGAGACCGTCACCTACAAGAACGTCAAGTTTAACGTCTGGGACGTCGGTGGCCAAGACAAGATCCGTCCCCTCTGGAGACATTACTTTAGCGGTGAGTCTTTGCCGCCTCCGCTTTGCTCCTCTCCCCCTCTCCCTTTGCCTCGCCCGAGCGAATGCTCCCCTCCTTTTGCCGTTTGAACAATTGCGCTGACGAGACGCCCCCCCCTTTGCTCAGGAACCCAAGGTCTGATCTTCGTCATTGACTCGTCTGATCGCGCAAGAATCGACGAGGCCAAGTCGGAACTGCACAGGATCATCAACGACCGCGAGATGAAGGACAGCTTGCTACTGGTGTTTGCGAACAAACAGGATATCAACGGCGGTAAGTTTGACACCACCGCCCCTCCTCCTCCTCCTCCCCCTCATGCGGACCCGGACCGCCGCCGCTGAGACTGACTGCTGCTCTCCTCAACGGCAAGCAAGTCGCTAACGCACGTTTTTACCACAGCCATGAAGCCGCAAGAAGTCACCGAGGCCCTCTCGCTCTCCAAGTTGAAAGACAAGGTCTGGTACGTCGTGCCCAGTTGCGCGACTACGGGTGAGGGCCTGCTCGAAGGCCTGGCCTGGCTGTCCAATAACGTCAAGGCACCCCCCGCTCCGGCCAAGAAGTAAACGACAAGACGACGGATATGCCTCATCATCACAATCCCCATCCTCTACGACTCACCGACTCGCCGACCGGAACTACCCACCTACCCACCCGTCCGCTCAGCCCCATCTCACCCTCCCCAATCTGTGCGTCACTCCAGATTACATAGCGAGGCATCGACCGTCCCCCCGAACCGAATCCGCCCGGATACTAGACTGTTTATCACCTATCTGATAACCCGTCGCGGCCCGGGCTATGGGCTCAGGAAAAGATGCCTCCGGAAGAGCGCGCTGCCGATGACCGCCCTGAAGGACTATTGGTTCCTCGTACTAATAATCGGCAGCACCGGGTCCTCCAACTCGCCTACAGCTCTCTTTCTTCTTCGCCACCCAAACTCTCAATGTAACGTTATTAACTACGCCGATACGGAGAGAAAATGGAAAGGGAGGGGCAGAAGGAGGGCCGAAGGAAAGGCAAGGGGAGGAACGGCCTTTCCCACATACATCCATCATAGGTTTTTTATTGGGCTGCTGGCTGTGTCTTTTTATGCTTGTGTCTCGTCCTACATGTTTTCGTTTTCTCTGGTGTCATTCCATGTTGTCGTTCTGAAAAATACCCGAAGTTCTTAGAAGGCGAAAAGAAAAGAACGTGGTTTGGGACGGGGCCAAAAAATAGGCTGGTGGTGTTTTTTGTTTTTTGTATTTTGTTTTTTCTCCTTGGCCCCCTTCCCCTCCCCCCCTTTTTTTATCTTTTCTCTATAAGTTTGTATTGGAACGATGTACAAGGAATTGTATGAAATCCCACCTTCTCGCCGTTCTCGTGGAAAGAAAGAGTGCAGGCCCTTTTTTTTCTTATTTACTTATTTAATTACAACATCGCCGTGAGAACACATGGGGGGCATGTTTTGTACCCAGCCATATCATCGTGTTCGTTCCCTGCCCAGCCAGCTGGGCAACCCGTCATCAGTCATCCGTCATCCATCGTTGATCACATTTTTTCTCGCCAGGGGGCCATGTCAACGGCTCTCTGTCCAACAAGTGCCGATGCGCGTGCGCGCCGCGCGGGGTTCTTTCGGTGACGCCGAAGGGGGGGGGGGAGCCTGCGTCGGGAGCCGCGCTAGTAAATGTCCCGGGCAGGGCCGCACAAGGCGGCGGTTTTTGCGAGGCCTTCACTGGTCCTCCCCTGTCCCTTGCCGGAGATACTTCCCACTGATGTGTATCCTCATCATCGTCATTATTATCATCATTATCATTATCAAAAACCAGGAGAGGGTTCTTCGGTCCTCTCTCTCAGCCCGCCAGAAGAACGGCGGCCAGGCCGACGACGAGCATCCATGTCCCCGTCCGCCGACCCGGGGAGGAGGACCCGGCGGCGGCGGCGTTGTTGGCTGGCGCGACCATGATGGGCCTGTGCCAGCCGCAGTGGACCGAGGCCTCCTGCGTCACGCAGGAGTAGTAGGTCGTCTGGTAGTACCCCATCTCGGCGAGGTTCGGCTCCGGGCGCGGGGTGACGCCGGGGGCGGGCGGGAGGAGGGAGGCGTAGTCCCGGGGGCCGGAGTCCGCGGGCGTCTCGACGGCGGCGGCTGCGGCTGCGATGGCGACGGCGGGGACGGCGAGAGACGCGGAGGCGGAGGCGGAAGTCGGCGTGACGGCGGGGTCTTGGGGAGGCCTGCGGTGGAACCGGGCCGGGTCCAGACGGAGCGGCCTGCGGGAGGCGGCGTCGGCGCAGGGGACGGTGGAGTTTGCGGCGGGGGACGAGGAGTTCGTCGAGAGGCGACCTTGGCGGGGCAGGGTCGAGTAGATTGGGGTCGGGGCCGGGGCCGGGCCGGGGCCCGTGGGGGCGGCCTCCGTCGCGACCGGTGCGGCGGTCGGGAGGAACGGTTCGGCTGGCGGCCGCAGGAACGGCGAGCCGGGCGAGTCTGACGGATCCGTGCAGGTGGGCGGCGGAGCTGTCGGTGTGGCTGGCGCCGCCGGGAGGGCGGCGGCCGAGGAGGCGAAGAGGATGAGGAGGAACGAGAGAGGGCGGCGCATGTTGGCTTGCAATTTTGGTGACGGGCGTTGATGGGGTTTTAGGGGGGGCGCGGTTAGCCTGTGAGGGTAAGATGGTGTTTATGAACCGGTAGCTGAGTAGTGAGACCGGCTCTTGAGAGTTTTTCTCAGTGTCAAGTTAAATCACACAGAGACCTTGTGCGAATGGAAGAGAAGCGGGAAGTAACTGAATGGAATCGAAGAATCCAAGAGACTGGGCAAGGGGGAGGAGAGGGGACTACGACACGGCCAGCGTCATCGACGTCAATGAAGAAAAGGAGGGCGAGGAAACAAGGAGGGAGAGAGAGAGGCAAGTGCGTGGCAGGACCGGCACGGCATGTGTCTGTTTTTTTATCTTCTTTTTTTTTCCCTCGTCATCCTGGCAGCCCCAACTATCTAGAATCACCTCGGAATGCTACTCGGTACTGACGCGAAAAAGGGCAAACAAAAAGGGGGGGGGGAGTTGGTTTGGTGGTGGATGGTGGATGGTGGATGGCTATTCAACCCCCCCCCCCCCCCCCCACACCCACCGGCGTGGCACGCCATGCAGGAGGAGTCACGGTGGATGACTGGGACGTGTGTTTGTTTCCCCAGCGCATCGCAACACGGGAGGAAAACGCGTTTCCAGAAGTTCGAAGCCCAGCAGCCCAAGCCAAGCCGCAGGGAAGAAGTCGGGTTTCGTTTTGTCTGGTCGTTGCAAGGGGGGGAAGGGGGAGGAATGGCTTTGGAAAGAGTCACGCAAGGACCGGCAGCTGGGGGAAGGTGTTTGGTGGTGGTGCAGGTGCTTGGAGACGATTGGGTCAGAAGAGTCGGGTGTTTAGGTGTTTGCTAGCGCTGTAACTGGTCCAGGCGACGGGAGGGGGACACTTCATTGGGGGTCGAAGACGGGAATTGGAGACGCCCTAATGCAGATGTGATGCACCAAATTTATTAATTTTTTGACAGTCGAGGACGAACCGGTTATTAAATCTAACTAAATACCTACCTACCTTACAAGAACAACCTGTATGTTACCATGTCTCGCGCCGGTGCTCGGAGGACCATGGGTCCGCTGGCCCTGTGCCGCACGAGCCATCCGCCCCGGCCGATCCGGCCCCACCGGCTCCGGATAGGCGGGACGCTGCAGCGCCGCGAGCCGCCCGGCGGCGTCGGCACCATGTATGCCTCGGGGCGGCGTGCTGCCGCGGAACCTTCACGGGCACACCGACGATGGTACGGCTGCGGGGCGCCGATGAAGTCCCACGTCGCCTCCGTCGCCCCCGGCGCACGCAGTCCGCGATGTCCATGTCATCGGCGGCAAAACCCCCGGCGGGCAGTCTCGATGGTGGGAAAGCACCCGCCTCCGAGCGGTCGGGCGGCCGTTTGAACGAGGGTCTCGGTCACGAGCGCGCCCGCCTCGACGCGCCGCTTGAAGCGCTGGTCCCCTGGGCGGATGCGCCCCGGGTCTCCGTGAGGGACGCCGTGGCCTGCTGGGCTCCCCTCACGCGGAGAGGACCGTTCCCGCCGTCGGCGGTAGAGGTAGAGGATGCGCTTGTGCGGAAGTCGTGGCTCCGGGCTGTCCTGGATGGCCCGTTCCTCACGTGCGAGTCTATGGAGCCGGTGTGAACACAAGTCCCTTTTATGTGAGCTCACGGGACCAGGAAGGGCTCTGTATGTCTATCCATTCCACAAGAGTCCTCCATCCGTCGCGGTTTGCGCGCGAGACGAAGTCGCACTCGACCTCGGCCATCACCTCCCGGCAGAGCCCGAGAAGGGAGATGGTACAGGAGGGTGGTTCGCATTATAGCCAATCGGAGGGCCATCCGGAGCGTAGGAGGTATGGAGTGAGCAGCACAACAAATGCCTATGCCATCTCGCCGCCGAATCTCTTCAACCAACTCCACGCTCTCTTGATCTAGCTGGGTCTACCACAATAAGCGGCCGAGATACCAGCCCGGCAGAGATGTCAACCCAGCCAGGTCCATCGCATAGCCCCAGACGTCAGTCGCTGGAATAAACTCGCTTAGGTGGATCTCTTGTCCATCGGCAAATCCATCATTCGCCCGATGGCCTCCACGAACCGGTGGGGTAACTCAATTTGTTCATTGCTGGTCCTACCCAAGAAAAGCATGAGTACGGGTTTGGATTAGAACCAAGGAACTCTTGAAACACAAAAACCCCATTGCCCATATTATCACCCCCTCTAAAAGTCGGAAGCGCATTGACTCGTCAGTGTTTCAACGCCCCGTTCACCTTTGGGAAGATAGCCGACACCCGCTTCGCGCGCCGCATGTCACGTGTCACCTGGTTGCAGTGTTGCAGTGCGAGGTGGTTCTTGTCTATTTGAGGTAACCCAAGACCCGGGCCCCATGTCCGCCGTCACTTGGTTCTTATCCATAACGCTGGTGAGGAGCTGTAACGCCAGTTTCATCCCCGTGACTAGTAGAAAAGTTCCACCACGACTGTACTGTGCTTCTCACTGTGGGGCTGAGGTTTGCTGTATATGTAGTGGCGTTGTTGCGCTGTGTGCAGGAAGACTATGGAAGAAACCAATCCATACGACGGTCCCATAAAGAATTGCATTCGCTCATGGAGGCCCTCGACTATCCGCTCGATTTCCCTGAATATGATGGACCTCCAGCATCGTCTTCCGAGGCCGAGCCGTCTGCAATTGACGAGCTGCAATCGGCCCTGGGCTCGATTCTCATCGCCGAAGAGGACAGGTCCACCAAGCCTTGGACCTCGTCACCCGCGTGTGTTCCGTCCCTCAACAGCGAAGGAACCGTTCCCGCCATCTTCTCCTGCCCCCGCGAGGTCCGTGATAGGATCTACTATTATTACCTCTACCGCGAAAACCAAGCCTACTACAGTCGCGGCGCGTCGGCGCGATGGCCCTTCCTCGCCAGCGAAGACGTCGTGTCGCTGTTCCAAACATGCCGGCAAGTCTACCAAGAGGCCTTGGAGGTCTTCCACCGCTACAACCAGGTCGAAATCGGCTCCGAGCCGCGGCTCGAGGGGGGTCCCCTAAAGGTTCTTGACAAGTTCCCGGCCGCACACGCGCAGGCGCTGCAGATGTGCTGCAGGCAGTACGGCGAATACAACGCGTGGTACGAGAGGTACGATCCCTTGAAGCACTACGCCGGCGAGCTGTGGCACATAGTGATCCGTGACGCGTACCTGTTCAAGTCCTACTTCCCCAAGCTGCGACGTTTCACGGCCATCTTGAATGTGGACCCGAGTTACTTTGAAGAACAGGAGGGTATGGTGCTGGACGGCAAGACCGAGGAGCAGAAGATAAAGATGTGGATGAAGTGGATGAGGTTCTCGACCAGCAAGATGAGGGCGTTGCCGCCCCTGTGGATGAAGATCCGGTTCACGTGTGGGCCGTTCCAGGGCGACATGCAGCTACACCAGGACTCGCTGAACGAGGCACAGGTCAGGTTCGCAGAGGAACTCGCGGCGAAGGAGGGGGTGGATGACCTGGATGCGCTGGGCAGCAAGTGGGCGGAGGAGACGAGCGGCGAAATGACGAAACTCGCGAGGAAGAGGCGGAAAGAGTTTAGTTGGGAGCGGATGGAACGTGGTGCGACTTGACTGTTCCAGGTATAACCCTTTGAGTACTTTGATTTACCTGTATCAGGTGAAGTTGAATACCCGCGGGTGATTCAAAATGGCAACGGCCCATAACATACAAGGACAAAATTGAGGCTGCAATATTCAGAGTTAGTTTTTTTTCCCCCTTACTTGTTATTATGTTATGTCTTGTCTCTGACGTATTCTGCACTCAGTGCATTAGAATCAGTCAGTTTTGCCACAGGCTATAAATGCATAGGAAGGCATATATTTACAACTCACCACAGAGAGTTGTGAAATTGTCCCGAGCAAGTGATACCGCCGACATTAAAGTCCCAGAAACCTTTCCAAAGTCCCGTTGGCCGTGGTACTCCTTTCACAGCGCATTCCCTCCAGTCATTTTGCCGCCCGGGTCACCGCGAAAGTCGAAACTGGCTATTACACAGATCTTTCTCACAGGCCTCAAGGACTCCTAAGGGCTACGATTTGCCAAGAGATCCGACGGTGAAGCCTTCTCCCCCGACTTATTCGTTGGAGAAATTGAAAAAGGAGCTCGTTGGGCGCGGGAAACCCGTGTGTGGCAATGCACACCCACGAGACTCGGCACATGGTCGTCTTTCGCGATGGTAAAGCGAAGTGACCACTGACCAGGCACGTTCCTGACTGACGCCAAGAACGATAAGCCAGCTAATAACTTAATTATGTATAAAGAGTCATATTGGCAGCTTTGTCTCGTCGTTTGATCAGGCAACACTCTCCGATTAAAGTTACATCACGGCCGTACCCTTACTGCAGACAACAACATTCGAGCGAATTAATCACTGATTGAAATCACAGAGCATGCATGCAGTTACACAGATCCTGCTTGCATATGCATACTGTCCGCTGCGGCAAGTTTTCAACCGCCTCCTAAAACACCATCTCATGTGTCTCACGTGAGCACCGCCAAGATGCACATATACGGTATGGCCCGAGCTGCAAGGGGGAGGGGATGGTATACAAGTCAGCCCCTCGACACATGCTGTCAGATTTCCCAGCTTGGTCAAGCAGCGTCAACCTGATCACCATTTGACCACCGGAATCGGCCCTTGTCGATGATCTCATTCAATGGCCGCATGCCCTCCAACTGTCTCTTTGGATGTCCTTCCAAGAGAGATACTCATCTTGATACTTGCCGAACTACCCGACGCCAGGGCTCTGTATCAACTCATTCGAGCGTCTCCTGCCGCTTGCCGCCTCTACACAGCAGTCGGCGCCGAGGTCCTGGAGCGAGTCCTTGCCCGGTCTGTGCCTCCGCAAATCCATCAACTCATCCGGCTCGTGGGGGTTATACGCACGTCAACACCGAGCAGTCCAATAGCGCCTTCTTTCCAAGCCTTCCTGGGCCAGTACATCCGTCCCGCGGCGGATGACAAGGAGTATTTCCCTTTGGCCCCGCCTCTCAGTCAGACATGCAGCGGTGAGAAGGAGCTTGGGGGCGTCAGGAAATTGCTCTTGATTGCCCGGCGCATAGCTTGCCTGACCTCGCTTTGCATTGCCAGCTACCGCGAAAGATGCCTCTCGATCACGCCATCTCACAGAACTGAGCGGGGAGGCTCATCCTGTGGGATGACATCGAAGCCCTGGGAGGAACGCTCCGATGGCATCCCTTATCGGCCTCGAGACGTGGGCCCGCCAACATGGATCGAAGAGCAACGTGTGATGCGCGGGCTCTGGAGGCTTCAGGTGTTTCACGAGCTGAAAACAGCATCATCCGAGGATCGCACTAGGTGGTCCGAACGAGACAAGCGGGAGGCCGCTGACATGACACCTGAAGACTTCTTCGATGTCTGGGGTCCACAGCTGGAGGAGCTGCTCACCGTGGTGGATTTCGTGCGCGAATACACAACCAAACCAGAAGAACGCTTTGCCCTTCAAGACTGCGACATGAGGCTTCCGGACCCGCCAACAGGCAACGGCTCGGCCCCTTCATGGCCAGTATTATGCCAGGCGCCCCCGACGGATGCCTGGCCGGGCTGGACCAGGCGGTTGAACACCCCGCCTACGGCATGGGCGTTTTTCGGCCATCTCCACACCAACCCGCGCTCTCCTATACGCGGTGTCGAATTCTGGCCGTTTCGGAAATTGGGCCTTGCGATATGGGGGCGGGAAAAGCTAGCCAAGCTGGAGCTAACGAACCCGGCCGGAGTGGCTGCGAGCAAAGGGCCGCTGGGAAGCCGGGAAGACCTGGAGTTCACTTGGCGAAGTCTTCTTCCCGACGACTACCTGGTCCGTCTTGAACAGAGGCTGGAGGAAGATTGGCAAGACTCTAGAGGCGAGGAGTAGCTAGTGTTCTCTTTCTGTCAGTATGTACAGCAACCTGTCAGGTTTGTCTGATCAGATTTTACCGCTGCAATATGTTAGGCAATTGGCCAGTTTTCAAATCATGATGCCGAGATAAGCTAGTCATGGACAGCGTAGTTAACCATTTGAACAAGCCCATGACTCCGGGATCCCGGAGCGGCCGTGCGCGAACCGGAGCTGAAGGCCCCCCTTCAAAAAGCCGCCGCGTCCCGGCCGGGACCATATACCGAAAGCGGCCTCCGCCCGCATTGCAAAGTCGGGTGAGTTAATAACGAGCCGTCGCCCGAAAGCCGAAGAGCATGATGGGGCTTGAGGGCTAGATGCTGGCTAGCGCGTGTGTCTTCATGCAGCGACGGCGTTGGGTTAGATTACCTGCCAGATCCAAGTGACACACACACTCACTTCACTGCACACCCGGGTAAATCCCACGACGCAACTCGCCATAAAATGAGCCTGACGTGGGTGTGTGTCCGTCCTTCATGCTTTCAACCAAGCAAAAGGCTCGGGTCTCCGAGGGACCCGAGTCCAGCGCAACTCTGCTAATCAATCCGATCCTCCGTAGGCACCAAAGAAAGAAAAGCCAGTGCGGCCGAGGCCCAGAGTGACATGACATGCATGGTCCATTCCCCGAGAGAAAATTCCAAATGAACGAATGTTCAAGGGGCGAGCCGAGGCCCAGCATGTACCACCACGAGCTCCAATTGGAGCCAGCACACACACACACACCAAGACAAGCCCGTCCAGGTACCACGGCACCAAGACCACGGCACCAAGACCACGACACCATCCCAAACCTTCCCACACCGTCACTTGCACCCAAAGCCATTGAACCCAGTCCAGGGAGTGGGGGGCCATCCAAATCTTGCTGTGATAACGGCTTCGAATGCGCCAGCCAGAGAACCGCACCGCACGCCCCCCGACCCAACAGAAGCAACCACACGGGGCGCGCGACACCCCAACGACGTGACGGCACCCCGGCGAGAGGGACCCGCAATATTCGCAAATCCAAGGGGGGAAAAGTGAGTTGGGAAGAAGGGAAAAGAAGAGGAGGCCAATCACCCCTTACCTTACCTAGAACGGACCGAACGACCGATCGACCGACCGGGTGGGTGGATAAGGACAATCGCGCCGCCGCGCATTGCGAACCGTCGGTCCGCGTTCTCGCCGGATTTTTAATAAATCCAGAAACCCCCCCCCCCCCCCGTCCCTCCAATGCCACCCTCTCCCTCCCTCCTTGCTCAATGCTCCAGCACGCTCTGGTGCCACCTCCGATCCCTACCGCTCTGGGCCTTCGTCCTCGTCGTCCTGCTCCTCGGCGCCGTCCGTCAGCGCGTGCTCCCTTCTCGCCCTCCTCCTCCCCGACGGCCCGCCGCCACCGCCGCCGTCGCGGACAAGACGAGGAGATCCCCCAGCCCGTCTTCTCTCGCGTCGTCCTGAACAAAAGCAGACAGACAGACATAAGAATCCATCGCAAGGGTTATCCCCCCCTCCGGACCTGACCTCGACACTCCCCTCGCAATGGCGTCCGCAATCGCGAAGGCGACCCGCACCGAGGCCGACCTGGACCGCGTCCCCGTCCGCGTCGTGCGCTTCGTCCGCCTCGCCACGGCCGGCGGGCTGGCCTACGCCGCCTACCGCGTCCACTGGCGCGTCCTCCTCGCCAACTTCTTCACCGGCCCCGGCCGCGTCAGCCGCATCCTGATGCTCTTCTTCGCCCTGCTGAACCTCAAGAACATGCCCTTTGTCTGGACCGTACGTTCTTCCCTCCCCCGGAGAAGCTTATATGAGAAAAGAGAGAGAGAGAGAGAGAGAGAGAGAGAAAGAGAAAGAGAGAAAGGGGGGCATCCCGAACTGACAAAACATGTTCCATGTCCACAGTACCGCGTGTGGTCCGCCATCATCTACCACCTCTTCATCCGCAAGTCCCCCCGCCTCGGCCCGCGCTCCCTCTTCCGCCCCATGATCAGCCAGTCCCACGCGCCCATCACGGAGATCGACTACAACATCCACAAGTCCAACTCGACCTACTTCGCCGACCTCGACGTCTCCCGCACCCACCTGTGCACCTACCTCCTCCGCCCCGGCTTCCGCCGCCTCGCCCACAACGCCACCACCGGCCTCGTCCTCGACCCGGCCTCGGGCAAGCCCGCCCGCGGCCCCCTCGGCATCATGCTCGGCGCCGTCCACTGCTCCTTCCGCCGCGAGATCACCGCCTACGCCCCCTACGAGATGTGGTCCCGCGTCCTCGCCTGGGACCGCAAGTGGCTCTACATCGTCACCCACTTCGTCCCCAAGGGCACCGCCCGCCCGACCGAGTGGCTCGACCCCAAGTTCGGCACCGCCCGCGTGCGCCGCGGCCCCGGCGGCGGCGCAGCCAACGCCAACGCCGACAGCAAGGACTGGGAGAAGAAGATCTACGCCACCGGCGTGAGCAAGTACGTCTTCAAGATCGGCCGCCTCACCGTCCACCCGGCCGTCGCCCTCGAGGAGAGCGAGCTGCTGCCCCAGCGCCCCGACGGCGGCTGGCAGGGCGGCCCCAACGGCGTCGGCGACGAGGACGTCGACCTGAGCGACGTCGCCGACGACGGCGCCTGGGACTGGAGGATGGTCGAGAAGAGGCGCCGCGAGGGCATGAAGTACGCCGCCCGCTTCGCCAGCATGGACGACCTGCACGGCTGGCTCGACGGCGCCGACGGCGGCGACGGCAGCGCGCTGGCCAAGTTTGGCGGCTAGTCGCCGGGTCGCGTGGTGAAGGCGGGGGAGGAGCAGAAGCGGGCGGGCAGGGCGAGGGACGATTGATACCCGATAGAAATTTTGCCTGGAATATAGATAGACTAGGGTTGGGAACTTTTTGGCCGTACAAGGACCTGGCCAAGCCAAACAAGGGCAGGGCCACATTACATGTGTGGGAAGTCTCTCGCACCTGAGGGGGGCATGGTTGTTTTGTTTGAACGGGTTGTTTGCTACACCTGCCGATAGAGCTAGACATGCGTGCGTGCGCATCAATTATACATAAATTCCATTCTCAGATACACATTTGATGATTTCTTTTTCCTCCCCCCCCTTTGCCTGATAAACTCCTCAACACCGCTTACCCTCCCAGACGACCTCCATGAATGGGATTGGAAGAAAGAGCAGGTTGTACAAAATCCACTCGAATGATGCGCATGGCAAACAGGGCTTCAAAGAGCCCAAGCGGCGGCAGCGGCGGCGGCGGCGATGACACCGGCCCAGCCAGCAGCCTGCACCTTGCCAGCGGCGGCGGGTACCGCGGTCGACATGGCCCCGGTTGCCGTCGGGCTACTGGCGTTGGCGGCGGCGGTGGCGGTGGTGGTGTTCTGGCCGATTTGAGCGCAAATCTGAGGTGTGATCTGGAAGACCTCTGTAGGTTACACACGTTAGTTGGCTGCTCAGGAGTCCCCCAAGAGAATCGACGGCGATCGAAACGAGGGTGGCAAACGTACTGGCTTGATCTGCAGTGCTGCAACCGGATGTGGCGAGGCACGAGACGACTTTGGGGGTCAGCTCCGAAATCTTTCCGCACGAACAGGCAAAATTTGTAATGTCGCACCCGACCGCATTTGCTTGGTCGCTGATACAAGTGACGGCGCAGGTGGGGATCTGGTCGACAAGCTGGTTAATCGTGTCGGCAGCGACGATGGCGACGAGCAGGGAAGTGATGGCGGTGTGCTTCATCTTGGCAAGTGTTGATAGATGGGCTTCGGAATCTGGGCGATAGTGGCCGGGAATGGGCTGATAGATGCTGCGATGAGAGTGTGGGTAGAGCGTGAGGTGTAGATGTTATAACACAGCTTGTTGCTATCAACCGTAAGCTAGTCAGCCGAGGGGCCATGGTGCTCTTATAGACAAGACCATCTTCGAGTCCGTTACGCTGCAGTCTAAGCAGCAAATGAACGCCGAAATGGACGCGTCCAGCCAGGTCGTCTACTCGAGGCTTCCCAACACCGTCAAGATGCGGTCAACGCCAGCCCGCCGTAGATATCTTGCATCCCGGATTAGGTAAAGGCGCGGTCTCGATAGCGGAAAAGATCGCAGGGCGCAAGTGAAGTGAACAAGGCCAAGAGGTCCCGTCGGCCCGAGTTGATGTCCGTGCAATCTATGTCGACTCGTCTCTGGTAGCTTGTAGACTATCGGCTTAATGTTGCCACGGCGTCCTGAGCATGAGGCATCTGCCATCTGGTGGGATGGGCTGCCTAGACTGGCCCGGTGGTTTTCCTCCATTGCTTCTCTACTGCTATGTAGCAGGCTGAGGCGCTAGTCGAGGCTCAATAGCACAAAGGCGGCTAGACCTGGTCCTAGGTCAGTTAGTAGCATCCATTTCCCACCCTTGAGCTAAAGCCAGTCCTCCGCAAACGTCCGCTTGGCACATTTCGAAGAACAACGAACAGCCTTTGCAAAGCGGAATGGCCGAATGACCGTGCAGAGATGGTTTTTTGTTTCTCCGAGGAAGTCTAGGATCTAGAGAAGAATGCGTCTCCCGATAACCTTTGTGCCTTGGATGTGGCAGACATGTCGTTAACCATCTCAGCCTGTGGTTTGAGACATTTTGGCGTAGGGAACGTCGATTAAGCTCGTCCGGCATCATGTAAGCTTCCTGTAGACCCCTGTCAATAATGCAGATCAGAAGGATGGTCGAGATGCCTGACCAATCATATTCACCCTTTCCCCGGCGGACGGGTCGCGTTGGCAACATACACCTGCATTAGCCGTCATTCACCATCTCACCTGGACCCTTAACTTGATGATGGGATGATAGGGGCTCTTGTGGAACTCGCTTTATCTCTGCAGCAAGAGCTGCTGTCTAGTTGCCACTGGTCGGGGTGATGCAATGTAGGCAGGCCTACCGCTAACCTATTCTAGATCATGCCGTCGAATCTATTGCTTGTAGGAGATTGCCATCTCACCTTTTTGTCGTCAGCTCATAGGTTTTGGCGTAGCCCTACCTTGCCCGATCCGCTCGCTTGGTATTTCAATTGTGAGGGCAAACTGTAATCATCAAGAGTGGCGTCACCGCTTTCTTCAGGGCTTTCGCTCTGAATGTGAATGTTGGCATGCCGCTGTCGCTTGCTAAATGAAACGCGGGATCCATCCATGCGAGTCGCATTGGAAAACGTGATATGGTCTACCTGTGTGGGAAACAACGGTATCCGAAAGCACCTCGCCCAAATGAAGATGGCCCCTTGAGCGTTCCCGAGGTGATCCGCAAGCGTGGCTTTGTCAATTTCAAGCAATATCCAGGATTTATTGTTCCCTCGCCGAGGTAGCTGGAGCTAAATGTTCAGGGCTTCGCCGACAGGTGAAAGCAATGGCGGTCTTGGCATAAATATGGAATGGTCGGTTGTCGTGTTGTCCCTATGAACGGAAAGGAATGCAAACGGAAAGTCAGAGACAGCCGAGAGCGATTCATCAAATCCGAGGCAGTGATTCGACATCACGTGGTGTGGTTGGCTCTGGCATAGTGGTCATGACCATTGCCAAGGCGCGTCTTCCCGGATCAGTTGTTCCGCCGGTGTTGGAGTTCGAATGAATGGCCGACGCTGCAGGTGGATTACAGCTCTGCTACTTGGGCGGAGATATCAGTCTCTGGGACTATACCGAGACCAAGAAACGGATCGGGAGGACCAGCCGAGATGGCATGCTGCCATATATATTCGTTCAGTCGGTGCTCTAGAGCAATCCGGAGTAGAGGCTGCACGTTGATAATAGGGTCCAACCTTGGTGGTGCAGATGGCATTTATTCTCGACAGACATTCCGGCGAGTTCCATTGGTTGATACCACTGACGGCGCCGCCGCTGCTTTCGTCTGCTGTCTAAAAGGGCTGAAAGTCAATGTCATCATGGTTGGATTTTTGGTCAGCAGGTCGCTTGCTCTCCCGACTTTGCTGCATTCGCTGCCTCTAGAACGACAACTCCATCCGCGCCAGGCTCACGAATGATTTCCATTCGGCTATATTGCCGAGAGTAGGCCATCGCTTGACCAAGCCCTATGCTTCAAAGGAGGTCGGGACTTGGGTGTGAGATGGTAAGCGAAAGCGGGTTTTTCATCGCGAGCAGGATAAGGATGAGGGCGGGAGTCGGGAGACGGGAGACGCAATTGTCTAGGTTTCTCAGAGCCCTAGACCAGTCGTAGACGACACGTTTTTGCCACCGAGTGCAGAACGGGTGCAGATTCGGAACATACAACGACTGTGAGCGAGTTGAACGTCGACATGATGATGATTGGGAAGGAAGTGGAAACTAACTAGGTAGGGAAAATCAGGTGGGGACCCAAGGAGGTCGGAATTGCTGCTTGGTACGGAGTACGGAGTAACGAGATCGAAATCGAAAGATCCACTCACAGTGCATACTGTGCAAAGATCGACGGATGCTACGGTGCATCGCTGCCCCTCCATCTACCCCCGTAGCTACCTACCTAGGTACGTAGATAGGCTACACCGCGGGGCATTCGGTCGGTCCTTGGACAAAGTCAGCTTCCCCAACGCGATAAAGAACCCTCCCGCTCACTCATCCAAAACCCAGCGCTGCCAAACATGACGGAACAGCCGGTATCAGTCCTCTTCGTTTGCCTTGGCAACATCTGCCGCTCGACCATGGCCGAGGGCGTGTTCCGCAACATTGCGCAGAAGCCGCCGTACAAGGGCCTCATCGCCAAGGTGGATTCTTGCGGTACAGGTACGGACGAATACGTCATGGATTCAAGTCTCGGTATTTTTTGTTGCGCAGCCGGCTGACACAAGAACGACGGGATAATCAGCTGCCTATCATGTCGGCGACCCCCCAGACTCCAGGACGATGGCGACGCTTGAAGACCACGGTATCACGGATTACCGCCATTCCGGTCGCAAGGTACGACGGCTGTTTCCTCTCGAACCTTCGGCGCGCTACCCCTCCCACCCCGAGCGCGTCGGCCGGGGAGCCACGTAACGAACAGTAAGCTGACGCGAGTCTCTTGATCGGATAGGTGTCGCCATCCGACTTCAACAAGTTCGACTACATCTTCGCCATGGACCGATCGAACTTGCGAGACCTCCAAAACCTCCAGCAGCGCGGCAACCCTGACTCAAAGGCCAGGGTGATGCTGTTTGGCGAGTTTTCGGGGGGGCGGAGGCCGGAAGTAGTGGAAGATCCGTACTATGGCGGCGACGAGGGCTTCTCCAAGGCCTACGAGCAGTGCACGCGGTTTTCCGGCAATTTCCTCAAACACATCTTCCCCCACATCGACCCCAAGGTATAAGGCACGGCGATTCACTCTCAAGGGGCACCGACAAGCGCCGGAGAGCACAGGTAAGCAGCTCGCACGTGACTAGTCGTGGAGAGGCAAGGCGTTTGGAAGGCGGCATGGAGATTGCAGTAGGGACATATTCCGCCGTTGCAGAAGAAAAAAGGCCGACGATGACCACGTCTACGGTACAGCGCTGAGCGAGGGCAGGGGAAGGAAAGGGCCATCTGCAGAAAGAGAAAGACAAAAAAGAGGAAAACCGACACAACCAGATGCATTAGTGAAGTGATTATCCGGCAGACAGACAGGCATTGGGAGAGGCATATTAGCGTGTCTTGTTTGGTTCCGCAAATGCAAGTTGCATATAGAAGATTTGATTTTTCAAGCCGTCCCTGTTGGCGGCCAATGAACGATGTTCTTGGCATCACAGAGGTACAGTGTGACCGGGTCGACGATAAACAGCCAAATAGACGAAAGGGAGGAGGCAGTCTTCAGCCCTATACACTGCAGACACATGGAGGAAGGACGAAGCAGGTAGGTCTCGGTAGGCGGTGAGTCGTGACCATGATGGCCCGGCCCAGTGTGCCGTCACGGTTGCGTCGGCTTACGCCGAGCTGGATCACGTCAGGCGACGAGCACTTGGAGCGACGCTTCGTGCTGACGGCAGGCAGCGTCATCTTGAAGGAGTTGCTATGGTGTCAGCTTTCCGCGAACGAGGGGCTCTTGCTCTTGGAAACACCGGAAGCCGATATGATATGTCTTGTTGGCTGAGGCGATATGTCGCTGCGAACAAACACACCATGCCATGCTGGTAGGTAGATAGATAGGTACCTACGGTACGGTACCTAGGCAAGCAGTCTCCGTGTTCCTCGCGCTGACAGGCGCATCCCTCGGCGAGAGTGTGCGGCTGAGATGGCTGACAGCGATCTACCCGCATTATGAAACCAGTACGGTACCATTGCTGCACTATGCAAAACCTTTCTTCAGCTCCGGAGTTCGGTCTCGAGAGATTCACCACATATCCCAGCCGGTCGGGATTGCTCGCCCAAGGGACCGGGGAAACATTGAAACCCGAACCCTCGTCCTCAGCAATGAGTTCCGTTTCTTCTCAGCGTCCTCTAGGGTGGATCCATAGGCAACTGACTCTCACCGGGATTGCCATACAGGTAGGTAGTTTACTTGTAACTAACACACTTGTCTGGTCTCCCTGGTATTTGCCCACGCACAGGCACACACCCCCACCAAGGATGGGTTTTTTTGTTTTTTGTCGCGCGGTTGCAGAGCTGCAGTCCCAATCACGGTGCTCAGCGGTTACCGGCCCCGAGGCAAATGGTTCAGAAACAGGCCAATGACAAGCGTCAGAAGGCCCATGTCAGCAAATCAGGAGCGGTACCGGGGGTGATGTGCGGGTCTCTCCCGCCAAGTCGCTTCCGGCTTAACGTCAGCAAACCTGTACCTTGTACCCTGTACTTTTGAACATCTCCTCCTGGCAGCTGGAGCATCGACTCGGAGACAGCTGAGCTTCTTGCTCGGTAGCTATCTCCTCCGGCATGAATAGGGAGGGGCCTTTGCAAGCACCAAGGTAGAGAGACGTGCAAAGCTGAGAGAGAGAGAGAGAGCTCTAGTATTGGCACGCACGGTACGATTAACAGGACGTGGCAGAATCGCAGGAGCATTGTATCGTATCCTCCGTTTTAATTCCCGGGTCCCATCCAATCCAAACGACAACAGTCCACTTTGGTCAAAGTATGACAGTACAGCTGCCCCTCCCTTCTCCATTCCCGTCAAGGTCCAGTCCAGTCCCTGGTGCGCCATGGTGTGTGTGTGTGTGTGTGTGTGTGTGTGTGTGTGTGTGTGTGTGTGTGTGTGTGTGTGTGTGTGTGTGTGTGTGTACTGCCCCTCCTCCCTCCCCCTCTCGCCTCGTGCTTTTGCATCTGGTCCTGCCCAAAGTCGGTATGGTATGTACACGTACCGTACGTACCTATCCCATTGCTTTTGACCTTTTCTCGACTTCTCCTATCCCATAAGCCAGCAGCCCAGAAGTGGTGCCTGAACCAAGCTGAACCGACATGCCCATCCTATGCCATCATCCCATCCCCCATTTCTACCCACTCATCGTCCCTCGTCCTACAGTACCTAAGGTAGATAAACCACCTATCTGCTCGAGTAGGTAGGTACCTATCCCGAGGTATCTTCTCCTCGCCCCCCCGAAACTACTAATTGCACAATATCTGGCTCTCCCTCTTGCTGCCATTCTTGCGCTTTCTCGTTCTTTCACATCCCATCATCCTTTTAAACAGCCAAGGATCCCACACAAAGCAATAAACCTCCTGCAGGACGGACAAGGACGAAGATTGTTTCGGCGACACTGCATTGTCACCCGTCATCCTGAACCGAGTAGAGCGGAAGCAACAAGGAAGAGAAGGGGTGGAAAAGGGGGCCATATAATACCTTACGGCCTCCCCTCGTCGACTCGGCAGCTTGAACGATCCATCTTTCTTTCTTCTCCTATACTTGAGCCTCGCTTCCCTCCCTGGTCTGTTCCGCAACTGTCGCATCCCATCGCATTCCTTGCTTGCTTCCCCACCTTTGCCTCGATTTGACTCGCCAAAAGATACCCCTCGCTTTCAAGGTCTTGGACACACGGCAACAACTCGACCACTGGAACAAATCCACAACAGCTTTCCCGCAGTGAACCCCGACCCGACCGAAGAAAAGGGGGAAAAAAGGAAAATAGGAAGAAGAAAAAACCAACAACCTCGCAAAAATGGCTGATCTGCAGGGACGCAAGGTCTTCAAGGTCTTCAACCAGGACTTCGTCGTCGACGAGCGATACACCGTCACCAAGGAGCTCGGCCAGGGAGCTTACGGCATCGTCTGGTGTGTACACCGTTTCACTGTTTTCCCCCATCGTCGCTGCCCCGCCATTGCGCCCACGACATGAAGCTGACGACCTTTCCTCCTCACGCAGTGCCGCTGTGAACAACCAGACTCAGGAAGGTGTTGCTATCAAGAAGGTTACAAATGTCTTCAGCAAGAAGATCCTCGCCAAGCGCGCATTGCGCGAGATCAAGCTGCTCCAGCACTTCAGGGGACACCGCAACGTGAGTCCTTTGTCACCCTTCTCCCCCTCACCGTCAAGCCATCTCCCAACAACCCCGCGCGCGCGCGCGCGCGCAGCCGTCAGCGCCGCCACCCACACGGTTGCAGGAAATGCCCTCGGTAGAATGCTGACAGCCTGTCGCGATAGATCACCTGCCTGTACGATATGGACATCCCCCGACCCGATAACTTCAACGAGACCTACCTCTACGAAGGTACGCATTTCCAATTTGCTTGCAGACAGACCCCCCGTGCAGCCCGACCTAGCTTGCTGACCCGTGCTTCGTGCTCCAGAGCTGATGGAATGCGACCTGGCTGCCATCATCCGATCCGGCCAGCCCCTGACCGACGCCCACTTCCAGTCCTTCATCTACCAGATCCTCTGCGGTCTCAAGTACATCCACTCCGCCAACGTCCTGCACCGCGACCTGAAGCCCGGTAACCTGCTCGTCAACGCCGACTGCGAGCTCAAGATTTGCGACTTCGGTCTGGCGCGTGGTTTCTCCGTCGACCCCGAGGAGAATGCCGGCTACATGACGGAGTACGTTGCCACGAGATGGTACCGTGCCCCCGAGATCATGCTGAGCTTCCAGAGCTACACCAAAGCCAGTACGTGTTCACAGCGCCTGGCATCACGAATCATGTTTGGACGGGCCGGCTAACAATCGTGACAGTTGACGTCTGGTCGGTCGGGTGCATCTTGGCCGAGCTGCTTGGCGGTCGTCCCTTCTTCAAGGGTCGTGACTACGTCGACCAGCTGAACCAGATTCTCCACATCCTCGGAACGCCCAACGAAGAGACTCTGTCCCGCATCGGCTCGCCCCGTGCCCAGGAATACGTGCGCAACCTGCCCTTCATGCCCAAGAAGGCTTTCCCCAGCCTGTTCCCTCAGGCCAACCCCGACGCCCTCGACCTGCTCGACCGCATGCTTGCCTTTGACCCATCGAGCCGCATCAGTGTCGAGCAAGCCCTCGAGCACCCCTACCTTCAAATCTGGCACGACGCTTCCGATGAGCCCGACTGCCCTACGACCTTCAACTTCGATTTTGAAGTCGTCGAGGACGTCGGCGAGATGCGCAAAATGATCCTGGACGAGGTCTACCGCTTCCGCCAACTGGTCCGCACCGTTCCCGGAGCCACCCAGGCTGGCTCGCAGGCCGCCGGCCAGCAGCCAGGTGCCAGCCAGGTCCCCATCCCGTCAGGAAACTCGGGATGGACGTCCTCGGATCCCAGGCCGCAAGAGTACGCCGGCCAGGGAGGTGGCCTGGAGGCGGACCTTGCCGGCGGTCTCGATCACCGGAGATAAGAAACCTGCATTGGTCATGGACATAGGCGCGCACCGATGGGGAAGGAGGGTGGGGAAGGGGATGTGTCTGACTCGCAGAAACCACCGGCGGGCCGTTTTGCGATCATTGGACATGATGTCATTTCGAGCTTAAGCAAATCAAAGGTCGAGACGCCTCGGGCCGCTAGAAGGTGTAGGCATTGTTTTGGACGGCGAACCTTTTTTTTTTTTTTTCTGATGCGGGAGGGAAGAAGCAAAAAGAGGAGGATAGGCAAGAAGAGGTCATGGGGGAGGAGGAAAGGAGGAGACTAGACTGCCCGACTTTGAGAGTAGGGGGGGATGAATGAACACGGCCAAGATGATGAGAAATCTCTCAATTTACCTACACAGTAATTCCCTACCTACGATTCTACATCCGTGGCCGACCTTTTTCTGGTTTAATTTTTTCTCGGAATCGCCATCTTTCCATCGACGCCCAGTTGAAGTGAGCGGCAGGTGTAGCCATCCATCCTGCCTTTTTCCAGCTCCGGGAATGGGAAGTCTCTTCCAAGTCTTGCGACAAGACTTTGTCTTTCCAGCCGGCCCTGTCCCTGTCGTCCCTGTTGTCGCCTCCCCCCGACGCGATGACTTGAGTCGAGGTCGTCATTGCGATACCTGTCTCGCCCCCCCTTCCCTTTCCGGCCTACCGGTGCATGCACGATCGAAGGCCGTAGCCAATGTTTGATGAAGGGTATGTTTCCCGGTGGTCTGCGTCCTCTGATCACAAGTTTCCTTTTGTGTGGATTCAGGCAAGTCACGGGAGGGGATAGCCGCGGGGGCATGATCAATGGGAGAAACAAAACATATTCTTGTCGCCAATTGCCAGACTGGGTACTGTGATATGTAAAATAGAATAAGATCCTAAATAAGTACATGTGAAAATGAGGGCAAGACGGGGCACCTCTCTGGCCGCGATGCGATTCCAGCTAGACCCCCCAACCTTGATTACATCTTTCCGTCGATCCGTCTCAGTCGCGCCCAAGGGGGTATATACGAAGATTTTGTGAGGGATTGGAAGAGAATTTTGTAAGGGAGGGGCGGGGGGAAAGAAGAAGTTTAAGAGAGAAAAGAACATCTAGAAAAGGGGAAAGGAAAATGGAGAAAAACGCCTGTCATGACTGCCGTTGAGGGCCGTGTGACCCGGTTTATGATTTTCTTTTTGACGCCAGAGAGGGAAGGGAAAGGTGCCGAGGAGGCCGGAACGCCATGCTCAATCAAGCCTTGGGGCCGTAGAGCCAGTAGTACGCCGCGTACGGCACGCTGTCGCTGGCGCCGTCCGTAGTGCACTTGTGCGCAACGCCGCCGGCCGTGGCGACGCGGTAGACAGCTGTGATGCCCTTGCTGCCGCCCTTGTCGCCCAACTGCAGCCAGTCGACGGCACCGGTCTCCTCAGGGCCGGGGTCAGCAGACGCGGGAGCCTTGATGCCGTTGAGCTTGGCAGCCTTAAGTATGCCCTGGCCGACCTTGAAAGTGGGCACGCCCTTGTTGTCAAAGAAGTGCACGCCGATCTGCTTCAGAGGGGCGATGTTGGGGAGGGCGAGATCCGCTGGGGCGGGGAAGGGATCCAAAGAGGCGCCATAGCGGGTGACGCCGTCGGAGACAAGCGGAAGCGGGGAGCCCCAGACGGCGTTGGTGGTGAGGGCGTCGAAGGCTTCGACGGAGGGGAGGGAACCGGGTCCGGCGTTCGGGTACAGAGGCCGGGCATCGTAGAGGGCGGCGAGGGCACCGGTGGCGACGGCGGTGTGGGTTGTGGCGTTTGGAACAACGCAGGTATAGTTCTGGATACCGTGGCCGAGGGCGATGTACTTCAGGACAAGGTCGGCAGCAGGTGCGGGAAGTTCGGCGCCTTCAAGGTGGGTGTGTTAGTGATGGCTTCAAGGAGAGGATGTAAGCAGATGTGGCGTACCATTCCCGTGTGTGGGGAGGGTCGGAGCGACGGGCTTGGGGCCACAGCCGGGGCGGCCGGCTTCTCTCTTTGCTGGGGCGGCCGAGGCGAGAGCCAGGGAGGCTAGCAGGAGAAAGGTCTTGGCGAGCATGTTGGGCTGGCTGTGGTCGGCAATGGACTGGACTCTGGCGTTGGGTGTTGGTGGCAGAAAGTAGAGACGCGGCGAAGAGAGGTAATATAGACGTATGCGGGTAGCTACCAGGCCACGCGCAGAGAATTCGGATCTAATAAAAGATTGCTTCCAAGGAATAAAAGAAAGAAGGGGCTAGTATATCGGTACGGATAGTAGGGGCGTAATGCGGCGGGCCGCCTTGGAGATGACCTTGGGGGAGGCGGGTTATGTGGGTAATTTGAGCCGAATTTAGGTACGGCGCTTACAGGCGCTGCTATGGGGCGGATAAGGTCTTGGACCGAGACAAGAAGCGAGACTAATGCGGGCGGGAGATGGAAGAGAATAAATAAACAAAGAGGTGCAGGAAAAGGCCCTTGGTAGTAATGCAGCGAGCAGAGCAGGCAAGATTCGAGCTAAAGAGATGGCAAACAAGAAAGAGCTGAGAGGATGAGTAAAGTTTGTGCTATGGGACGGACCAAGAGATGAGATGGAGCGGAACTGGAGGATGGGTTTTATATCGATTCTGAACATTACACGACAAGCTGGAGAGGACCCGGGAACGAGGAATTGGATGCGACCTGTCAGTATCCATCCACACCTGAACGAGGCGCACTCTCGTCCGGTCTGACAAGGCAGGTTTCCTTTTCGGAATGCAAGGCGGCGCAGGGGTCACGAAGGGGGCCGCGATGGCAGTCCGTATGTGTCCATCGCGGGCACAAGTTGGTGCAGTGTTCGTTGGTGTAGGGAGAGGAGGGGGAGAAGGAGCAGGGAAGCATCCTGCTGGACGGGTCGCGGAATGACTCCCCTGGACCATGTTGATGTTGGGCGTGAGTCGTCAAAGTACCATGGCGTTTGCTTAGGCCGCAGGTGGTAGCGGTTAACAGGCAGACACATTGCGGGGCTGGCATCTGTGCGCATGCGTACCTCAGGGACTTTCGCCCTGGCGGCCACCTATTTCTCCTGAAGTCAGCATTAAACCCAATGAGGCAGTATAGGGGGCATACTAGGGGGGCTAGCACAGATGTGCCTATATCTGTACCTATATATAAACACTTTGCCTACCTACTGTGTTAACTATTGTTTCTTTCCTCCTTTATATTACTGTTGGTTTTCACTGGTTAATTGATGGGGATCCTGTATCTTGTGATATTACAAAGGTTGGGAAAAGGTGGTTAAATTTGTGGTTGTTAATAGTTAACTAGTTAATAAGGTAAAGTAGGAGCACAAGTGTAGTAGTACCCTTGTGTATAGGCAAGGGTAAGGGATTCTGCTAGTAGGCGGTGTATTATATAACCTACTGCCTTTAGCTATATTACCTATATACTAACACTAGTAACTTTCTTGTGTAGTAAAAGTCACTAGTGCTCCTATTCTTCCTAAAAAGCCTAAAAATATAATAAAAATAAGAAAAGTAAAAGTATTACACTTTTTATAGTTATATACTACTATAAATTTATTTATCTATTTACTTAGTAAAGGTAGGCTTACACTATCTTATTTAGGTGTATTTCTTTTTAGCTATAGCTGTTAAAGGTATATACCTACGTTAAATAGATTTAACTACTATTAATCTATATAGTTTATATAACCTATTTTTTCTTCTAAGTGTCTATTATCCTATATCCTATTGTTCTTGTTGTTTCTTATTATATTTATATAACTTATCCTTTTATTTATATCTTTATTTTATTATAAGAGATAAGACTCTTAAGTGCTTAGTTTAGTAAGGACTTTATAAACCTATTAGTAGGGTTATTATTACTATAGATCTATTATACCTTAAAGAGCTTATGTTACTTATATAATTATTATAGTACTATAATATTAATTATTAAGTGCTTTTTATAGGTAGTACTTAACTTTACTAGGCACTTGTATAGTAAGTATAAGTTAGTGTAAGTAATAGTAGGGATTAATAGGTTACTAAGCTTGTTTACTACTATTATAATAGTTATAGAGAGAGTATACACTATATTAACGCCTATAACTATACTATAGACTTCTAACGTAAGAACACTTTATATTACTTATTTAGATTTAGTTAATAAGAAATAGAGGACGTTACTACAGAAGGTAAACTTATTTTACTAGTTATTAACCTCTTTATTAGTAAAGAGGATAATAAATCTTAACTATAAAGTTAAGTTATAATTATTAGTAAAAGATCTATTAATAAATATAAAAAGCTTTACGTTAGGTAGGTTAAAGGGAATAAAAGTAAGGCTATAGTTAAGTGTGTTTATCTACTACTAGATTCTCTAGTTAAGTTACTAAATAGCTTTACTGTTAGGCTCCTTGTGCTAGGCTACAGTAGATAGGTCAAAGTATACTTTAGGCTAGTAAATAGAAGCAATATATACTCCTTAAGTGCACTACTAGATATAGTCTTGCTAGGCTATAGGTAATTTCTTGTTAATAAGTCTTAGCTTTACGCTTTAGCCCTTTTAGTAAAGTGTAATAAAGGTGTTTTTAGCTAAAGTTAATAAGATAATTTCTTTATTAAATACTAGAGGTTTATTCTCTATAAGTAAAATTTTCTTTTTTATAAGGAGCTTTACCTTAGTAAGCTTATTATCCTTATAGTTAGAGAAATTAACGCTAGTTAGGCTAATTATTTATCTATTTATATTTTAATTATTATAAAGTTAGGGTTTTTTATAGATAAAAGGAGTAGGCATAGGTTATATAAAGTAGTAACTATATTAAGCTTTTTATAGTAGTAGTAGTTATATATTGCTTACTAATAGGTACTTACTTTAGTAAGGCTATATAATAGCTTTATAACCTTTATAATAGTGCCTTAAGGGTAATAATTATAGATTTAGAGAGGAAGTTATACATAGATAGCATAGTTAAGTTATAAAGTTAACTATATATAGGCCTACGTTATATCTTATAGCTATATTACCTTACTGTTAGCTATAAGGGAAAAGGTAAGCGTAAGAATTACATGCTAGCTAGCTCTCTAAATTATAGGTAACTAAACTAGCAAGGTTTCTTTACTATTATTACTATAACTTTGTACTATAAGTTATAATTTCTTGTATAGCTTATTATTTTTGCCTTTGACTTTATTAATAAGGTAAGATTTAAAGATATAGCCCTAGTAAATAGAAGGATTATATATAATAATCTTAAATACGCTGTAGTTAATAAGGCCTTAGATCTTACTTTTACCTAACTGTTTAAAGGGCTTACTAGGTGTAGTAATAACGCCTTAGTTATATAGTTATTATATAAGGGCTAGGTTAGCTTCTTCTTTAGTAAAGAGAAGGTAGTAAGGGAGGTTTATTTATTTTCTATAGTAGTATATTAACTAGAGTCTTATATAGTTACCTATAGGTATACTATAGAGGAGGAGAAGCTATAGTTTAGACAGGTGCTCTTGTCCTTATAGTAATAATAATAGTATCCTCTATATATTTACTAGTGTAGTTAGTATCTATAGGTTAGTTAGGTTAAGGATTTATATTAATAGGCTTACTATTTCCTTTTTAGTGTAGTAGGTTTAACTAAGGTAGAATAGAAGTTATATAGGCTATTAATATTAATAGTGTAATCCTTACTGTTAATAGATAGTAGGTAGTGTAGGCTAGACTATTTACCCTTTTTACACTATACTTATACCTTACTGCCTAACAGTAGGTCCTTAATAGTAGAAGTATCTAGGCTATTATATACCTTAAGTGCCTTATAAACTTAGTGTATTATATAGCTCTTATAGAGGTTATTAGTAGCCTTCTAGATAGTAGCTGCTATTAGATAATGTTAAGTAAAGGGTAAAGTTAGTAGTTATATAGGGGTAAGCGCTAAATACTAAGAGGGTTAGTATAAGGCTATTAGGGCCTATAGTATTATTAACTGCCTTGACTACGCTCTAAAGGATAGATTTATAGTTAGTAGTTAAGTACTTTTATGTATAATTTTATAGGCTTATTAAAGCACTATATAGTATTATTTAACCTTTTTAACGCTATAGTGTACCTTAATAGGATAATCTTAACTTTAACGCCTATTATATAGGCTTTATATAAAAATTTAGTTATAGTAAAGTTCCTGCCTACGTTAGTAATAATCTAGTCTAGAGGTCTTAGTAGATATTAATCTAGTAGTAATAAAGTGCCTTCTATATAGTCTTTATAGAAATATTATAAAGAAAGTATACTACATTAAAGGTAGTTACAGTATTAATAATATAAAGAACTAGTTAGTTACCTTTAAGGTATATAACGTTAATAATAACCTTATAGTTAAAAGAATAGTTATTATATAAGGTAAATTTAAATTATAAAGGTGCCTTCTTGTAAAGCTAGTAGTAATAGTAGTATTTAGTTAAGTGCTTAATAGCCTTAACCTTAACCTTATAACTAGCCTTATAAAGGACCTTGTAAAGGTAATAGACTAATAGGTGCCTAAATTATTAGTAAAGTTATTATAACTCTATGTTAGTTAAGTAGTAACTAGTAAGGCTGCGTTTAGGTAGGCAAGGAGTATTTATAGATGCCTTTATTTTTATATAACTAGTACTATAATATTGCCTTGTTAAAGGGTATTTATAAGGTTATTAAAGTAAATAAGTAGTTAATCTATATCTACTAGGTAGAGCAAGAAGGGTATATTTATAGGTATTATATAAAAGGTAATAGGCCTAAATAGTATACTAACTATAATAGTGCCCTTTAAGTAAATAGTGTTACTACTACTAAACTAGATCTTTACTTAGCTAGTAGTAGCTATATTAATAGTTACTAACAGTTAGATCTACTGTAATATAGTTACTTATAGGTAACTAGTAGTAGAGAAGGTTACTACGCCTATATTAGGCAAGATACCTTAAAAGGTGCCTAATAAGTAATAATTAATATAAAAGAGGTAGCTAGATCTAATGATACTATACTAGGGTTATCCTTTGTTAACTAGTAATAGACTACTTAGTTAGCTAGGCTAAAGGTAAGCTTATTACTACTAAAGGTAGCACTACTAAAGAATATAGTAAAGGTATAAAAGGTATTACCTTCTAGTTTATTTTTACTACTTTTAAGAGTGTAGTTACCTTAAAGGTAGTAACTAAGGTCCTTATTATCTTTATTATCTTCTTTTTCCTATAGGTAACTACCTTTGTAGCTAGCAAGAAAGGATTAATATACGTTAGTAAAGAGTCTTTTACTTAGTAGTTATTTTTAAATTATTAATATACCTTATGTTACTTATTAGTAGTATATTTTATTAACTAATAACTAGGCTTATAGTAGATATAGTACTTCTTAGTATTATAGTTACTATTATTATTACTATAATAGTTACTATTACTATAGTTATTACTAAACTACTAGTTATACCCTTAGCTATAGTAGGTATAGTTAACCTAGTATTAATTATTAGGGTCTACCTAGTACTAGCTAACCTTGTTATTATGTTTTATTATAGTACTTACTAATAACTATAGTTAGTTATAGACTTCTTCTAATATAGGCACTAGATTAAATAGGCATAATTTATACTTGTAAACTCTAGAGTAAGTATTTAATAGCTAGGATTAAAGGACTTTATTATTGTAGTAGCTATTAGGTAGTGCTTATTAGATAAGAGTAAGTTTATTAATAAGCTTCTTAAGCACTTTAAGCTTACTTTTTTTAGGGTTATTATATACAACGTAGTAAAAGGTAGTATCTTGCTACTTAGTAAGGTACATCTAAATAGCCTTAGGGCTCTTAAAGTAAGCTTTTACTTAGGTAACTATAGTAGTAAGGTCTTAGATATTCCTACTGCTAATTTAGGTAAAATAAAAGGTAAAAGCCTTGCCTTTAAGTATTAACAAGAAGGCTAATGCTATTTAGTGTCTCTTAATACTAATTTTACTATAGTTATTATAGAATAAGTTTAACTTAACGTTAAATATATTATATATTTTACTAGTATACTTAGATTTATTAGTAATAATCTTAGTTAAAGTGCCTAATTACTAGGGAGAAGGATAGTTACTAATAGTGTTATTCTTAATTAGTAGTAGCTATCTTGTGCTTTAGGGTTCTATAGGATTAGTGTGTAAGCAAGTAAAGGGTTCTTGCTGTAATTAATAATAAGTAGAGAAGGATAATAGGCTATTACCTTGTTAAGATAGTCCCTATGTTATATTATATAGAGGAAGTAGTAAATCTTATATAGATTAAGTCTACTGTAGTAATACTAAGGTCTACTGCTTTTACTACTATAACTTCTACACTTGTTTATTAAGTTAGGCTTATATTATTACTAATTATTACTTAAGGTTTATAAATATTACTAGGCTTTATTTAGTTATATAGGTAATAGGTTACTGTTACTGTTTTTACTTACACTACTCTAGGCTAATATAACTACGTTAAATATTATTTAGGAAGCTATTATACGTTTTAATAAGCCTATTAAATATTACTAACTTATACTATACCTTTTTAACTTCTTTATCTATTTAAACATAAAACTTATTATTATTAATAATAGTAATAAGGTATAAGGTAATTTATTAATAGTCTTTAGGTATAAAGACACCTTAATTAAGAAGGAAGTTATAAAAAATTAATAGTAGTGTTTTACTAGCTACGCTAAAGAGGGCTTTATCTTATCTATTAAAGTAATATTAAAAGTCCCTCTAGAGCTTATAACCTATAAGGGCGCATTTAGCCTATTTAGCTATATAATAGGTAAAGTAAAAGTAAATAGTAAAAGGGTCTTACTTATTAAGAAGGATTTTTTAGCTATACTTCTTATAGTTAATATATCTTACTATAGAGGTAAGTACTTTAGGGTATAAGGTACTGCTAGATTAACTTATTATAAGGTTAGTTATTAGGGTTAATTAGTAGTAATTACTATATAACTTTTATAGTAGTAATTAAGTAGTAAGTTTCTTCTTAATATAACTTACACTTGTAAGTCTAGATAGTGCTAGGTTATTTTTATGTATATAAGGTAAATAGGGATAGTTTTCTAAAGGGGTAGATGTAAAGATAAAGGGGAAAGTTAAATAAGGTAGTAATTATTACTACTTAAGTGTCTTTTCTTAATAGCGCTATGGTTAGTGTAAAAGAGATTTTTGCTTATTAAAGAGGTTCTAATAGTGTAATAGATGCTATAGTGTTTCTTATAGAGGTAAGGTAGCCTTAATAATACTTAACTTAGTTAGTAGTCTGCTAGGTTATAGTAGGCTAGGTAAACTCCTGTAATAGTAAGCCTTGTTAATTACTAGTTATTAGTAATAATTAACTATTAATTAATGTTAGTTTTTACTAGTTAATTAATAGGGATCCTATATCTTGTAATATTATAAAGGTTAAGAAAAGGTAGTTAAATTTATAGTTATTAATAGTTAACTAGTTAACAAGGTAAAGTAGAAGCATAAGTGTAGTAGCACCCTTGCGTATAGGCAAGGGTAAGGGATTCTACTAGTAGGCAGTGTATTATATAACCTACTGCCTCTAGCTATATTACCTATATACTAATAATTACTACTATTTATCTCTTTATTAACAGTAAGGTTTACGTTTTTATTTTTTACTAGGTTACCTACTATAATATTAAAAAGTATAAATTAACTATTATAGCTAACTAAAGTGCCTTATTACTAATTATTAAGTGTAAGACCTACTAGCTAAGTAATAGCCTCCTCTACTTGTGTTATATACTAAGTAAGGTAATTAGGTTACTTGTTATAATAGGCCTCCTCTTGTTAATAGTATTAATTTAATAAAACCTCTATATAGCTCTAAATAGTAAGCCTAAAGGGGATAAGAATACTTTTATAGTTAGCTATATATAGTATATAGTATACCTTATAAGCCTTGTATATCTTGTACTTAGCCTTACCTTAGCCCTATATTTATTACTACTAGTAGGCACCTATAATATTATCCTTAGTTATAGCCTATTAGAGGATATATTAGTAGGGTAAAACCTACTACTTATAAAAGCTATAGTTATATACTAGCCTATTATTACTTGCCTACACGTTATAACGTAAATCTAAACTATTAGTAGTAGCTACCTCTACCTTATAAAGTTTACTAGTAATTAACTTTTATATAGGTATAAGTAGGCAAAAAAGATAAGGTAAGACCTATTGTTTATAAAAGACTTTACTATAAAAGTTTACAAGGTATAGCTTAGTAGTAGTAAAGTATCTACTATTAATATAGTTAATATACTTAATAGCCCCTTAGAGGCTAAATTACTAGAGTATATAATAGTAGCTACACTTAATAACGCTATAAAGGCCTTTAAGTAGGTTAGTTATTTTAGCCTAGAGTAGTAGTAGTAAATAGTTATAGGTATAGTTAGCCTAGAGGTTAAGTATTAGTAGCTAGTTATTTTTAATATAGGCAGCTTCTTTATATATTAAACTTTTTATTATAGTAGCAATAGATTTATAATAACCTAGCCTTATATAGTAATATTTTAATATAGAGATTATATAGCGTAGGCTAGTTAGGTGTTTTATAAGACAATAGTAAAAGGTTCTTTTATAGTAGATATAGTAAAAGAAGTATAATACCTTTATCTTACTATCTATAAGGCTATAAAAAGTATTATATATAGTATATTATTTAATAGCTAAATTATTAGTAAAAAAGTAATATAACTACTAGTTAGCCTAGCCCTTTAATATATATAAGTAAGCAGTAATAATATTAGTATTACCTTTTTTAGTAAAAAAGTAGCTAACTAGTATCTAGCTACCTATAGTATCTCTAACTATAACTATATAAAGTAGCTAGCTAAACTAGTTAGTCTAGTAAGTAATATTTATTATAGTAAAAAGGCTATATTACTATAATAATATAAGGCTAGCCTTAGAGGCCTACGTAAGCCTTTTACTTACCCTATTAGTACATTAGACTATATAATACTAAAATTAAAGGTTATAGGTATAGTAATAAGCCTTAGCTTTAGTAACTTATAAGTACTATAAATAGTTATAGCTAATAAGGTAAAGGTTAAGGTAAATAGCTAGCTAGTAGTAGCCTATGTTATATATAGCCTAGTAAGAAAGCTAATAGCTACCTATAGTTGCTAGCGCTTACTTAATAGCCTTATAGTAGCTAAAGTAGCCTTAGAGTATATAGTAGACTTTAGTAGGCAAATAACTAAGGGCAACTTGCTTAGTAGCAAGGTCTTTAATACTTTATAGTAGGTAAATTTAATTAAGGTGTTTAAGTAGGTAGTTATAAAGGCCTAGGCTAACTTATAAAATAACTACTGTTATAGTAAAGTTACCTATCTATTACTTAATAACTTTAGTATATATAAGGTAACTAGTGCTTACCTATATAGTGTAGTTATAGGTTATTATAGCCTTACTACCTTAAGGCTTATTAGCTTTAGTTAACTAAAGTAGGCAGTAATAGTAGGTAGTAGTAGTACTACTAAAAGTATAGCCTTAAGCTTTAGTTAAATTAAAGAAATTACTAATAAAAGCCTATATTTATTTAAATTTAGTAGTATCTACCTCTATAGGCTTAGTAAAGTAAAAGTATTACTTATAGTAGGTAGCAAGGTTATTAAGTATAATAATAAGGCTAGCCTAGGTCTTAAGGATATATAAGGTAAGTCCTAATAGAGTAAATAGTTAGATAGGTAGGTAAGCTAGTAAAAGGAATATTCTTATTATTAAGCTTCTTCTAAAAGTCCTTTAGGTTAAAGTTAACTATATTGTCTTTATAGTTAAGTAGTAAGGGCACTTAGAGGGTTATAATTTTATTATCTAATATATTAATTACGTTAGCCTTACTAGCAGTTAACAGAGGGATATCTAATACTATAGTAACATAAAGAAAACAATAATAATAAGGTAAAGGGTTAATTAGTAATAAATAACGTAGTTAACAATAGGTTAGCAGCAATAGGTTAGCAGCAATAGGTTGTTGACTTGCTGTTGTTACGCGTGGGTAGGTGGTCTAGTTGACCCTGAAAAAACGCGGAGGATGTGGTGGACCTACATTAACTAGATTAACTAATCAGAATATCCGAATATATCTATTATTTTAATATAATTAATGTTGGTTGCAGTGCGGTACTTCGGGGGCCCGTGGGCAGACCTGCAATGTGTCTGCCTGTTAACCGCTACCCCGCAGGTGGGATGAGGCAAGGGTTTCTTTAGGAGCATCAGAGAGAGAGAGAGAGAGAGAGAGAGAGAGAGAGAGAGAGAGAGAGAGCTAGATGGTGATGCGATTGTCCGTCTGTGCCGTGCCGTGCATGCGGGTTGCTTGCAAGCCAAGCTAAACACCATGGCGGAAAAGGTTGCTGCGAGGATGGATCGCGAACAGCAACGTGGAAGACGTGCAAAGAGGGAGTAGGCACGCACACACCCACCCACACACACACACACCCACACACGAACAATAGCGTTCCTTCCTCATGAGACGAAGGGGCTCGAGGACCATGCGAAGGATATCGGTAGGGCAGGTCCAACGGGCGACGAAAGGCCGGGTTTCCCTGCCTTCCTTACCTTCTGCCTGCCTGCCTACCTACCTACCTACCTGCTCTGTATTCGTAACCGGCCGATGCAGGACATATACGCGATGTACTTAATCGGCAACCACCACGATGGACCCCTGCCTTCGTTCTGCGGGGATGCCTGGCGCAATGCGCGTTTATGTCGGAAGGCAGCCCACCAACCGCTGTGGGTCTGTGACTGAAGACGGCAGGAACGATGAAGGGGGTGGGGCTGCCAGTGGCTGGGAAGGGCTTGTTTGCCGGCCTTTGCGGTCCTAGGTAGGTAGGTAGGTAGGAAGGTCGGCAGGTACGAACATTACGGATACTACTCCGTACCTATGCAGTAATACTCTCTGTATGTTTTCTTTCTTTCTTTCCTTCTTTCCCATCCCCTGCGCCTTACCTCATCCCATATCAAAATTCGGATCCACGGCGGTCGCAGGCGGCCATATCCTGTCAGCCGGTCTTCCCTCGGATGTGCCTTTGTGTTGCTGTCAGGCTTGCTTGGGAGGAGGGGAAGCACGGAGATCCTCAGAGCCAATCTTCTTGGTCGTCTCTGACCCCGTTTCTTGGCTTGGTACCACCACCCATGACTGACTCCACGATCCTCGAGGCTTCGGACGAGCACCAGGTCAAAGATGGCCGAGATGGTGCTGACTCTGTTGGCATGCACACCTTTCTCCAGTCGTCAAACTATGGAGGTACATGTCAAAAGTTCATGCCCAATATGCCAAGACCACCCCATGTTAATTAACAAGGGTAATTACAGGGGTAGCCACCCAAATAAATTTGCCACTAACATTTTAATAATGCCTATCTAGAACTTCTGATCAATATCTGCCAGCATAACGCCCCTCCTTATATTTGTTGCTACTATTAAGAGCAATAATAGCCTTAATATAGGCTAGTAGCCTCTCTATCTAGGCCTAGATTTACTCTTAAGGTAATGCCTACTAGCACTGTTGCTATGCTTTTTTAGCTGCTGCCTAGTTAACTAGGGCACTTTTCCTTGTTATAAATTGCTTTATCTAGGGCTAGTAGGGCTTAATAGGGTTAAGGTTAAGGCTATTACTACACTAGTAGAGCTTTTTAATATTATAAGTTAAATATGTCTAGTAAATAAAGTAGTAATTATAAAAAGGTGCTTTATCCTCTTAAATAAAAGTACTAGGTAGGCACTTATTATAAATAAATAGGAAGAGCTTTAGTAGAAAAATCTTCTTCTAGTAATAATACTAGTTAATTTTTTCTTTACTTTTATAGACTAACTTACTAGTATAGGTATTCTAGTAAAAAGTTAGTTTATAGCTAAGGAGCTACTAAAGCTAAAGCTAGCTAATCCTCTTCTCTAACTCTTATTTAAGACACTTAACTAGCTCTAGCTTAGTATTTAACTTTATAATCTCTTTATTAGTAGCCTTTTGTATTACTACTAACTTAGGTAACTAGTAGTAGGAAGGGCCTTTCTTGTTATATATAAAGTAGCCTTAGAATATAAACTTAGAGTATCCCTTTTATTAAGCATAAATATATAACTTTATATAGGCTTTATATACTTGTTACTATAGATAATAGCTACTATAGCAATAGCCTAAGACTACTAAGGTCTTGTTAGACTAGACAACCTTCTTCTAATCCTTAAGTAACTAGTAGTAATAAGCTAGACACTAAGAAAGCCTTTCTTGCTTTATCTAAGCTATTAAGCTAGGCTTCTTTATTAGTTTAGTTTTTCTAAAGCTAGCTTACTAAAGGATACAGTAGACTATTATTACTAAGAGATCTATGTCTAGCTTACTTTAGAGCTTGCTAGTAATATTAGTATATGTCTTTTCCCTGCTATATTAATTATAGTAAACCTTTTAGATAATAAGCTTAGCTACTATAGGTGTAGCCTTCTTTAGCTAGCTAGCTTAGGGGGCATTATTAATATATTTAGGTTATAAAGAGAAGGTAGAAGCAGTTAGATTAAAGCCTTACTTTTTTACTTAGTTAAGAATATTATTAACTATACGCTTAGATAACCCTAGGGCTTAAGTAACTTTATTAGCTAATTTACCTCTAATATAGCTCTAGAGGGCAAGAATAACTGCCTATAAAGAAGGGTTAATATGCACTATAAGTTGTAATAGTTAAAGAAGCAAAAAGGTGGTATTGTTGTTGTTATTGTTGTTATTATAGGCTACTTTGCTTTAGCCCCTGTAAAGAAGAAATTACAGTAGATTAATCCTGCCTTTCTGATTAGCTAGATATATATTAAGTGGGTCCATTAGCTAGATTTGGTCCTGGCATATCGGGCATGAACTTTTGACACGCACCTCCGTACAGGTACTTCATTTCCTTCATGTAACCCACCAACTGTCCAGATATCCACCATCAACGTGGCCCTTGCTTGTGTTGTCGAGTCCGACACCACTTCGAACCAAACAAAGCGTCTTGGATGCTACTTCGCCATTCCGTATCTCTCGCTCATCGCGGGTGGGCGCGTCTACGCTGACAGTTCGACCCCTCACCAACCCATCCCCATGCGCCTGTTTGCCCCCGCTAATCCGCGTCAAAGCCTCGACGACTGGCTGATGGTGGCTGGGCATTCGGCTACCACGCTTCCATTACCAAGTAAGCACCCCTCGCAAAATATAGCACGGCTGTCCGAGGAGCCGAGACCTCATGAATCCACCTGCGTGCTGACTGGCTCAATTAGCGGCCGCTGCTAATTCTGACGGGTGCCTCTTTATTTGGAGCACGCCGGCCCTCGGTCGTGAGATCGCATTAGGTCGCTATCCTTCGCCAAAGAGACGCGTATGACAGGATGAGCCCTGGCCGTCTATCTCGTCATCCGGTTTCTTTTTTTTTTCCCCGGCGGCCGTCGCGTTTTGCACACACTACTACTAAAATTCACCTTGAAACCGAGTCAGCTGCCCGCTGCTTGACAATGGTGCTTGACAGCTCCCCGATGCAATCGGCGGGTCTCCTCCACGCTACCGTCATCTGCTCGGCACGCCTCTCTCTCCCTGCATCCTGGGCGTTTCGTTTCCTGGCAACCTGATCACTGTTCGCCACGGGAACGGGCAGAGGCTGACAGGGCCTTTCGGTGCTCCACTGTGCGATGGAGTTGCAACTGCACTTTATTTCAGACTCACCTTCTCCTGACCTGAACTGTATTCGTATAGTCAACCTTCTCGCCGGTATATCTCTGCCCGGGTAGGTATTTGGTTAGTCTTCCACGCAACAGAGCTCAACATGCCAAGCCTGAAACTTCGCCCAGTTCAGTCGCGTCGTTTGGGGATCTGCAATACGACACCTACCGTTGGCACTCTGATGGTGATTGATGGCTTCGTTGAACCACAACGTAAAGGCTTCAGGGGCAAATCATGTTTGTCCAACTTTCATCCGTCCTGCTCTTTGCATGAAAGTCATCGGACAAACTCCCACAGTCCCTTGTGCACAACCAGAATCTCGGAACCACCTACACGACACGTTAAGCTTCGTATCTTGAGCTTGACCCTCTCTCTCCCTCAGGTTCAAACTCTATGTGGCATCATAATGACAGCTTTGCGGGGCCTCATTGTCGCTTCGAGATGGGGTTCAGGAAACGAAGACCCATGGGGGCCGCAATTCAAGCTTTCGTTCTATCCATCTATCGTGTTGGTGCTAATAACTAATCCCGGACAAGACCGAACCGCAATCAATGTTGCTAGGTTTTTCCTTGCAATCTAATCTACCCAGGCATGAACAAGAATCCCTTGAGCCGATCGCGAATATCGAAATTGGACGGGATATGCGTCTTGATGGCGTCTCAGACATTTTGCGCCACCCACACCTCGACTGATCAGGCGGAATTCGTCAGAGATGTAAAGTCAATTTTCCATGGCCGTGTCGCGTTGCGGGCGATGAAGAATTCGTTCCCCGCAGCTCCCAAGCCAAGGGAAACCCCTCCGTTTCAAGCGGCCACTAAATACTTAGCCCCGGGTTTCAAAGTGCGGCACCCCAGCCATGCTTTCTCCGAATCCCCTCATTCCTACCTGACAATCACCCCAAGGCTTCCCGCCCCGCAACGACCCAACAATCCAAACAAAAGGAGGATCATGTTTCTCGGGAGGGTGTTCGTCCAAACTTTTCTTCGATGTACGACGATCAAACCGACTGCCCATCCGTGATTAAACGGCCTTCACTAACTGACTACCTACACAACACGATGATGCGACTGTGTGATGGCCCCTGCAGCCAGCCCCTTTGGCTCTTGGGGTTGGGGTTCCTAGCTATCTCATAAACAAGCGAGAACGAAGACGAACGGCAGCGTGGGGGGGAGAAGCGAGCAGTCCTTGGTCGAAAATTTTGGCGAGGATTTCCTCGCCGACCCAAAGGAATGGCACTCGGCCGTCTGATCGACGCCAAGCATTCGACTCAGGCTGTCAAAAGCACGTCCTCTCTCGCCTTCTCGTTTGGAACTTTAGAGCACCCAACTGTCTGTCGCAATTGAAAGTACAACGCGCAACCAAGCTGCGTGCCTCAATCCTGCATTCGTTTTGGCCTCTCTTCTGGAACTGCAAGACGCACGGATCATGCAGGCGTCAAGACTATTACCTCCAACGGGCACGCTACGTGCGGCGCAGGCACTCCTGCGAGGTGCCATAGACCACCACGGAACGCCAAGTCCGAACCAAGAGCAGACTTCCAGGTATCGGGCTGACAAACAGCTTCTTATCTGCGCCGTTCGGCCTTTGTCCGAGATCCCGCGGCCTGCGTCGGAGCCGTTCCCAGCCTGGTTCGCTTAGGGATGAGGGGTTCGCGCAGGAAAGCAACGATCACGCGGTCCCAAGCTCCCAATCATCCCCCTCCGCGGACTACGTTGGACCGCAACTTCCAGTTACACAGACGCCGTCCACTAACGCAAGCAGCTCGCAGAGGGTGGACTACTAAAGCACGACTAACTGCACATAATCAATTTTCTTCCATTCCCGGTCGACGCTCAATCGCCGCGGCAGAGTAGCGTGTGGCCCGCATGGCGTCCATTCGACCAATCAAACCCGCTGACATCCGGAAGAGGTGCGCTTAGGACGCATGCCAACGTTGGACTGCCTATTGCTGGTAGGTCTCATGGCAGCAGTTTCCCACCGACATTTGTCTTGTTGACACCCATGTCAGCCGCCATCTGACTTCGAGATGGCCCCCTTCCATTTGCGCTAGTTGCTTGCTCATCATGCTCGTCTGCTCCTTCGGCCGCTTGGCTGCTTGGGCCGCGAGGAGATGGAAGCGGCGTGAAGTGCGCTTGTCGGCAGCCAGGCGTGTTGGTGCCATTGCTTGTTGGCGCTAGAGGCGCGGATGTTGGATGGGCTTGCAGATGACCAACAAACTGTTGGAGGAACAAGTTGGTCGCGGCTGTACGAATGCCTTGTCGACTGCTTGCTCAGCCCTCACATGATGGATGCCGACTGCGCTGGCACCGCCTAGGCAACCTGGCCGTGGTCGAGGAGACCCAAAGACGGCGCAGCACGCAGACGTCCGAATCGAGATGGGCTATGAGAAGCTCCCGTGGCGCGCAAGTAAGTGTGGCAAGGCCCGTGGGGGCGGGCCTGACTACTGCTTTAGAATCACCAACCGAGCTTTTTTGAGTAATGAGTTGCAAACCGCCGATGGCTGCCCTTTCCATGGGGTGGGGGGGCAGATGACCATGAAAGGAATCAGAGCGAGAGCAAGAGGTGCTTTCCGAACTCTACCCATCACGCTTCGGCAGCCTACCTGCGACATGTCCCTTCGCATGCCGTTTTGTCTTGTGGCCTTATAGTTCGTCGCTTGCTGGATGTGCATACAGCCGATCTCCTTCCCGTCACAATTAGCTCGACAGGTCTGCAGCATTCTGAGCGCCGTTCTCGAGTATCACTCTTGGCCACTGGAGTGACAACACCACTTTCCCACGTCTGGCCGCAATCCTTTACTATCGCGGTGAAGGGTGTACCGGGAACGATGCATAAGAGAGTACAATACTCCCTGGCAGGTAGGCCGGCAAGATCCACAGCTTCGACGCTCGTTGATGCAGTCCACTCACTGCCTATCTGCCTCGGTAGTCGGTCTCTGGGTCTGGATCGAAGGTTGATATTCATGACCTTCCCCCACTACTTGTTTGAGTTATTGTTATTGGTACGGGGTGAATTGGTAAGGCCCTCGGCTCTTCCAAGTGTGTAACCGAGTTACCCGTCATTGCGGCACAAGCTGGTATACCACCAGTTCAGACGTTTATGGAAAGTTTATCGGGTCAGCAATGGGCTCAAAGAGTCAAGTGATGTTCTTCGCATACTCCGGCACAAGCTAGCTTGGTATAACCGAAGGCTGCAGAAGGCCTATACTATATGTACTTGGAATTCGGACCGCCACACCGTTAGTGTTGGGTGCCCAGTTTATCCGTCCTTAGACCAGCGTCAAGCACTTCCAAGTATAGCAACGATGGCTAAAGATAGAGTCGAAGGTCAAAGGTGTGTTGTTCGGTTCTACCATTGTTCATTTGATCGCTACAGCTACACCCCCAGACCACCCCATCCCGTGTTGGCTCTCGGGAAGTGCACAAGACCAACGACCAGAGACTGTGTGACTAGACGACATTCTTCGCTGGTCGAAACATGTATCTGAACGTGTATCTTCCCCAACCTCGATTTCCGCCCTTGCCACCAGGTGCCCATTCGTCCAAATCATAGTCGCTCCTCCCGACCTCCTCGAACCCGGCCTTGACGTACAGGCTGTGGCTCGTGGGCGAGGCATGTATCCAACACGGAAAACCCTGCGAGTCGACCTTCTCGAGCCCGTGCCGGACCAGCTTGGTCGCGACCCCTTGCCGCTGGTAGCGCGGGTCCGTCGCCAGAGCCTGCAACACCACGTACCTTTTCCCGCCGAGGTGCTTGCCCTCCCACGAAGTCATGTCCCTGAACATCAGCCCGCCCAGCGCCCGTGCGGGGTCTTGCTCCTTCTGCGCCTCGGGGGGAGGGCCGCGTTCGGCATGCCCTGCCTCGGCGCGGCCTGCCCCTGCGTCCGCCACCGGATCCCGGATAGGCGCGGGCTCCTCTTCGTACCCGGTCTTGACGATCCAGCACGACCAGCCGACCAGCCGCCCGTCCTCGTCCAGAGCCCTGGTGAGCTTGGCGGCGGGGTCCGAAATCCATCGTCTGATCGACCTGCCCATGACCTCGTGGTGGGCGTCCTCGTCCCGATTGAGGAGCATCAGGTTCGAGAACTGGTCGGTCTTGAAGGCCGCCGTGTGGACCCTCAAGAGAGCCGGCACGTCTTCGGCTTGAACGGGGGAGAGCGAGACCAGCGCGGGTTTACTATCAGCAACGCGTTTGTCCATTATGATTGTGGACCACGGAAGAGACGAGGCGGGGTGGGGGGTTCGATGCTGTTACGTGAGGGTACCAAGGAAAGAGGACGACGGTTCGGTACTAAAGAGAGAGGAAAGCCATCAGGGTTTTGATTTGTTGTTATGATTCAACCCCGCCTAATCGCAGACTATGATGCATTCAGATGTTAGACTGACATGATAACAAAGCGGGGTAGTGTCGATATGCGGCAACACGACATTAGCTCTTTGAGATCATGCGGAGTTCGACGTCTTGTGGAAATCATCCCGGTTCGCTTATATGGGGGCAAGTCGCTCCCATAAACATTGTCGAGGTACCGGCCGGCGCCCGCTGGCCCAAAAGTCGAGTTCATGGGCATTACACACGGGGTTTTTACTCGCTCAGAGCACAAGCGAAAGTGTCTTGACGCGAGCATTGGAATGATCGAGTCCCGTTGCGTTCACTCGCAACCGTGTAGCAACGAAGACAATCGTCTTTGAGTAAGCATCGCGGTGTTATACTAGGCAGACGCGATCCTACCGCACCAGGAGTGTGGGCTTATTGGTTAGGATGGTGGAGACATCTGACGGCAGGCCTCCAAACGTCCTGATCAACCAGAGCCGCTCCAGCTTCGCCTTCTTACAGACGAGTGAGTCACTTGGCTATTGTGACCTTTCAACCATCTCTGCCTTGTAAACTCAAGTGTGTTGTTTTCGTGTGTACGTTGAACGAGAATCGCGGCCTAGTCGCCGCTAAACAACTATGGCGTCCCCGAGTACAAACGAAGCCATCGCGGCAGGCGAGTCGCAGAAGCCTCAAGCGTCAGAAAACAGGGATTTGCTTGACCTCTATCAACGGCGAGGCGCCAGGACCCTGGCAATGATGGATGCATCTCGCAGCGAGAAGAAGCACGATGTCGATGGCCTTTCCGACAAGGACCTTGAGCGAATTACCATCTCCCTCAAGGACGAAGAGGAAGACGACAATGACCCACAGGAAAAGAAGTCTGTTGGTGAGACATCCCGCAGCTTCAGGCACTACACGTTTGTGAAACGATGGGAGCCGCTGAGCTCGCCAGACGAGAGCTGGGGGCCAACAAGGTCGTCGGATGCGACCTTGGACGTGGCGTGGTTCATCGCGTCGCCAGAGGTCCTGCCCGAGGATGACCCGGCGTATCTCTGCGACATGTGTCGGCACATCGACTTCAAGTTGCTGCTGTCCCAGCGCGGGCTCCCCTCGGGCGCCGTGCGGATCACTGTTCACGGCTTGTGGAGAGTGATGCAAGAAGAGAACAGTTGCTCCTTTTGCAGGATGCTGCGGCAGAAGATCACCGGCGACGGCCTTGTCTCCGGCATGACAGCAGAAGAGATCTCTGAAGGAGGCTTCTACCTCAACGTGGTCGACGAGGGCCCCGAACGTGCGCTGAGACTGGAGGTGGAACTCGAGGACCGAGCGGCGCAGAGGCCGGAGAGGTTTCTAGTGCACAAGATTGAGGAACTGTCGCGACAGCCTCTAGCTGGCCGAATCGTGCGGCAAGACCACGCTGACATGGGCCGCTTGAGGAACTGGCTTGGTATTTGCGAGGAGACGCATCAGGTTTCCAGTCAGGGAGCCGATCCCGACCTTACTTCGCTGCGAGTCATCGATACCGAGGAACTTTGCATCAAGGAGGTGGAGATGCCCTTCCGCTATAGCTGCCTCTCTTACGTATGGGGGAAGGGGAGTCAGACACAGTACACCACCGCGACAAAGGAGGCGTTAGAAGCACCGGAGGGATTGGCGGACAACTCCCTCGGCTTGCCCCAGACAATCAAAGATGCCATCAAAGTCACCCAGGAAGCCGGCTTGCGCTACTTGTGGGTCGATGCTCTCTGCATCCTTCAAGACGATGCTGCAGATAAGGCTAAACTCATATCAAAGATGGGGCTTATTTACGGCGGCGCGACGTTGACTATTGTTGCCTCTACGAACGCCGATCCCCAAGAAGGCCTCCCAGGAATGGGCACTGCCCCGCGTCCTACCGCCCAGACAACCGCAGAGATACAAGGCATGGCTCTAGCTGTTGCGCTGCATGACCCCCGGAGACCGGTACCGGACATCGAGGATTCCGTCTGGAGCTCGCGCGCGTGGACGTTCCAGGAGCGGGCTCTCTCACGGCGATCCGTCCACTTCACGCGCTCGCAGATGGTCTTCAAGTGCGTCCACGGCCCGGAGATGTTCGAAGAGTCCATGCCGGTCGCCGACCCGGCTTTCCGATACTCGACGACAGAAGACCGGATGAAGGAAAACCTGATGCCTCGCATCTGGAGCGATCCCTCGTTGGGACGGTTTGCGAACCGAGGCATCGCCATGGACCACGGGTTCGGCGATGCAATCATGTCGTCCGATGACATAGACTTGGAGAACTTCCGGCCCGACATGCTGAAGAAGAAGGCATCCGTCTTCAAGGTCACGGTGGACGCGGCCCGGGATTTCATGAGCTCCCTCGGCGAGGCCCAGGCATCGACGCCTTGGGATCTGTACCGCCTCGCCGTGGACGATTACACGAAACGGAAGCTGAGCTGGGAGTCGGACGCCGTCGACGCCTTTGGCGGCGTAGAGCATATCGTCAGGCAGGGCACGAACGCCAAGTTCTGGTACGGACTGCCCTCCTTCGCGTTCGAGCGATCCCTCATGTGGAATCCCGGAGAGGTCCTCGAAAGGCGTTCTCTGAACGGCAAATCCCTTTTCCCAAGCTGGTCGTGGGCCGCCTGGCGGGGCCATGTGTCCTATCGCGGAAGAGGTTGGAAGAACTCGATATGCTGGGAGCCTTTGCCTGTGATACGCTGGATGGTCAGGGTCGAACCCAAATGGATCATCGAGAACTTCAAGGAGTCGGGGGAGAGGACGGAAGAGGAGGTCGAGGAATACTCCAAGAGGGTGGCCCAGTCCAAAGTGCTGTTGCGAGAGCTCAACCCCTTTTCGCTTTACCATATGGACGACATGGAGGATGACGGCTGGGCTGTGGAACATGACGAAGGGCGTAACCGACATGTCTATTCCCACCCCGCTTACCAGAACGCAAGGTTCACATACCCGGCCAGTCTGCCGGGCCAGACTGTCGACGATCGCCCAGACGGGGCCGGCATGCTGTATTTCATGGCGCACGCTGTGCCGGTCGTGGCCTGCGACATGGCACAAGAACCCTTCAAGATGGAAATCGAGGACCGTCACCTGCAGATCGGTTACAACGACGAGGACCGCTCGGCAAACTACCGTCCGCCCTGGCAACGGATCGTCTACCACCAAGGCTACCGCGCCGGGTTCCTCAGCCTGAACGCCCCGTACGACCCGTCGGACGGCGCCGAGCACCACCTGGCCGCCATCACGCGCGGCAGCCTCCCACACGTGCCGCCGCCGGCGCCCGGCTGGGACGCCTACTGGGGCGCGCACCCCCATCAGATCCAGCACCAGCTTTTCAACCAGGAGTGGGTTTCGGGCCCGGGCAGAGCGAGCGTCCCCAACGAGACGGCGGAGCCGCGGACGGCGCCGCCGGACAACGAGAACGGAGACCCGCACTGGGACGAGGGACGGTTCAACGGGGTGGGCGTCATCGACGTGTACGACGTGCTGCTTCTGAGGGACCGGGACGGCGTTTCGGAGAGAATCGGGGGAGGGAAGGTCAATTACTGTGCTTTTTGGGCGGCTCGTCCGGAGGAGATGGTGGTTACACTTGCTTAGCTTTCGCTTTTCTCCATCACCCGACCGACTCTAGCGAACCGATTTTACGGCTATTCTCCTTGAGGTATCCATCGCCAGGTCGGCTTGAGTAGGAGAAAAAAAGGCATAGTTGCCATCGTTAGGTCTCCTATGGATGCCCCCCTCTCCCCGAGGTAGTATCAACTCTCCTAGGTTACCAACTAGGCACGTTGTGATCTGAATGGGTAAGGCGTGATAACAAGGGGGGCCACCCCCCCTCCCAAGGAAAAAGCGTGCAGGCACTGTATGGAAGAAAACATCATTTGCGATTGCCTACGACTAGTATGGTTCCCAAAGGCAGCAGTCAAGAAGTCGAGTCCAGGCGGCGGAGGGTCCGGAACTCGACTCTTGCCTCCATGGTCATGCAGCCTCTCTGGCCTCATCATTTCTGTTTCTGCGAGCTCCGCAGACTCGACCGAGGGGGAAAAGCTCTATATAGGCCTCCTCTGCCGTTCTTCCTTCGAACCGCGTAACCGTCTCCTCGGTTTCCCCTTCGAGCATCATCCACAAGCTCCTCCGACTGAAACCTTCGTATAAGATGTCATGTTATAGGATGTCGTAATTGTACGGTACGCATTTATACTCGGCGAAGCCCATCTCGTTTTTGAAGATCCGTATGGCATGACGCCAGGTGTACCGGACCGATTTCTTGCCCCCCCCCTCGTAAACAGCGCCCGACGGCCCTTCCAAATCACTCCTCCTTCCGGACCTTCTCGTCGTGCGCCGCGCGCCTCCTCCTCTCCGACGGCGCCGTCGCCAGCTTCCGCCCGAGCCACTCGGGCGCGCGTTCGAGGAACGCCCGCTGCGCGGCGTGCCGGAACCAGGGCGTCACCTCCAGCACCCCCCTCCGCGCCGCGCGGCCCGCCATTCCCACCGCCGCCTTGGCGAACGCCCGCGCGTCGGGCACGCCGCGCGGCCCGACCGACCCCGGGTTCGCCCGCGTGCCGCCGCTCACCTCCCCGGCCGCGACGCACAGCACGTCCACGGCCGCGCCGTCGGCCTTCATCTCCCGCGCGAGCGCCCGGCTGAAGGACGCGACGAAGGCCTTGGTGGCCGAGCAGACGGCCGAGCCCGGCTCGCTCCCCGCCGCCGCCGCCGTCGTCGTCGAGGAGGAGCCGACGTTGAGCACGAGCGAGGGCCCGTTCCGCGCGAGGGCCGGCGCCATCAGCCGCGTCAGGCGCGCCATGAACCGCGCGTTCAGGTCGATGGTCGCGTCGACCTCGTCGACGCTCATCTCCCGCAGCAGCGGCCACCCCTGCTGCTGCTGCTGCGCCGGCACGCCGCCCGCGTTGTTGACCAGCACCGTGACGTCGAGGTCCGCGAGGCCGTCGACGGCGGCCTGCAGCTGCCGCGCCGAGCTGGCGACGGGGTCGAGGACGACGAGGCGCACGGCGACGTCGCCCTTGAGGCGGCGCAGGCGGCACTCGGACTCGACGAGGGCGCGCGCGTCCTCGAGCTCGTCCACGTCGTGGCCGCACAGGACGACGTTGAAGCCGCGCAGGGCGAGCTCCTGCGCGCAGCCCAGGCCGACGCCCGCCGAGCCGCCGGTGACGAGGGCCCAGGACTCGAAGGGGCCGTTCTTCTGGTACCGCGTCAGCGGCACCGCGGGGAGGATCCGCAGCGCGAGGGCATCGTAGAGGCGGTAGGCCGAGTAGAGAACCCAGACGAGGCCGATGGTCTTGAGCGCCTGATCGAGCATTGTTGGATGTTTTCCGTTGATTGGCGGGGGGGGGGGGGGGGGAGTGCAGGACGGACGACGGGTTGAGGCTCCAAGTGTGGACGTCGAACCTGTTTCAGTGGCGGGGCGCGCGCAACGAAAACTAAGTCGGTGATTAGAAAAGGGGGGGGGGGGACGTGCTGGGTGTCTGTCGAGCAGAACAAGTCCCACCCTTTGTGGACGCGGGCCAGGGAACCCAAAAGCAAGCAAGCAAGCAGCTTTTGACGCTATTGTGGACGGACAGGATGTCTCGTAAAGAGATGGGCGCCTACGATTATAACTACAACTGCATACCTTGCTAAAGGGAAGAGAGCTACGTCACACAGACTTGGCCTGTTTTAATCTTCGGGGTAAACAGCATAAAGTTCTCCATGGCCTTCAACGCGGACGCTGATGAGATGCCGCGACCTGTCGAGAATTGACACCATATATCCCCTTTACTATGGGCGCACCTGACTCACCGTAGCCTCATCTCAACTCTAACTCACGATTGAGTTGAGAGGTCAATCTCTTGCGTCGCTCCCAGACTTACTGACGCACCATCTGCTGCTCACTTTACCATGTGGGTATGCTGCGAGGTCGCGCCCCAAGCAGCGGAGCGGCGTCAAGAAGATCTGTATCTCGCATGTCCAGCATCTCCATCACCTGGGCCGGCTTCTGAGCATCGTGACTGGCCCGTCGGTCCTGTCCGGGGGGTTAAGTCGATGATACAAGGGTTTGGACGTGGATCCCGTCTCGGGGTGGGTCGGGTTCATCGCTGAGCGCCCCTGTTTCAAGTCAACCGAACCCGGTATCCGTAGTCTCTTCATAATGCCACTTACCTCGCGGCCGGAGAACAGCTGGCCTGTTGGCAGGCTGCGAAGATGGTTGCAGAAGTCAGTCATTGGTTTTTGGCTTGTGTGCTGCAGAGCAGCAATCGCAATCCTATTTCAAGGCTTGGCCCGAGGGGAAGAAAAAAGAAGACTACCATCTAGCAGCTGTGGATGACTCGTGATCCTGCCGCTTTTCTAAACAAGGGTCCCCAATGAACCTGAACCAGAATCATCTATGCCCAAGAATATACCAACCAAAGGGAAAGAAAAAAAAAAAGGAAAGAAAAAAGTATAACATGAACAGTTAAGAATAGAGCCGAGGGCCGATGTGCAATAAATCAAACATTGCACCTCAATGGCGATGGCCATTGCCTTCCCTCCTGACGTCCGCTGTGACGGTTCGGGGTCCGTCGCGATCATGCTGTTACGATCCAATGCCAGAAAACACCGCCAGCCTCTGATGTAATGATGCCATTGCCCGTGTTGAATACAAGAAAACAAAACCAGATGTAATCGCCGGTCCCCCCCCCCAAACGCCATTGATGTTTGCCAACACCACGTATGCAATTCGATCTCGCTCAACGCACACGTTCATCGGTGTCGCTATCCTCGCCACTGTCTGTGAGGTCGACTGCCTTGCCCGCCTCGATTTCAGTCATCTCGCGCCAGGTGCTCCAGCTCAGCATGCCAAAGGCGAGCATGATCATGAGACCGCCGATGAGAGCCGCAGCGCTGAGGGGTTCGCCGGTGCGGAACCAGTCCGTGACGGCGACGATGAAGATGGTGAGCAGACTGGCCACGCTGGACAACACAGGACTCGTCAAGCTGATGAGAACCAGGAAGCTGCCGGCAAAAGTGGCGTTCATGACGACGCTGAACAAGAGCATCAAGGCGGTGTAGCCGGTCGGCAGGGCGAACAACTCGATTCCGGTCCAGTGCAAGATGGGCAGCGGGATCCAAAGCACAGTGAGGGTGAAGGCGCCGATGCAGGAACCAAAGGTGTTTGCGAAGACCATGCCGCGGCCTGGCGAGCAGCCGTCGGGCGGGCAAGCATAGCGCTTGTAGAGGACTTCGTACAGACCGTAGAGAACGGAGCCGACGCCAATGGTCAGATTGCCGGTCAGCCGCTCGCCGGCAGCTTGCCTGTGAGCGGCATCGTCGTCGGTAGGGCTGCTGTCACCGTATGCGACAATGAGGACGCCAGCAATGGCGACGAGGACAGCGAGGGACTTGTCCATGCGCAGGGGCTCCTTGAGCAAGGGAACGGAAAAGACGTAGGCGAAGAAGGCCGAGCAGTTGTAGATGGCTGTCAGATCGGACGGAGTCGTCATGTTGACGGCGACGTACCAGCTCAGGCCGGCAACCGTCAGGGCGCAGGTGATGAAGGCGGTGGTGCGGACGAGATAGAACCACGGCGAGGAGCGAGGGTGGGCGGGGTGACGCGACAGGTCGAGGTCCTGCTTCTGGACCATGACGGCGGTGGTGTGCACCAGCTCACGATGGCGGCGCCAGAACGAGGGCCAGGAGGTTTTGCGCTTGTTAATGCGCAAGATGAGTAGCTGGATTGGCCAGAGTATGACCCAGGAGCCATGGGTCAAGTAGAGCATGCAGTACGCCTTGTCCCAGTGCAGCTCCTGCTGGATGTATGCAGACAGCTCGGTCTGGATGACGAAGGAGATGAGGCTCAGGACGAGGAAGAAGGCGGCGTACATATACTTCCTCCTCGCGTTGGCCTTGACCGTGGAGGGAGAGTGGTTTCGCATGGTGGAACTTCGAGAGAAGGTCGGTCGGTTCGGGGTCAGCAAGGGGCTGGCTCCTCGGGAACGAGTTGAATAACTCCTGCCGCGGTGGTCGTCATCGCCATCGCGGACCTTGGGGTTGAGTAGAGGCTGGCCGGCGCGAGAGTGAGCGTTTCGGAGGAGGGGTGGCCGGTTGTCCATATCGTCGTTGTCTTCGTAGTCGTCGTCGTAGTCGTAGTCGGCGTCTTTGTCGTGCTCGAAGTAGTGGTCGTTGCCGCTACGCAATGCATCAAACTCGGCCAGGCGCGCGTCGAGTCCGGGGGTGCGTGCAGGACTACTGGCTCCACTACCGATGTAGTCTGAGATGTTGGAATCGCATGTAGTGGCGGTCAGAGGAGGGTTCTGGAACTGCTCGAGTCGGCGCAGATGGGGGAGGTTGAGGCTTCCGTCCGGCCCTGAGATGAGTCTGGGAGGCATAAGAAGGGATGTGCCAAAGGAGCGTCAGAAGGGAGAGGGACAAGGGAGGGTGGGAGAAAAGATAACGGCGGAAGATAAGAAAGAGGCGCAGAGAGGAAAAGGGACTAGGCAAGAAGGAGTGACTTGGAATCGGAAACCCAATTGCTACGAGAGATGCGCTGCAAGGAGAGTCGAGTAGGAAAAGGGAAAGGAAGGGAATAGGATGCGAGTCGCTTTGCTGCAGGAGATGCTTTGGTGTCACTTTTTGGGGGGAGTGGAACTATAGCACATGCACACTACTGAGTAGGTACCTTACTAAACAGGCACATGCCTGAATATCTAGGTGGGTTCTACTACCTGCAGATAGGTAGATACCTGCCCAAGTGCCTAAGTAGTCTACCTGACGTAGACTTGCATGCAGACAGGGACGCTGGACGTGGCCTCGGGACTCGAAAGATGCGAATTCCCAGTGGGGAAAAAAAGAGCCCGCCCCGGAATGCGCTGGACACTACTAAGAGTCCGCCTTGAGCACCGAGTATAAAAAAAAAAGTATCCGATGTGTACATGTTGGCGTCCGTGTCCGCGATGAGGGACTTGCACGAGACAAACAAGCAAACCCCCCGTTCAGCCCTTGTTGCCTGTTCATCTCAGGGAAGGGTTTAAACGCCTTCGGACGGATGGATAGGCCATGCCATGCCCCATCCTCTACGCCGAGACATCACTTGCTGCCTCACTTGGAAGTTGGCACAGACTGGAGGCATGGGCGGTTTTCGCGGAAGGGTCTTCCCCCCATCTTTTTCATCTATTTCCGTCTTTTCCCCTCACTCTCCGATATCCAGTGAGGCACACGCAACGCCGTCTCAACGTTCTGTACCACACACCTACCTCACATATCTGTACACTCTGTATACGCTACTTGGACGAACACGCGCATACACTAATACAGCCCTTCCCACTCTAACCTCACCCAAGTACCATGGTGTACTTCCAGTAAGCAATCATTCGTCCTGTGTATGTGCGTGTGTATGTGTGTGTGTGTGTGTGTGTGTGCGTCTGTCCCTACCGCACTGACCAGAACTAAGCCTGCCAGGTCCATCCTTGAGATGCCAGACCGCAAGAGCACCAGCCAGCACCTGTCCCGACTGTGTTACGGATATAGTATAGTAGTATCACGGCACCGCGCCGATTACTAAGGTAGATACCGGATCTGTCACAAGTTGCGCTCATGAGCGACGCGACAAGCCCAGTCAGTCACCTGCGGCTGCATCTGATAAAAACCTTCACGCTGTGAAGCCGGTCGCCAGTCCGCCCATGTCTTAGACTACCGGTAGTGCGCCCGGTTATCCCTGTAGACCGCTGCCGTGGTAGAGCAGAGGGCCTCAAAAAGTACCACCTCGACCCCCATTCTACGCCATCACGCATGCAGTCGCATGACTGGCATCGACCCGCTGCCACACACTCTCATTGGCACACACTCACACTCGCGCTCACATACACTCACACGCTCTCTCACACTCTCTCAGTCACGTCACACACACATCTCGCGCCGCGCATCGCAGTAAGGACTGACTGCAAAGTAGTTAGGTGCCCTTCGCGTGCGCCAATTTTGACATGTGATAGGTCCATTTATTCGTCCACAACTGCAACATCGCCCTTGCCGGCTGTCTGTCTGTCTGTCTGTCTGTCTGTCTGTCTGTCATTGCCTGCCCTGCCTATCTACGGTTATTCGCACTCCACTTCATCATCCATCACTTGGCCCCTGCCCCGAACAGCGCATCCCGGGTATCGTACTTGTACTCGAGATCCAGGTGCCAGTAGTTGGCCGTGTCCGCCTTGGAGATGGCCCACGCCTGGTCGAGCGCCTGGATAACCTCGTCGGGGAGCGGGCCCTTTTCGAGGTGGTCGAGGTTGTTCTCGAGCTGCTGCACGCTCGAGATGCCAATGATAATTCCGTCGTTGCCATCCTTGATCTTGAGCGCCGAGTGGTGCACCGTCCATCGCAGCGCCGTCTCGATCATGCTGAGCCCGTTCTTCTCTACCGCCGCCTCGATGGTTTCCAGCGCTCTGAACGTGCTCTCGCGGAAGTAGCGCCCCCGGTAATTACCCCCCGTGCCGTTGTGGTCCGAGAACCGGCCCTCGGTCGGCACCATGTCCTTGGACTTGATCTTGCCCGAGAACAGCCCGCCCGCGATCGGGTTGTAAACAACAAGGTCCAGTCCGTAACGTCGCAGCGCCGGGATCAGCTCGGACTCGAGGCTGCGGGTAATGACGTTGTACATGCCCTGGTACACCGTCGGCCGAACCCATCCGTTGTACTTGCACGTCAAGACCACCTCGGCCACCTCAAATGCAGTGAAGTTGCTCAGGCCAAGCTTGACGAACTTGCCTTGCTTGTGGAGCTTGTCCAGAGCCTCGAGGGTCTCGGCAAACGGCGTGGCACGGTCCTGCAAGCCAGTGTTAGTCGGCCCATGTCGGCCTTGGTCACGACGGATGAGGTCAACTCATACCGGAGCATGAAGGTAGAGAATCTAGGTGATTTCATTAGCTCGTCTCTTCGCAGATAACGGCGCGGCACAATATCGGCTCACATCGACGCAGTCAGTACCCAGCTCCTTCAAGCTCGTCTCCACCGACTCGAAAACCTTGGCCGCGGCATGGTCGCCAGCCTGTCCGGGATATTGGACCTTGGTGGCCAGCGTCAACCCTCTCTCCTTCCACTTAGCCTCACGGGTGAAGGCTTCCTGCTGCCCACCGACGTAGACACGGGCAGTGTCGACCTCGTTGTAGCCACGGCTCTGGAAAACGTCGAGAGCCTTGTTGAAGGTCTCCAGGTCGGTGATTCGGGCGCCGTCAGACTCCTTGGGTCCGAAGGTCATAAGACCCAGGATAACGCGGTCCTTGGGGGTTGAGGCGACGAGAGGCATGATGATTGCTGGGGACCCTTGAGTAAGATGGACAATGCGGATACAAAAGCGGGGAGTCTAAGGATCGGGGAGTTGCCTACCAGACAAAGACACAGCTGTTCCTTCTGAGATTCTCAAAGGGGATATATATTGGACGTTGTTTATGTATGAGGCCTTTTGCTCCGGTGTCGATGTGATCGGAGTTACAAGCGTCTTGTGTCCGAAAGCGATGTCGTGATGAGATAGACTTCCAGGGGGACGTGCTCGTAGTGGGGGATGAAACCCCACCATCTTTGCGGGGCAAAGACACATGCGACAACGCAAGACGTCACCGAGATAGGGGGGTTACTGATGAATAAGAGCTTCCTATTCTGAACTGGAGGCTGCTAATGGTCTCCCTTCCTTCCCGAATGGGTTGGATTGGAATTGAGTAAGTTACAAGCTGGAGCGTTGGCAACCGCCCTATTGTCAAAGAGTGACGTCTTGCTTTATCGGGATCAACATTAACTCCTAAACCCTAGCTCCTGTATGCGCCATTCTGTTGTCAAGGCGACTTAGTGCAAGACCGTCTTGTGCAACTATCCATGGAACAAAGATGACTCTGAATGGCTTGTGTATACAGATGGCTTGACAAACATTTTATATGCACGTCTATACTGGACGTGTCCTGTTTTTTGAATACCTACCTAGGGATACTTGCATCGACGTATCCGTACTGGGTGCTTACTCTCGCAAGACCCGGTAATGGAACGGGAACATGATACGGAATCATACAGACCCTTGACGGATAGAAAGCTTGGACGTCCTGATTAAAGACTAGACGGCACGTGACCTGCCATCAGGAGCAAGGTGTCCCACTGTCTGGTAATGACGCTCGGGCCACCTTTTCTTTCGCGCTGCTTAAGTGCCTGCCCTGCGCGCGTAAGGTAATCTAAGAAGGCGCGTCTCGCGTCACCGACGTGCCACTTCCATCACCCGAAGTGCATCCACTCAATCTGGTGAAATCTTCCGTGAAGCCGATCCTCAGCTACAAGCCTCACCGAACGACCCTCTCTCGCCCAACAACGTGCCTTACGCCACACAAAAAAGACGAAAACTCCGAGTGACCTCCTGCAATCGACCACCATCTCGTCGATTCTCCTTGCCGCCGACCGAAACGACCTGTCCCCAAATTGTCTCTTGACCAGTTTGCGACAAGTCGGCAGGGCCTGTCCCTTGCTCCAGGCTGATGACGATGGTCAAGGGCAATGCGCAGCCCGGCATCTACAGTGCCACCTACAGTGGTGTAAGTCCATGTCTCTTGGATTGTAAAGATATCTATTGTCCGGGCCTCGTGGGGTTCTCATCCTGTCACCCCGAGCCGCCTGGCCAGGCTGGGCGCTTAAAATGCTTCCCCATGGAAGGGGATGGCTTCAATGTCAACGTCGAAATCAAGCATGCCCAGTGACATATTGGCCCGCTCTGTTCCAATTGGCACCGTATATGCTAACTCGTCGTACGACTAGATCCCCGTTTACGAGTTCCAATTCGGAGATGACCTCAAGGAACATGTCATGCGACGGCGGCAAGATGATTGGATCAACGCTACACACATTCTAAAGGCCGCTGGCTTTGATAAGCCAGCACGAACACGCATTCTCGAGCGCGAGGTACAGAAGGAGAAGCACGAGAAGATCCAGGGCGGATACGGAAAGTACCAGGGCACATGGATCCCCCTCGACAAGGGCGTCGCACTCGCCCAGCGCAACAACATCTACGACCGTCTGCGGCCCATCTTCGAATACACCCCGGGCGATCAGAGCCCGCCGCCGGCCCCCCGGCACACAAGTAAACCAAAGGCACCAAAGAAACCCGCAGTGCCCAAATGGCCCGGTACGAACATCCAGCAACAGCACCAGCAGCAATTACCACCACAAGTCCACGCCCCTGCTAACTCGGCGCAAGCCGCACTCCCGCCGGCAGAAGAGTACGATGTCGGCGACTCGGTCATGAATGATGATGATACCCCAGACAACCTCACCGTTGCCTCGGCCTCGTACATGGGTGAGGACGACCGCTTCGACCTATCCCATCAGTCCACCGGCCACAGAAAGAGGAAGAGAGAAGAGGCGATCCAGGACCTAACGCAGCAGCAGCACTCCGTCTACGGAGACGAGCTCCTCGATTACTTCCTTCTCTCTAGAAATGAGAAGCCAGCATACCGCCCCGAGCCCCCGCCCAATTTCCAGCCCAACTGGATCATCGATTCCGAGGAACACACGGCGCTTCACTGGGCTTCGGCCATGGGTGATGTGGATGTCATCAAGCAGCTCCGTCGGTTCGGTGCCAGCTTGAGCGTGCAGAACGTGAGGGGAGAGACTCCTTTCATGCGTGCGGTGCATTTCACCAACTGCTACGAGAAGCAAACGTTTCCCCAGGTCATGAAGGAACTCTTCGACACCGTTGATGCCCGGGATGCTTCAGGCAGCACAGTCATCCACCACGCCGCGGTGATGAAGAACGGGAGGGTGGTCAGCCACTCGTGTTCGAGGTATTACCTCGACAACATCTTGAACAAGCTGCAAGAAACGCACGATCCCGCCTATGTCCAACAGCTCATTGATGCGCAAGACGAGCAAGGCAATACTGCCCTCCACCTCGCGGCGCAACGCAATGCAAGGAAATGCATCAGGGCACTCCTCGGCCGCCAAGCGTCAACCGATATCCCCAACAGCGAGGGCGTACGAGCGGAAGATCTCATCGCCCAGCTCAACGCCACAAAGAAAGAGCGCGGCCCCCAGCGTTCCTCGTCGCCCTTCGCGCCCGACTCCCAGCGCCACGTCTCCTTCCGCGACGCGATGCCAGAAAGAATGACGGCCAGCAAGAAGCTTGCCCTCTCGTCGTTCAGCTCGGAGGCGGCTAACACAGTGCACGCGCGCATCACGCCGCTCATCATGGAGAAGTTCCAAGACCTCGCAGGGAGCTACGACGAGGAGCTCCGCGAAAAAGATCAGGCAGAAAAAGAAGCCCGTCGCATCCTCTCCAACACGCAAGCCGAGCTCGCCGCTGTGCGACAGCAGATCGCCGAGCTCGAGGCGCAGCTCGAGCCGGACGACGGCGCGGCGCAGATCATGAGCGAAGCCAACCGCGCCAAGCACCAGGTCATGTCCCTCATCACCCACCAGAACCGTCTGCACGTGCAACAGGCCTTCGACCAAGAGATAAGCAAGCTGAACGGTGACGTCGACGAAGCCTCGTATGAGGACCGTCTGTCCCTGGCGAAGCAGCTGCAAGCCATGCTCTCGGAGCAGCGGCAGTCCGAGTCTGACTATGTCGAGGCGCTCAGCATGGTGGGCACGGGCGAAAACATTGACAAGTACCGCCGATTGCTGCGCAAGTGCCTGCCTCCTGCCGATGCCGAGAACCTGGACGAGAACCTGGATAACCTCATCGAGATGATGGAGGAGGATCGCGACCTGCCAGGCGATGGCTCAGGACTCGAACCCATGGACGTTGGAATGAGCGGCATCGGCATCGGCATCGGCATTGGCATTTAGTCCCAGTGGCACCGGCTGTTTGTTGGATTACCAGCAGGCGCCAAGGCAGGTGAACAGACACATCACTCGGCCGTATCCTGAGCAATCAGCGGTTGGATGTAAGATTTACGACGCGACTCTATGGAGCTCGCCTCGCCCGGTCCATGTGATGTTTTTACAAAGTGTCTTTTCCGCCTGATTCCAAAAAGGGGAGATATCTTCAATGCACAGGGGTTCGGGATTTTCTGTCGATTTCTATTCGGTGTTTTACGCTCAAGCAAGGGCAGGGCGGAGCAGGGCAGGGCAGGGCAGGCAAAGCAAAGTACGCTTTACGCTTTGGGTTTTCTTCTCTTCATTTCCAACTGGCGTTTTGAGGATTCACGGGAAAAGGGGAAAGTGTGGGATGGTTGTGCGGAAGCGGATCTGAGGCGAGCAGAAGAAGAGCACTTTGAAGAGGCCACCAAGCGCGCAAGTGTTTTTGTCTGACTAGACCTTGTGTAATTCTTGGCGGGGTTCGAAAGCGAGAGAGAGAGGGTAGGGGAGAGGAGATGGAGACCTGGAAAGACAAAGAGTGCCGCGTAATCGTAACGAAGTTTCTCACGCAGAGTCCGGACATGACAAACGGACCATCATCATGACAAACCCTCTGTCCGTTTCCCCGGTGATGCTGACTGATGGCGGGACGGGAAGGGTACCCGACACCGATCCCCGACGTGTCAGCCCGGCCGCTCGAATAGTGTGGGCAAGGAAGCTTGTCGTGACGGCTGGCGGGCTGACTCGGCGTACCAGCCAGCCATCACGACGCCTCATCCCCATTATCTTGATTTCAAAGTTCCGGGCCTAAAGGCGGGGGTGTAGGGTCTCGTGATCCACGGCGTCACGTCCACCTGGTGATACTTTTGGGGGGGGGGGGGGGGGATATTACCTCTTTTGGCAATGCGATGCCCGTCGGGCCCGGGCGACGAGATTAGTATGTGAGAAGGGCGTAAGAAAGGAGTCAGCTTAGCCGTCGACGCTCACCGCAATAAAAAACAGCGACGACTCGGTGTCGCGAGGGAGACCGACCGCCTGACGTTTTGTTCGTCGCCCCGAGGTTCCCGGGTTCATGCGCGCAACCGAGCCAGCACCATGTTTGCGTACTTTGCAACTACTGACGTCGTTTCGACCGCAACGATTCGGTACCGTTAGAGGCAATGTGCGAGGTTGGGTCACGACGGGATGCAGGGCTGACTCGACTCCGACGTCGTCGGAGCAGAGCCGCAGGATCCGAACATTGGTCATGGGCGGGGGAGGAAGGCGTTCATCCGAGGCCAAGACGCGGGCAGGAGTCGGACAAAGCGTGATGTTGTGACCAGTCTAGTCTTTCGCTGTAGAAAGGTATCCTTGGAGAGGAATCATGTCTGCCGTCGCCGCAGTCGCAATTTGCATGGCTTGGCATGATTCGTCAACCGGATGTGGTGTTCCGCGGGTGTGAAAGGGCCGTCAATTATCAAGTATCGGCTGCGCGCGCCAAGGCTGGAGGCACGTCGTATCTTGACCTGTAGCATTGAAGCACAAGGCTACGATGGTGATCAAGTATCGGGGCATTCTGAAAGCTACACCCGTGGGGATTATCATGATCTGATGATGGCCAAAGCGCGCCATGAGAGGTCTCACCGAATGAGTGGCGATGGCAGGCAGTGGGTGCATGGCTCTTCGACTCGTCGTCCCTCCTGACACGAGAATTGTCGCTAGTGCGCCCGACTTGGCAGCAGGACCCTTTAGCGGCTTTACGTGAAGATACTTTGCAGCGGGTACATCAACAGTTCGCATTCGGGTGAGCGAGGCGGTCAGCGGAAACTGCGGTGACATGGAAACGACAGGCCAAGGCTAGATGGCCAAGTTCTGAGGCGATTTCATAAAGCCTGGCCACCCTGGCTAACCCCCCCCTTTTCCCCCATCGAAGCAAACCGATGGTACATCCGCATGCTAGTCAGGCAAAGTATTCGAGAAGGGTCAGCCAATGGGATTCCAATGACCAGGGGGACGTCTAAGGGCTTGGCCGGGGGGAGTGCCTAGTGGATGAGGGCCGATTAACATGCTGACGCGAGGGTATGTCATGATCTTCGTAAGGCTGAAGTGCGCGAGGGTCCCGAATGACTTCGCATTCCTGGGGCCTTAGGGGGCTGGGATGTGTGCAAGGGGAGAGAGCAAGGGAGGCTGCCGGCGATGCAGCGTGAATGGCCGTGACAGCCGCGACCACGAGGGCCGATGTTAAATCGGTCCAGTCCGCTGACGCCAGATGAAAGATTGTACCTTTGCCGCTGGGGTTCGGACGTGACAAGCTTGGGTTTTGTGACACATCTCAATGGTGCATTGCAGATTTCATGCATGGTGAGGTGACGACGGTCGGCTGCATTTCGAGGTTGGAGCAAGACGACATCTGGATAAGCACTTGGCCGAATCCCCATGTTTTGGCCCGGACTAGGAACGGCACAGTACTTTTCCTGCCCCCCTTGTTCAGCGCACGGCAGGCAAATGCTGCAAGACGCATGGCCTTGGAAGCCCCGGTGGCTTGCTTGGCCAAGGGCGTGTGGTACAGATGTGTCTGTAATACGAGACGTTTGGTGGTGGCAACATCGAATTCTCACAAGAGTTTTTTATTATATTTTTCCCCCCTGGTCCCTAACCCTCGACGCCGTCTCGGTACCGCTTGCACCCTAGCGAAAGAGGCGATGGAGTGTCTACTCCGGGCGTTGCGAGATTGTGGACGGCGGCCAAGGAATGAGAGAACACGTGTAGGTCAATTTTTGTGTTCTTCGGGAACGATCGGCAGGCAGAACGGTTGGGTGAGACGTTAGCAGAAGAGGGGACGCTACACAAGGCCTGCACCAGTGCGCAGAATCTGTCAAGCTGCTCCCACCGGGCTGTCATAGCGGGCGTTGCTTGGGAATGACTTGCAGGCTTGCCGAGAGCTGTTCCTGCTCCTGAGAAGTCCAGGGTGACCGGGATGCGCGACCAAACAGGACCGGCGAATGAAGGATTCGTAAGGAGGCGAGAAAGGAACAGGATCTTTCCCTCGTAAACTCGTCAATGGAAATTGCCTTGGACAAGGGGCCCGGCAAGGCAAGCCAGGGCCAACGTTCATTAGAGGAAGGGCGATTGAGACATGGTCAGCGAAAGACTATGCACGTTTGCGTTGGTTGGCATCGAGAAGTCAAGTGGCAGCGTTTTGGTTGCACCCGGGCCTAGGGCCGGCTGCCTGAGGGGACAGGGACAGGGACAAGAACGGGAACTCATTGGGATAGGTACACGTCTTCGTCCATAGGGAAAACGGGACCCCACGGACGGCGATGCGGCCGCGTCGGCTCCGTGGCTCGGCGCCCCATTTCGGGAGGGGCATCTGCAATCTAAAGTCAGTCCGCGTGCTTCTAAGGGAGACACAAGAATAGACACGAGTGCGTCTCTCAGAGAGGTTGATTCGTTACCGTGGTGTCGGGGACGAGCTGAAAATGCGTTGGGAATGGATGGACTAGAAAAAGGGGGTCGCGGGGGCCGGATTGGTGGCTGTGTCGGCGAGGTGCGGCCGCAACGCTGCATCTCTGGCAAGTAAAGCGAGTGAGAGGCCGTTTGGCATCATCATGCATGCCATGGCGCTGAAGGGGGGCGGGAGGCGAAACCAAACAGCGAGGAAATGTCGAAAGGAGCTGTTGGATGTCTGGGCCAGGATATGATTGATGGTGGCCGCGGATGCAAGATGTACCCCCATCTCGAGGATATGAAGCTCGGAACGGGACCTTACAGGCGGGAGCAAGTGCGATGATCAGCAACAGCAGCAGCAGCAGCAGCGACTTGAGGTTCATTTGCGCGCATAAGGGACGGCTGGCATGGCGGCATGCAATGTCGTCTTTTGGCCATTAAGAGGGGGGTTTTCTAATCGTGCAGTAATGCAAGGCAGGCGCGACGGGGTTTCGTATGGGCACCATTTGTCATCAGCAGCGCCTGAATACAGGAAGGATGGATGTGGACGCGGCTTCTCCAGGATAATCACGATCCAACAGGACAGGACCAGCAACACATCAAGGATGACAGCGTGAAGTTGGTAGGAACGACCTGTCCCCGCGATGCGATGTGATGTGATGCTCTCACTGGAAAACGAAGAAAAAAGCCATCACACGGGCGGGGGATCGATCCCCTCTGCCTTACTTACGTAGGTACTTACCTACTTAGTATACGGAGGAGAGTGAGTGAGTGTATGATTCCGTACGCTCGGACATCACAGCCAGTCGCTTTCCGAGGCTACTCCCAAAGGGGAAGGCAGTCGCGCATGCCTATCTGGATAGGTACCTACCCAAAGATACCCAAAGTTGGTAGAGTGGTATACAGTATACACAATGTAGGAGCAGGTAATTGGACGACATGCCTTCCAATGTCTGACTTGCCAGCTTCCTGTTGCCTTCTACAGCATTGCCCCAAATTAGTCACTGTCGTGGACGGCAAGGGCCACCGGCGATGAGAATAACTCGGGCCAAGGCCACCAGATGACAGATGTGGGCGATGCATGAATCAAACTATGCATAGTTTGGACGACGTACTGGTGTTTTCTTTTTTTTCTTCTCCTTTTTTCTTTTTAATTACTAAATTCGTGCTCAGGAACCCTTGGGGAATGCACCTCTCGAAACATTGTTCCACCTTTGGTTGGATGGAAAGAGCGAATGGAAGGCTCTTGCCGCTTCAACGCCGGCTGAATGAAGGATGCTTTTCTGGCCAGACTAGGTATCACGCATCACGCATCGTCGTCGCTTTTCATGCCTTCGCATAAGCCACATCAGACAATTCAAAGTTCCAATCCGAATTCAGTGCACGCCATGTCTTCGAAGCCTTCAACCTAGGGACGGGCCCATCGTCTCTCTCTCTCTCTCTCTCTCTCTCTCTCTCTCTCTCTCTCTCTCTCTCTCTCTCTCTCTCTCTCCACACACACACACACACACACACCACAAAGCTTCCCGTAGCACACCACTTTCCTGTCAGGAATCTAGATCCAGATAGGCACGCTCCTCCTCCGCCTGATTCCGATTTCACGGCCACCGACACTGCCAAACATCGTACTGGCCTTTGGCCCTGTTAACCCAGTTGGGCGTGATGGATCTGGATCAGTAGTCACAGTCCAATCCTTCTTCGTCGTCGCCCAGGGGCGTACGTCTAGGCATCCTCCCTCCCGGTAGACAGTCACGCCCGGTCAACGCCACATCCATCCTGCTATGGTGCACGGAGCTACCACCGGCATGGTGCGAACGCTTCCTCGGATTCTTACACCCACTCATCTTCGCAGCTGACGAAGCTCGACTTCCCACCCATCCCGGCACCTCACCGTCTATTCAAGAATTCTACATCGGCATGATTATACCATCATCTCACCCTGGTTGGTTTGCCATTGCTCACCTCGCAGTCGCACCATCCCATCCATCATCGTCGCCATTACCACCGTGTATTGCTCACTTGCTAGCTTCCGGCAATTGCTCTCCTCATGCGCCACGTCATGTAGGCCCGGCAACTTCCCATCGCCGGTTCTTTGTCCTGGTCTGTTGCGGCACGCCGGTTTCCGGCTGTCTGTGACGACATGTCTGTCTGTTTTGCAGTAACACTGTGACACCAACCTATACCGACACGCATAACGCCCAACCCAATCCGGCTCCGGCAGCGTCTTGAGTCAAACTCCATCATCCGCGTCGCGATACATGGTCGCTTGGCCCGAGAATTCCCCATCCTGACGGGCACGCATCGATCGGCGCCACAGGGCTGGCTGAGCAGCCAATCGTGCGATGGAGAGGGCCTAGAAGAGGAACAAAGTTGGAAGTATTCCACCCCGCTAGACAGGGTGGGCTCCAGATGGCGTGGCTGTAGGGCTCACCTCAGCTGAACAGGTCCCCCGTTCCACTCAGCCAACGCTAACTGGTTTTACGACATATCTCCTAGTCCCCCTAAGATCCCAAACCCTCGTTGACAGGGTCTCTGCCAGCTTGCTTCTGCGACTTTTCGTTTCCGTTTGGGTCCGAACCGGTCACCTGCCACCGACGAGTCCCCGTTTGCCGCGACTAGGGTCTATCCGATCACGACAGCTACTTTGTACTACTATACCACAGAGGTCACCGAACCGCCGCCGCTGGCAATTGTGGATTGTGTCCAACCACCATGGTGGGTATGTCAGCAATGCCCCAGCTGCTCAGCGTCTTCCACTCCCCTGGCCATACTCTCATCCTGGATTTGGGACCCGCGAGCTGGTGTCCGCTCCGGCTTGTGTTGGCCACTGGAAGCGTCCTAGTGCTAGCCATGGTGTAATACCAGTCACAATGTGGGATCGCCACTCAAGTTTGCGCTGCGCTTCGTCAGACCAGAACGACCAAGCAGAGTCGCGTCTCCCTTTTTCCTTTCTTTTGTTTCTTTTGTGGATCATCTGGACTTTACGTGGTCACCAACCTACACTGCGACCGGACTGGTGCTGGGATCAGTCCAGCTTGGTCTTCCCAGCACTACGGGTGCCACGGATGGGGTCATTCGAGCGAAGATCATGCTGGGCTGAACGACAGGGATCGGCTGTGCTAGTTTCCCCTGGCTTCGCTTCGAGAAAAGTCGACCCCAACTATTGCTCTCTGTTCGGAGAAACGGCAACCACCAACAGTGCAAAACGAGTTCGAGGTATGGATCGTTGGCATCCAATCTTGCCGGCGTCTTCGGCTATTTTCGTCAAAGAGTATACCGCCTTTGCTCGACCATCCATCCAACACCACGTTCGCCGTTCCACTCCATATTTTATGCCTGCCTGTCCTTATCAGAGTCGCGGCCATGTCGTTGCCATGTCACTGCCAGCTTTGGCGCTGACGTTCCCAACTGCCCTGGCCAGTCAAACAGCCGAGACGATAACCAACTGTCAGTCGCCTACCCAACCCAAGGATGTAAAGTCAACTACTCTCCAACGTACATGATGACCGCATTTTCAGACTACCATGGCGTTCATTGTAGCCGGGTCTCCTCCACACCCTTAGGCGCATCCATTTCAATCCCGTTCACGCCCGCTTCTGCAACTCCGCTTAACATGGAGGCGTCTCCAGCTTCGAAATCAACCACTCGAGGCCGATAACCGCACACCACTACATGCGCCGCTTTGCGGCAAAATCAAACAAAGCGCTGTCGCCATCATGGCTGTTCCAGAACGCCCGAGGGTCTGGCTAGCGTCATTAGTCTGCGCCGGCTCTCGCTTGAAAGTGAGAGTGAGAGTGGGAGAAGAGGAAAGGAGGCTGACTGAGAACGAAGGCCGTGCTCTCTGGAAACGGGGGATCCTGGGCTGAGCTGTTCATTCCACGCCAGCCAAGGGGTGTGCCGTCCTTTACCACACACCTCCTTTTTTGTCCCACACCCTCACGGCCTCGACCCCTTCTTACTTTGATCTCATTATCCCATTCCTTTTGCCAGTCCTTTCTTGCCGAGCCAGATCTGGCGATACCTTTGCGAGCTGTCCCCGTACTGCATCGTCTCCCGCGGCTTGGTGCATCAACTTTGTGTCTATATATATGCTGCCCGTTGCCCGTCTCGCTTTGTCTGCAGTCCTTCCACCCCACCAGCGCTCCATTCAGGTCCTAACCCTCCCCAGTTCCGATCCTCATTCATCCTTTGGCCGTCCTTTGGGCACATAAAAATCAAATTGTCGTCGCCAGAAGACAAAGCATTGTCCTCGTCCTCGTACTCGTCCTTATCCTCATCCCTCAACCATTGCGACCTGCATCTGCCAAGAACGGAACCGAGCCCTTAATTCACTTCAGCTCGCAGCCTTTGGAGGAATCTGGAACCTGCCTTGTTGTAAGTCTGGCATCGTATGCAGTTATTGGACGACGACGCCGCTGCCCGCGACGCGTGGGAACCATTCATGTTCTGCTCATGGGTTCGTTTCAGAGCCTACGGCGCAATGAGCCTCGCGCCACCCTAGCGCGCGGCACCCAGTTGAAAATAGCACCACAAAAGCGCTCAAGCACTTACACATCGATCATATAGACGGACGCCTGCCACTTCTACTATCCCTTCACTTCCTGTCCTCCTCATCCGAACACTGAACGAGCCACACAAAGCAATCAGCTCAACAAACCCGGATCTTTCTTGACAAGACAACTTTTCCTCCCGACGTACGGCAGATGCAACGGCCGAGGCCCACCATCACACCCCCTAGTCGCTTATGTCCAGCAGCGCCATTCCATTACTCGCAAGCCACCGTTAGTTCTTGGCTAGGCCGCCAGGCACAGGCATACCCCTCCAAAGACCGACCATACCGCATCTGAAGCTCACCGACCGAGGTACCTCTACTTCCGTGGTGAAGGTTGGCAGAGACCCCCTTTACAACCTCCCAAGCCTAATCACTTGCCCGAATAAGCCGGGCCAGCCTTTAAGCAGCGATGCCCGCTGTCAATCATCCTCAGCTGGGCTTGTACGAGCCGCCCTCGGTTGCCCGTTCTTACCACCACTTCACCTTCTCTCATTTATGCACCGGGCTCGCCTTAATTGCACTTCTGACCGTCTTCCGCCTGGTAGCATGTCGTGCCATCTCCTCTGCGACGAGCAAGAAGGAAAAGGCCGCCCAGAGCCATACGCCGGTCGTTGACGACATTAACCATCTCATTAGACATCAACGGCTTCATCATCCCTTCGCTCAGCAAGACGGCTGGGTAATGGAAGAAAAGACACGTCGAGTCAGCAGTGACACTGAGGTCGGCGGGCTGCGATCGGCCGGGGACCCAGATCCGCAGTTACATTTCTCGTCTGAAAATGAGAAAGAAGCGGGAGAGGGTAAGGGAAAGGGGAACGGCAGTGACCCATCGTCGCGCGGCGCCATGTTTGCTGCACCGGGAAAGCCTTCAAACATGGCTTCGGCCCGGTTCATGCTGTCGAGGCCCCAGCCTCCGCCACCCATGACGCCTCCGGAAATATCGCCGTCCGTTTTCACATACGACGAGCGCAGGAGGAGCTTCACCAGTGGCGTATCGGAACTAGACGCTTCCTTCTTTGAACAGCCAAACCCAGACTACATGTCATCCACGTCTACAGGAGCATCGATAGCTACACAGAGCACGCATACTACGCGCTTGTCCTTAACGCCTCGAAGGAGATCCTACACCAAAACACTGTCTATTGGGACGCCAATTCCTTCAACGAGTCCTATCCTTGACGATGCCGAGATGACCTTTTCTCCGTCATCATACCCGCCCACGTCGCCTCTGCTGCCGGGACCTCCTCCCATATACGGCGAGATCCTTTACGACGAGGCCACAAATCGAGAGATCCTAGTTCAAGGCGAGATCATCTCTCTCCTTGATGATGCCGGCCAAGGGTGGAAACGCCACACTAGGGTGTACGGCGGCGGCGTCTGCCTCGCCTGTGCAGCATCCGGTGATGATGGTCACCACGGCGGTTTCTATGGAGAGAACGTTTTACCAGAGGAGAAGCGGTACTGAGCCTTTCTTGGAGTCGGTTACAAACAGCTGTCTGATCAGTGGCTGTCTATACCCCTTGGTACGAGTTGGTTTCTCGAGGCGTAAAGCAGAAAGAGGTGGGAGCAGGGCCTCACCAGCGTTACGGCGGGACAAAATGGGTTTGTTCGGTATTCGATTTTAAATCTCGTTGGGAAGGGGCTTCAGCCTTGCAGCATTTTAGTCGTCTTGTATCTTTACTCTCAAGCTCACAGAGCTTGAGAGCTGGGCCCGTTCGGTCATTCTTTTTGGCCTTGCCTGGTGTGTCTAATGGTGGAGAAGGGGGGCTTTTTGTTTCTTTTGCTCCTTTCTTTCACGGGCTTTAGAAGCTTACAGGTGATATTGGGGTGGGAAGGGTATGGGTTTCTTTATTTTCTCTCTTTCACCCTCTCATCTTTTTGGTAGCTTCTTCGCGCTTGATGACATTTACGACTTGACGACGCTGACGACTCGGTTTCTGGTCACAAAGTGGAAGATGGGGGGAATGCCCTGTATGTTTTGTTTGTGTGTATGTCCGGCTCGAGAGAAAAGAGACGGGCTGCAGGTTTTCTTCCGCGAGAGGAACATGGCTTAGGAGAAGAGGCCTACACGAGGGTGAGAGCATGTATGTACGGCGCGTGTGTGTAATCCAAACAACAAAAAGGTTCATGATATCAAAAGCGAAAAAAAATAACCCCCCGGCGCGGCGCAGATGGTGTCTGCCCTCCGTTATCGAAAGCAATGCGACCTGATTCCCGCAGAATGACACCACGCGCTTCCGAGCACCACGCTACACTCCCCGATTCCACGGTCGACGCGCCGAGTCTCTTCCAGTCCACCAATACTAGCTAAATGGCCCCAGCCCCTCCCCTTCTCTCAATGGCTGGCTGCCTTACTGTCTAAAGCCACGACGAGGCCCCCTCGGGCCGAAGGTGAAGCTGCGTGATCCGTCCGGCCGGACAATCGGGCAGAAGGCCACTGCGGATCGGGAGGGGGCACGTTCTGTCGGTGTAACATGGAGCTTCCCTCCGTCAGTCATACATGTTGGTTTCAAGGAGTAGGGAAGGGAGTAGCAGGGGAGGGGGGGATGACGGCTTGAGGTTGCTTGTCAGCATCTCGAGCCCCCCCCCCCTCTTTCTCCCCTGCTGCAACAGATATCGTTGCGAAGTCATGGAGCAAGACGAGTGTCTTTTTGATCTATCAATGACAGGTGCTTATCTCCCCCTCTCCTTCCCCCCCCCCCCCCCTTCTTCATGATCCTTCTGGGTTTCCTATACCATCCCAGCCTGGCGGAACAGCACGAGACGGTCAGCAAAACTAGGCCGGAAGCCCACCAGCCTCGGAAGACTCGCCTCCCCGCCCCGGGGATACGCGCGTTCGCCATGGAGCCGCCATCGGAGGGAGATCCGCCTAGCGTCGTGATGGTATCCGTAGGAATGTGTACTTTTCCTTTTTTTCTTTTTCTTTTTTCCACTTGGTCCTAACCCAAAGATTATTCTAACATTTCTGTTTTTCCAAGTCTTCCCCAGGCCGTGTTTATCAGTCAAGTTCCTCGGTGTAGGCGCTCTCACGAACCATCCATGTCACAACGGCTTTATATCATATCCGCTGGAAACAGTAGAAGTTGTAGACGCTGTGGTGTTGCGCCAGAGTGCTCTCTCACCTGAGAAAAGGGGGGAGGGGGCTTTCTCGGACGAGTTGCGATATCGCCCATCACCATTCGCCATGGTGGGATTTTGGGGATACCCCGCCACTGCCGCTGCCACTGCAAGTCAAGGACCGTCACCCTTCTTCATCATAAGCGCAGCGAGTCTAGGATTCCGCTTCATTGTCACAGGAATCCAACGGCTCCCCCCCCCCCCCCCCCCCCTCTCCGACTTGAAGCAGCTGCCGCCGTGCCAGAAAGTCCTGACCGCCTCAGCATCCCCAAGCGGATCAGGCGGTGTGTTCGTAGCATCTGGACGACGAGGAGCGGCAGTCTAGTGATGGTATTCGGGATCCAACTACTCGAAACTGTGGGTTCCACGTCTTCCACTGCCGTCTTACCGCCGGGTCAGCAACTTCGTCAGTACCCTCATGACCTTTTCCAGAAGGCAGGCGGCGGGTATCGCGTTCAGGATGCGCTTGTACCTGGACAAACTGCCCTTCCACACACCCACCCCTCCCGGAACGAAACTCTAATACCCTTGACCCTGCCCGGCCCTCTATTTCATCTCACGTCATCCTCGGGAGATTCCAGAAAGCACAACCGATCCCACCGGGCGTGGGAGACAGGTTGACGTCGGCATCCTTCGTAAAGTTGGGACCCGATTAGGCCGATGAAGTGTATGTGTGGCTCTCATCCTTCCATGCCGTCACGCGGGCATGACACACAGAGGACGGCAGATGATCGTTGATGTCGATGGATTTGTACGCACCCGTCGGCGGCGGCGACTGATAGGCCGATCGTCAGCTACGCGGCTCTGTGGTGGGACCTCAACCGAAGTCCCATTGCCATGACCTATCGATCCTTATGGCCGTCCCGGGCGGTTAGTCATTGTTGCGCACAGTCTCTGCCCGAGAAATGAATGCTGTGTAGCATGTCACGCGCGGATTCGGTGTTGCGATATCGGCAGAGGCCGTGACGTCGTTCAGAAATCATGATCAGTGAACATACCGTAGCTTCTTTGAAGAAGCTCGGGTGAAAGGGGCGGCGGGTAGATATTGGGGGGGGGCGGTAATGAGGGCATGGTGACTGATTCTTCGATGCGCCACTACAATCGAGTTCTCTGCTGCAAACACTTTCCGGCGCAGAGATCCTGGGAAGAGTCCGAGACGCTTAAAGCGGATAATTTTCCGGTTTGCGCGTCAACAGATCGAGATGGATGGGGAGTGTGATTATTCCCACGTCAGCTGCCTCACTGCTGACACCCCCGCCTCCTTTGTCGAAAGCCATCTCTTGGCAATGCGTTGATCGAACCCAGGAAGAACCGTCTAGGTTGCTCGATCCTCTCAGCATATTACCGTTCTTGGGTTTCGAGGCGTGTCGCCTTCAGGAAAACCCGCGTAGTAGGCCAGCCTTGGTCAAGTACCATGGTCGACCGTGTGATCGAGCCTTGGGCGGGATCGCAGCACGAAAGGCGGCGGAAGGATTCGTTTCTCGGATGGGATGGGTCGTGGGACGCGAGAGAAGCGCGGAATCCTTCCTCAAAAACCTACTGGGGTGGCCATTGGGTTGATATACGAACCTCGCCAGACGCAACGGTTGATTGGCTGAGCGGCGAACTTCGAGGGCAGAGCTAGTGACCAAAACCCAAGGACCAGGAGACCGAGCTTTACTCTCAAATACCCTCAGCCCTATGGCACGGCCAGCCTGGGCGTGCTTGAATGCCTCCAGGTAGGTTTGGCTGGGGGGGGTGGTTTGTTGCAATGGGCCCTGGCGAGGCCGGTCAACGCGACCTTTCGACGCTGTGCTCGAGCTTAAGTTCTTATTGAATGGGAAAAGACGACGTACGGCTGATGGCCTTCTTGATGTTTCTCAACTCAACCCCAAGCAAACTCATACGATTTCTGGCATGATGACCTTTTGGGCTGCCACAGGTAAATTCTTTCACATCTCGATTGATGTATACTTCGAACGCTATAGGTATCCCGAGAGCTGCATCGACTTACTTTGAATGATAGTGAACCGCATCCGTTCAGTCGAGCGAGCATCGCCGACTCGGTGTGCAGTCTGACATCAACAGGACGCTGGAGAAAGAACTGTGTTGGAGATGTGAGGGTTGTGTGTCACTTGTCGTTCTTGCAGCAAGATCAAACAACGTTCACGGCTGATACTGTACAGATACCCTTCCATCGACGAGGCGACCTCTCTCTCGACTACTTCATGCTGGTACATCGTACTTTCTCTGACGAGTAAGAGTCTCGTTGGATCACAGGTCGAGCATATGCGTAGCCCGTCAAGGTTCGGGCGATGTCGCAGTTACAAACCGAGACGGCAGTTTTGACGCTCGATGCTGTAAGGAAGTATCTATGAAGGCGGAGGAGTGACGAGAAATCCAGCATTGTCAAACTCTTGTCCGATGGGAGGTGATTATCGTCATCGTCATGTCAGCCGCTGAAGATCCGATTCTACCCCAGACAGATCAGTTGCTGTCAGACACAGCTTGCCCCCTCGGACGACGCTACTGATACCTGCATACTGGGCCACAATTCGAGGTTGTATGCCAGGAGTGACTGAATAAGGCCAGTTCGAATGTAAAGTCAGGATGCGGTTAGTATTGCCTGGTGTTGCTGTCGCAGCGATGACATTGCGTCTGCCAGCGCCATCTGTAGCATTACTTGGGCTGGGTTCACCAGGGCATCCCGTAGCACCGTGGGGCACCTTGGAACATTCTGGAGCGTCGACCGGTTCTGTCACCATCCATGGTTAGAACAATTCTTGCCTTATACGGGGCCATGACGAGAAATGGACGACCCGGCCACAGGATTGTTGGCAGATTCTTTACCCATGCCACTTCCCACATGTTCTCTAGAACCGGCTCAGCAAACATTTATTCCCAAAGATGCCACCGACTAGTCCCAGCGAAGCCGAGGCATATACATAGTGCCCGGGAGCCTGGAACCAATATCGGCTTGCGAGCGGCGCGGCTACGAGTTCCATGTTTGGCGCGCTTTTATATTGATAGAAGCGCTACTAACGGTCAATTTTCAATCAGCCCCCGGCGATAGATGGTCCGCAACGCATCCCGCATACTGCACCTTACGCGCTTGCTTGTGGAAGAGCAGATCTTTGATAGTTTGGTGCTTAAACCAAACACATATGAGAACCAGCACGTCTGTCACGCCGAGTGCATAGGGCGTAAATAATGTCTGGGTTGTGCGCTGTTGGCAGTTCGTCCTGTCCAACACCAATCAACGAGGTGGCATCGCAAGGGGGGCGGCGGCTAAGGGTACAGCTAGCTCGGCTAGGCGGTCAAATAGTGACTACTGGAGGTCCGGGAGCCGACTGACTGGAGCCACGTTGGCGATCCCCAAGTCCAGCAGATGGATTATCATTATCATAGGACAAGAGATTGCGAAAGTGGCTGTACCGGTAGCTCTGTTGCTGCAGCTTAAGCGCTCGTGGACAGAAAAGGCTTGCAGAATGCAGGATGCAAGTGGACACTTCTGGGAACGGTCCAGTGTTCTGGATCCCAGTTCGTCGTGCTCAAATCTCCCCCGCAT